TCCCGGGTAAATAATTCATCTGTGACGACAAAAACTGCACAATATCATCTGTTATATCCTGAAGTATTTATTTTTGAACAATTTGTGAACAATTATATCTTACATAAGGTGTAAGTTTTGCTTGCAGTTTTATGAATATTTCCGTTTTAGATGTCATGCAAAAACCCCGACATAATGGCACACCTGAAAAATTCGCGATTACAAGCCAATAATGCCCGTTATCACGCGTCTAACCATGTACCAACAAGGCAAGTCCGCTCATCAGTGCATTTTGTACTAGAGCTCAGAACAGTAGTTTATCCTTGTGTGTAGGATCTGTGCTCGAACCCTCGACTTCCTGCTCACTAGTACCATGTGTTTATAGCTCCATGCTATTACATTATGTCTTTAATAACCAGTGGACCAACGAGTGATGGCAACACCCGATTTCCAAATTTGCATCTCAATGCAAAACGCCATATAAAATGATATCTCTGCCCTTGAAAGTTAAACCCGTGCGTGCGCTTTAATGTTGCCGCGATGTCGTAGTTCGATACGCTCGCTGAAAGAGACCAACAAATGCTGCTAACTCCCTTTCAGGCAAAAACAGTGCGTACGGTGAGGTATTGTCTGGGTGAACATTCAGGCATCTTGTCTGTTGAAAAGAAAATGAAGCTCTGCCCAGACAGTGTCTAGTTGGGAGAAACACGGAAACTTGTATAGACCTTTCTGCGCTTGGTTGGCAAACTGCATTTTTGCCAACCACGGCCTGCAAAACTATGGAAGGTCCAACACTGCAAAAATGAAAAAGAGTTATTACAGATCACCAAAATATTACTTGATACTTAAAAAATACAACATTTTCAACAAAGCTACAAATATAATTCCAACAAATGCCTTTTTAATTTGTGTTGATGGCGTTAGGAGGACTTTTTTGGAAAAATATGTTGCCAACCACGGCTTCAAATTAAGCGCTTACGGCAGCCCATTATACAAAATGGCGCCAATGTTTACGAACAAAAGAAAGGCCTGTAGGAATCGTGATTTTTTTTCGACCACAGTGTGGCAAGCAAAATAATACATCTTAAAGCAAAACATTTGTCGCTGTCTAAAATTGCGCATTTAACAAGAATATTGACAAATTGGGGAACCGCTAACATAGGGCTGGATAGCTCAGTCGGTAGAGCACCAGAACGGCAATTCCCCAGTCAATTTCTTTGTTCAAATATGATAAAAAAACACCCTGTTTTTAAACTGATTTTCACGTGGATTTCATTCAGGAGTTTTCTCCCATAGAAGATTTAGTATTGAAAGAATAATGAAGCCACATAGGCCTGCTGCAACAATGGGCTCAATTTATTTTTCCTCGTAATGATCGAACGCATCCCCATTGCGCATGTGCTATTATCAACCGGCCCGATTCTCTTTCTTTATTGACACCTACTGCGCCTGCGTTAACCCGCTTTCAATACCGCCTCGTTACTGCGCATGTACGCGCATGCGCTTTCTTGCCCTGGAAAAGAAACTGGCTGAAATTCTGATGACACACCTTGTTACACTTACATGTCTGAGTGAATTAAAATCTCCAACTACATGTACATTGTATAATATGCTTCAAACGAACATGGAAAAATATGGGGCGCCGCAGACTGGGCAACGAACTTCTTTGATACTGTACTGATCCACTTTTTTTCGGTCGAATTCCCAACTGGACTGTCCCAGATAATATTTTTATGGGAACTTTCAACACTCTTTATGTAGGTCAACTTTGATTGTTGATTTGTTGTTGTGCATGAGTGTTTGATATAGATGTAGACCTACAATGTAGTTTGTACTCTCAGTGGCCACCATGCACTAATAAGGTCATGGGTCGATAATTTCCATTAGAAAGTGTGTACCGCAACATGTAGTGAACTAAAAATTTTTTTTCACTCAACCCCCTGAGGACGGACAGAGCACACTGTCCGAAACGTCGATTTCTACACTCAACCTACCGGTTTCTTTGCAGAACCACACTTCTTCCAAGAACAGATATCTTTCCACATGGTGTTACCCGCACCGCAGCATGTGGTGAACTAAAAACCCAACTGTCAAGATTTGTTCTGGAATTCTGCTAGTATACTCTAGAAGCGTTATGGGTGTAGCCACTTGTTGCATGATGATAATATTTTTGCATGCAGTACATGCTGTGCTTTGTATGACACCAGGGCGAGTAATAAACGATATCTGGCGTACATTACAAACAGCGGCATATGACGTAATCCATGTCGTACCAGTGTTTCGCGCGCGCGTGTACATGTACTATCGCGGAGGCTGCGCGCAAATTAAGTGTTGGTGAGTTGTACGTAGATATTCCTACGGCTCGAAACGAGGCCAACTTTGAAACTGCGTTTCCGTTCCGCAAAACGTGTATCTATTCGTTGTTGCCCATATTTCAACTTTTGACATTAGGCCAAAAAAAAAGTCTCCGGTTTCTGGTATGCGTGCGCGTCGCCGTAGCCATGCGCGTCGGCAAAATGCAAAAGTTTTTTTTTCAATGAAAGATGATGTCCCAAAACCGCCAAACTCACTGGTTTGAACGGAATACTGCTGCTGCACAATTTTAACGTGTTTTTAGATTGGGTTATGGTCGAGAATAAGCTTTATGTGGCCTCTCTGGACTCCCATATATTTGCACTAAGTTTAGTCGGGCACCATTTGCAGTCATCAGCACACATTTGAAGCAAAAAACTCAGGTAAAAAAGAAAAAGAAAAGGCGCGTCACCGCATCACTTTTTGGGCAAGCTCCAAACCAGAAACCGGAGACTTTTTTTTTTGGCCTTAAATAGATTAGTTTGAAGAACACCATGTGGGTGGTGATGAGTGATGATAAAAACAACCTGCTGTTGAAACCATAGAGCAAGGAACAGACCAAACCATGCGCATATGCCTTGGCTTAAGTCCTATACTTAAATCCTCATCCTCCTAAGGTTTCTTTCCCCCGTTTATAAAAGGTTTTTTTTTGTGGAGATGTTGACAGGCTATTGGCAGGATTTCAAGGTTTGTAGATCCACCCATTTATCATGCATTGACACGGACCAAAATTATGATCAAAAATGACATCCTTGCGCATGCGCAGCGTGGCATACCCATTGTATAAAGTAAATGCATAGGTGCGGTACCAGGTATTTGCTACGAGCCCATTCATGCGGGGGAGGGGGGGGGGGGGCAATGCACTATATCGGTGCATTGCCCCCAGCATGAATGGGCTCCTGGCATTCCGTCTCCTCGATGTTACAAAATAATCAGCGACGCATGTTTTATGGGATTTAAACGCGATTGGACAACCTTGAACCCTTCTATGCATTTACATTACCTAATAATGTAATTTGCATGTGAGAAATGCTGGAGTAAATTATTTTGAAAACTAGTCACGAGAGGGCTGACTAGGCTATATCGGCTCGCGTAATTTCTATTCCTTGGAGGGTTAGGGGCAATGTCATGAATAATTCATGTTTATCCATGAGAACGGACAATGACATCAACAGCATTTTTGTTAGTTACTCAAATAGTTACAATACATTAAAGCATTTTTAAAGAACGGTTGTCGTCGAGCTACCACACAGTAGCCTAGTGGATAGCGAGATGAGCTATGGATACAAAGATTCCTGGTTCGAATCCACGTTGTCGCTGCTCATTTTCATCAGCTATTTTTCTTCTCCAAATTTATCACTGAGATAATTTTAAATTAAGGGGAAAATAGAACGAGAACCTAAGTCTTGCAATGATTCAAAGGAAAAACTGAATTATTCATGACATTGCCCCTAACTCTCCTAGGAAAAAAAATTACGCGGCTCGGCTCGTCCTTCGGATTTGTTAGTAGAATTATAAGTTCAAGCGCTTTGCAAAAGATTTATCTTGACTTACAAGTGCCTTTTTCATTTGTCTTTTTCAACGGCGTTTTCAACCATTACGGTTAATTTTCTTCATGACCTTTCTGGTGACTTAAGTTAAGGGAAAGTTCATACGCCACGACAAGTCTGACGCATAATTATATGTTCGAATTTGGCGTAAAATGCATGAAACTCCTGTCGAAGGAGGGGGGTGTTATAACATTAAGGCGGCTATATCTATTATGTCAAGCATTATAGATGTTAGTGCCTTCACGTGTTCTGTGTGGTGATTAATGGCGGTATTAGTTTTATTGGGTGGATTTCCGACGGCTGCCCACAAATAAAACAAATTCTTTTCAGATACGTGGTTAGGGAATAACTTTCGAGAGAGGTGATTTATGAGTGGTTCATACCGTGGGCGAGAGGTTTCTGAAAATGACACTACTGAACATGAAGGGGGGAAAGTGATATCCGTCGGGAGAGGGCACATTTCTCGTCTTTGGAGAGAACATTTGGTTTTTTTGACAACCGGCTATTCTGCGGTCGATCTTGACAGGAATTTTACCCTTTTTAAAAGTGTTCCATAACTAAACAATATGCAACAACTTTTAATAATTTTAAAACAAAACTTCGGCGGGGGTGGGGTGGGGGGGGGGGGGGGTCGGGTGGGGCTGAACCCCATTGGATATTACTGGCGCTGTACATAATACAATCGTTGTTTTTTTCGTTTGATGTCTCATTCCAAAATGACTAAATCTTTTTGATCACAACTTTGATAACAAAATCGGCAATTGGAACTCCAAAATAGCACGGATAGTATATCTAACAACCAGTGGCGTACCCAATGGGGGCCCCTCGGGGGGCTTGAGCCCCCCACCCCACACCCCCCATGAAGAGGTTGCCAATTATTATTATTTTCTTTTTTTGGGGTCAATTTGTTTTAAGTCCCACGATTTGACCGTGCTGATTATGTGTGTGGCCTATTTTCGAGTAGTATAATAAGGGTGTAAATTATCGCCACCAGCGTCAAAATATTCCCCCCCCCAAAAAAAGTATTTATTTTCCTGCGGCCAAAAATTTTGGGTGACATTTTTTGAAAAAAATTCAAACATCTAAACTCCTGATTGCGTGATTTTTTTTGTTTGACAGCATGATTGTAGCGGATTTTACTGCAGCCGTCGTCCTGATTTCCTTCGGGGCAGTGCTGGGTAAGACCTCGCCGGTACAGCTCATCATGATGGCCTTCTTTGAAGTCATCTTCGCCGTGCTCAACGAACACATCGGAGTCGAAGTGCTCCATGTAAGTGTTCTGGGACCGGTTTCCAGTGTTGATGTGAAGTCCATGGGCGTCGCGAGGGGGGGGGGGGAGGGGCAAGGGGGTGGGGGCGCTTGCTCCCCCCCCCCGAAAACGAAAAAAAAAAAAAAAAAAAAAAAAGGAAAAAAGAAAAAAATAATATAAAAAATAAAGGAAAAAGAGGTGCGAAGCCATATAGCTGCTGTTAATTGATGGGGGGGGGGGGGGGGGGAGGTATGGCAAATGCTCCCCTGCTCAAGCTCTGAAAAATTTGTCCCCCTGGAAAAAATCCTGGCGACGCCCATGGTGAAGATGCCCATGTCATCATTGCAAGCCATTGCAATTGCTTTGATGTTTTTGTTACCATTTGACGAAATGAGGAACTTGAAAGGCATCGTGATCTATCCATAGAGAAAGGACACGTGTTTGAAGTCCGTTCACAAGTAAAGCATAAGTTAATCATCAGAAGTCCAGTAGCAACATTAACAAAAGCGTACCATCTTTAAAGTTTATAATTTATTGTTTGAATAAATTGGGACTTAATGATTTAAATTGTGACAGACGAGTGACTTTTGAACCGCAATGTTCCTCGACTAGAAACTAGTGTTTCTTTTTTTCCTGATATAGGTAGTAGATGTGGGCGGCTCGATGTTTGTTCACGTTTTCGGCGCCTACTTCGGTCTTGCCGTCGCCTTCATTCTCAAACGGGATGCGACAGAGGACAACGAGAAAGAGGGCGCCACCTATCACTCTGACATCTTCTCCCTCATTGGTCAGTTTATGAAGTTTTTTTGGAACACCTGTTTTATTTAGCAAATCTCTTATCGTGATAAAAGAAATCTTGCAAATCACGAGTTCCTATATGAATGACGTCTCCCCATTTGAAAATAACAAGGTCCGATAAACGACGACAGCTTTATATGAAGCCCCATTCTAAATTCATATTAGATCTTATTATATGTGACATCGGCTAAGCCCCTTTTACCAAAACTTTCTTTGTTTTGGGTCGGTTTTTGATTACGTAACGGATCGGATCTTTTTGTTGGTATTTATTTCTCTGTATTTGGTTACTTTACTTTACGATGTGCTATAATAATGAAAATCAATAATGATATGTTAAGTAGATTTTTTTAACCCAAACCCCCCCCCCTCCCCCCAAAAATGGATTTCCATACGTTTTCATTGCTTACTCCACTTGGGTAATTACCAGCATGCAGAATCCAACCGGCCTTAAATAGAGTGTTTAAAACCGGCCAAACACACTTATTTCCTTTATATCAGTGTTTTTTTTTCATACCTCTCAAAAACCTGCTAGTATAACAATTCCCTTGTACATGAATATCTGAATAGGAACCATTTTCCTGTGGATGTTTTGGCCGAGTTTCAACAGCGCCCTTGCGCTGGAGGACGCCCGCCATCGGGCCGTGATCAACACGTACTTCTCGCTGGCTGCCTGCTGCGTAGTAACCTTCGCCATCTCAACGCTGCTCAACAAGGACGGCAAAGTCGAAATGGTAAAGTTGGTGGACCTCTTCCTGAGTGGTTGATTGTGGATTGTGTTGATGGAGTAAACCTTGGTGTGGATATGGATTGTGTTATACATGGTGAGTAAAAAAAAGCGGAACCCAAACCCCGCCCCCCCAAACTGTATTTAATATTTAAACAAATATGTAGCACCAAAAAACAATAATGACTGGAAAGATATTTCAGAAACTACTTTTAGATGAACAAAAATACTGAAATTGCCCAATCCGTTCAAAGAATATCACCATTTCAATGCAATGAGGCTAAAACCTGTTTCGTCCCCCCAAAAAAGCAATTTATTGTGTAATCTGACTTTTCGGAACAACAGAATACTTGTTTCACCAATTGTCAACAACTGTAGTACGCAATATCTTTATTAACAACCCTGCTTAGGCAAACCATATGATTTATAAAATCCACTTTTTTTTTAAAAGACGGCCCTTCAAAAGGACTTTGTTGAATATCTTTTTAAGTTTTAAACTGAGGTTTATCGCTGGTGGTGTTTGAAGACAATTGTGACGACGATTCTTGAAATCGCATTTTTTGGACGAAAGAGGTTTTAGGGTCATTGTGTTTAAATGGTGATATTCTTTTAACGGATTGAGCAATTTCAGTATTTTTTCCATCTAAAAGTAGCTTATGAAATAGGTGCTACATATTTTTTAAATATTATGAAATATATGTTTGGGGGTTTGGGTTCCGCCTTTTGTTTACCCACCCTGTATTATTTTGCGTTGGTTTCTGCTGCGTGGTTAACCCTCGCCATCTCCACACTGCTCAAAAAGCGGCAGAGTCGAATATCAACAGTTTGTGGACAAACCATTGAGTTGTTGGTTGTGGATTGTGTTGACGGAGTAAAACGTGGTGTGGATATGGATGGTGTTGCATGTATATTGTAATGTGTTGATTTCTGTTGCGTGGTATACTTGGTAACAAAGACGGCAAAAGTCGAACTCGTGTTGTGGACTTTGTTGATGGCTTAAAGTTTGGTATGGATGTGTTTGGTGTTATAGTAGTGGACCGAGCATTCGGTATCAACTTCACTATCCCCGTTATTTAAAAAGGTGGCGAAGCTGGAATTGATGAAAACACTGTACAAGTATGTGGAAGGTATCATGGTTGACGTGAATGATTGCGATATTACTTAGTACTGCTGCTTCAACTTTGACGTAAATTAAAGTGAACTCCTGTACATGGACGGTAAAGTGGAAACGATCAAGTTTGGTGGACAACTGTTTAAGTGTATATAGTTGTGTTGACATGGGCGTCGCGAGGGGGGGGGGGCAAGGGGGGCGCTTGCCCCCCCCCCCTGGAAAAGCAAAAAAAAAAAAAAAAGGAAGAAAAAAAAAAGAGAAAAAAAGGAAAGAAAAAGAGGTGCGAAGTCATAGTGGTGTAAATTTAATAAGTTGGGGGGGGGGGCAAAATGTCCCTGCCCCCCTCTAAAACTGATTAATCGAGAGAAATACAAGATTTTTTTTGGGAAAAATATGTTTTGCCCCCCTCTAGAAAAAATCCTGGCGTCGCCCATGTGTGTTGATGGTAATAATTGTACTTGACGATTTGTTGATCCTCTAATCTGCCTGATTCTATTAAGAGGGGAAAGAAAGATATTTCATAATTAGTTTTACAAGTGTGAGAAATTTATCAGCAAAAGACTCCTAAAAAGAGACACGAAAATACGTTCGATCAGTGATGACGATAAACCTTCCACAGTTGCCCCTGCAATGATCAACGATCAAGTTGGCCCATGTTGTAGTTGATGGGCTTAAAGTTGGTACAATTCCATTCAATATTAATACAGGGTGAGTAAAAAACACGAAAACCAAATGTTGAGACCATTGTTTTAGTGACGTTCTGCATGTAGCACTTTCAAAATATAAGATATGAAAGCCCAATTCATAAGCTTTCTTTTAGTACAAGAATCATTCAAATCACTCATGTACTTTTCAAGTTATGGAATTTTAACACAACCACTGTTTTAAGGTTCTGTCCACGGATCACAAAAAAAGTTCAGTGTTCTTTCAGCAAAACGAAAACAAATCACAAAGGGATGTGTGTGAATTGTGTTCGTTTTGTTGAAAGAACGCACACTTTTTTGTGATCGTGGACAGAACTTTAAAACGGTGGTTGTGTTTAAAATTCCGTAACTTGAAAAGTACGTGAGGGATTTCAATGATTCTGGTGCTAAAAGAAAACGCATTACTTAGGCTCTCATGTCCTAGATTTTGAAAGTGCTATATACATGCAGAACTTCAATAAAACAATAGTCCCAACATTTGGGTTTCGTTTTTTTTTACTCACCCTGTATACCTGGCAAATTTAAAGAGGTTATCATGCCTTCGGATTCGTTTTCTCGGGTGAGCAATAAGCAACAAGTTGGGTGTTTTAATTTGGACAGGTGCACATTCAGAATGCCACTTTGGCCGGCGGCGTTGCTGTGGGAACCAGCGCAGACCTGATGATCCAGCCGTGGGGCGCCATCTTGATTGGCGTCATTGCCGCCATGTTGTCAGTCCTCGGATTTAAATACATTCAGGTTTGTGCAATAAAAGGTGATTTAAATATTCAGAGAAACTAAAAATGATAACAGATACATCACCCGAATTGACTTAGATATTAAAATGAGATGTCAGAGAAGAATGTTAAAGGTACACAGCATCATTTGCTCTTCATGCATTTCTTCATTTTTCAGCAATCAATTACCATATTTTTTCGAGGAAAAACGAAATAACAAATACAGGGTGAGTCAAAAAAAGAAAAAAGAAACCCCAAAACATAGACAAATATTTCAAATAAAAAAACTATGTACATGTAGCACCAAAATTAATATGACTTGGAGGCCCATTTATTAAACTTCTTTTAACTGAGAAAATTATTTCACTTGCTCTATACGTTAAAACTTTAACACAATTTAAACGAAGTAACCCAAAATCAGTTTCGTCGAAAAAAACCCACAAAAAATCAACCCAAGTTATTGTGTGTTCTGAGTTTTTGGAACAACAAAGAAAATTTTTTCAACCACTGTAGTACATAATATCTTTATTAACAACCCTGCTTTGCCTAACTATAGGATTTATAAAATCCACTTTTTTTTTTAAATACGGGCCTTCAACAGGACTTTGTTGAATATTTTAATCTCGCCTGAAGTGTTCAGAAAAGAGACTTTGCAATCACTATGTCTATACGTATGTAGTATGTGGTATTTTGGTCAAAGTTTCGTCAAAATGGTCTCATTTCAAAAGTTGAAGTCCAATTAGAACCAAAATTGGGTCATAGATGCAACATGGCAACCTTCATATGATAGTGAAGTCAAAGGTCATATATCAATGTCAAGGTCATCCGAGATCAAGTTGTAAAATAGGCTGAACATGTAAAATTGGTCTCATATCAAAAGTTGAAGTCCAATTGCAACCAAACGTGTGTCATAGATGCAACCTGGTATGGTAATGACGTCTCACACCAAGGTCTAAGGTCATCTTTTTAATGATTAGTCACTCTTTAAAGATAATCGCGGAAGCAGGCGAGACGCACGGTTCGAGAACTGCCTTGCTAACTTTAAACTGAAGTTTTATCGCTGTGATGGTCGCCATGGTCCAGTGGTTACGGTGTTTGACTCATGTACGAAGGTGCGTGGGTTCGAGCCCTGCCAGGAACATGGTGTTTGTGCCCTTGGGCAAGACACTTCACTACAATTGCCTCGTTCCGCCCAGGAGTATAAATGGGTAACAGGGTCGAGGACCGATTGAGCGCTGATATCGGCTGCCGCGTGGCCCCAGCGCTTTGAGATTGTCGATACAATGGAAAGCGCTATAAGTACAATTATATATGTTTGAAGACAATTGTAACGCAATTTTTGAAATCGCACTTTAGGACAAAACAGATTTTAGGGTCATTTTGTTTAAATGGTGATATAATTTGAACGGATTGAGCACTTGAAGTAACTCTTTTTTTTTCATCTAAAAATGGTTTATTAAATTGGCTTAGGCCTACCATGCAGTTATCTATTGTTGGTGCTACATATTTTTTCTTTAATATGAAGTATATTACTTTGGGTTTGGGTTCCGCTTTTTTTTTTACTCACCCTATATGCCAACCGTTATCAATATGGAGATGAAATTCCCATTTATGCGGGTAATGCAAGGATAAACTGATGTGAAGAAAATACATTCTAAATTATATCTGGGAATTGATCTTTTCTTCTTCAAACGAAGAGGGGGCTCTTTCCAGATTGACAATTCTTTTGGCATAAGATGGAGTCCTTCGCCAGATTAATAACAGGTATATGATTCAAATTCGATTGACTGATAGATATCATCAACATAATCTCAACACAAGACGATTTTGCCGAAACAAGAACGAATTGGAATATCACATTTTTTTGAAAAGCACTTAATAATGAAATCAATTGTTGCAAATTTGAAACTGAAACAAACATTTAGCCTGACGATTTTGGGGAACGAAATTCCATGGAATTCGTATATGGAACCAGAATGACTGTAAGCGGGAAAAAAAGTATGTCGTTCAACCTTGAATTCGGTTTCCTTCATTTTGTTTGCAGTCGTTCCTTACACGCTGGCTGAAAATCCACGACACTTGTGGCGTGAACAACTTGCACGGCATGCCGGGGATTTTGGCCGCCATCGCCGGTGCCGTGGTGGCAGGCTTGGCCACCAAAGACCTCTACGGAGACAAGTAAGTGTTGCGAACAACTCTATTAAGAGAGGAATGTCAAACTGTTACTTAAAACATGAAACCAAACATGTCACATAATTGGGGGACTGTGGCCGAGTGGTTAGGATTCGTGACTCATGATCAGAGGGTCAGGGGTTCGAATCCAGCTGCTGGTCATATGTTGTGTCTTTGGGCAAGCCACTTCACCCCACTTGCCTCTCTCCACCCAGGAGTACAAATGGGTACCGGCATTAGCTGGGATAACCTCCCATTCAAGGGGATTCGAAATAATTATTCTTCTAAACTCCACTCACTAATTGTCATTCAAAAAAGGGTCATTCGGGTCTGTACTCACTCCCTACCACGTGATCATACTGCACATCTCTTTTTGTCAGATTACACACTCTCGCCCTGTCTAATGAGCTTCAGACTGGCATTTTCATGTTCAAGTTTACTAATAATCTCCTTCCTGATATACCTTCCACGCGCACATCTCAGTACGAGAACACACTTCGCTTCTACGGTCCCAGTCTTTGGAATAGCATTGACCAATCAATTACGTCCAAAACTTGCTCTGTTGGCTCTTTTACGAACTCTTTCAAAGAGTATCTTATTTCCCAATATGTAGCATAGTTTGCTTTTCCCCTTTGGTTTGTTCTCCAGTGTTGCCACCTCTCTTGCAGTTTAACAGGGTTTTTTTCAAGTCCTTTTTGTAATAATTTATTTCTGGTCAGATCATTTTGTCCTCATGTTTATATTTGTCCCTGACTTAATTAATTAACTATTTAATGTATTTCATGTCTTTGTTTTCTCTTCTAAAGGCACTTCGCTACAAGCCTTGGCTTATTAGGATTGTGCCTCCACAACATTGTGTTTTGCTTTCTGTTATGTTGTTGTTCAGTATGGAAACGAATGTAATATTCAATTGAATTGAATTGAAACCGGAGATAAACTTATCGGCTCGTGACAGACTTCAACTCAATTCAATTCAATATAACATTTATTTGTTTCCAACCATGCACAAAATACAATTCATATAGCACGTACAATAAAGGAAAATAAATATAAATTTTGTATTGGAAAAACAAATAAGTAACGAAATCCATTCCCCATAAGACAGCGAAAGTCTACTTTGATGTTACAAGACAACGGTACTCTTATTGGTGGTGTGGGGTACGGGTCCAGGCGCGGATCCAGAGGAGGGGGGGGGTGTCAACCCCTCCCAGCTCTGTCCAAAAAAAAAAATTACCATACCAATTCCTAAAAAATAAGTAGAACCCCCCCCCCCCCCCCCCTGTGACACCCCCGTAAAATTATACTTTGTTTTTGATTTTACGGAGGCCAAGTGTCCGGAGAAAAAAACCTGTGTACATTTTCAGATTTTTTGCTGATGAACCCCCCCCCCCCCCGCGAAAATTCCTGGATCCGCCCCTGGGGTCATGACAAAAACAAGGAATGAAGAGTATAACAAAATGTTGAATTTTTTTATGTGATGGTTATCACTTGATTCACGCTACTGTTTGGTGTGAGCACTTTTTCCTTTCAATATTGTTCCTTTAGTCTGTACAATATCTTTGGAGCTCGCGCACCTGTGGAGATGTCTACGGACGCGAATGAGATGACCGCCGGTGACATGAGCGGTGACGTCATGGTGGAGGCTCGCTCAGCCGGTGGGCAGGCCGGGTACCAGCTAGCAGCGCTGGGCGTGACCCTCCTGATAGCAATAGGGGGTGGCATCATCACCGGTACGTAAGATTTATATGCTAAGGTCCATGTTCATGCACCGCTAGGCTAGGCACAAATAGATGCTCGGAACATGACATTTTTTTTATCACAAGGAACAAGGCCCAGTCAATATTATAAGCAGAAAACATTGCTTATATATAGCAAGGCCAAGCACCTAAACGCCCTAGTCAAGTAGGAAGGGGATTGGTAAATGTCTTCCAACACTTCAAAATGCTTGACGATGAGAATTACCCACAAGAAAAATCCAGTCATCCAAAAGTATAAAATGGGCCATTCTATGTTGGAAGAGGTGATACATCATCCTTACTTGGTGTGGAACTCAGCAGTTACTTGAGATGGTCTAGGCCTACTCACATTAGCTAGAACACAATTAAAGTTAATTAAATGCTAGGGCTGTTGAAGAGAGATACATGTATCTACTATTGCAGCAGTCGTACCAAGTCAATAGCTTACAATCACTGATCGGACCCAAACTGGAATTCTGCTCACCCATCTGGGATCCACAACATAAATCAGACAGGGACAAGATGAAGAGAATTCAACATAGAGCTGCCAGATTTGTTGCTAGAGATCACAGCAGGGAGTCAAGCATCACTTCAATCTTTGCTGACCTTGAATGGGAAACTTAAAATGTTCACTGTGATTATACACACGAGTACAAACAACATACTCCATCGACATGAAATGCTGATGTTGGATACTTTTTGAGAAATTTAAAGATGTCTGCTTGCAGGACTTGTTTTTGGGTCACTGTGTTACAAACGCGTGCAGACGTGTTACAATTAACAAGATTTCAATCACGTCATGCTGTGGTATTCTTTTTCTTTTCGATATGACACCAGGCCTCATTCTGAAGATTCCGATCTGGAACGAGCCCGAGGACGATGAGCTGTACGAAGACAAACCGTTCTGGGATGTAAGTACGGTCCGTATTCTCTTGTTCCCATCCTTTGTAATGTGGCTTTGCTTTTTATTTTTATTTGTCTTTTTGCAAGCTTCTATAATCAGGTAACAAACAAGCAAACTTCAACGCATAGGCCTATGAGTTGTAGTGTCGAAAAATGCACAAAAATGAGTCAATGTACTACATAATGCTCTTTTGTTGTTGTTGTTGTTGTTGTTGGTTTTTTTTTTTATTTTTTTTTTTTGCTTTTTCGGCCAACCAACTCGAAATATTCTATAATAAAGGTTTTCCCGGCCAATTTCCTGAAATGTTCATTCACTTTTAAAACTCGGTTATTCTTTTTTGTCCGGAATTTGAATGCACGTCTTTTATCCCATTTCATTTCAACGAAAGTTCAATCGTTTTCTTTGTCCGTGCATTCGGTTTTGAGAAACAGACGGCCAATTATCTGCGCATTCATTTGCGCAAGCATACCTTTTCTAAATTGATTTCAGGTACAGCTAATTTGTTGACGGTTAATGAAAAAGAAACCCCTAGTTGTATCTGGTGCCGATGGCATTAAACTGAAACTGAAACAGAATGGTCAATATTTGAAATCGCCCTCTAAAAGTAAAAAAAGAAATCTTAAACGAATCTGAATGAACATAAACGAAAGGTGCTGCTCAATCACTTAATTGCTGATTGAACTGAAATGGAATCGCATGCTCTGGTAGCGAAAATGAAACGCGTGTTCAGAGCGACTCTCAAATTCAGACGAAAATGAATGACCGATTTTCAGATGTGAATGAACATTTTAGGAAATTGGCCGGGAAAACCTATACGTGTACTCAGTTTTAAAAGAAAAATCAACTAAATCCCAGCTAGTGCTTATTTACCACTTCTGTAGTGCTACGGGCATTTATAAAGCACGTTTATTAATTGCCAGCTTTGTGTTTACGGGTTAACCGCATGGCTTACTTATTGGTTATGGGGAGATCAACTAACTATAGGGTTCTGCTTGGTTAATCGTTTGCGATTTTTTTTCGCTAACCGTTTAACTGCAACCTTTTTTTCAAGTTAGCTACCAGGTTGTGCGAGATTAAATGCATGGTCTGGTTAGGTAACTCAGTTCTGCCAGATGTGTTGCGAGGTGACTACCTGGATTTAGGCTGACTAATACGGCATGTCCATGCCAATTCTGAAGTTGTGAAAAATCTTTGAGGTTTCTCGAGGAAAAGAAAACACAAGTAGTAAACTACATGATTTAATCGACAGACTTAGTGTAAGTCTTGCAAGAACACCCCGGATTTAAGACTTCTTTCTTCGTTTGAACTATACCTCTGCATCAGTATTGTAGTCGAGCTACTTGGGTCGAGTCTAAGTCACGAGTCTCGAGTCGTTTGGTTCAAGTCTGAGTCACGAGTCACGAGTCACGAGTCACTCGGGTTGAGTCTGAGTCCCGGGCCTCGAGTCACTTGGGTCGAGTCCAAGTCACAAATCACGAGTCATTTGGTTCAAGTCCGAGTCACGAGTCATTTGGTTCAAGTCTGAGTCAGAGTCACGAGTCACTCGGGTCGAGTCCGAGCCCGAGTCTCGAGTCATTTTGTTCAAGTCCGAGTCATGATGGTCGAGTCCGAGTCTGAGTCCGAGTCTTTTGCTGATGTGACTCGAGTCGAGTCCGAGTCACGGTAATTGCAATTCGAGACGGACTCGAGTCCGTGTCCTAGACTCTAATCCTACAACCATGCTGTGCACAAACGGTGCTAATTCTGTTTCCATCTGTCTCCTGTATGTACTAACAATACTAATAATTCTGTGTTTTTTGTTTCCTTTAACAAAAAACCCAACTCTTCTCGGACGACAGATTGAAAATTCCGTAAGTATCTGTTTATGAAAGTAGTTGAACAAGAAGTGCAAAATATGAATAAAAAACATTGCATTTAAAATGAAAGGTGCATGTGCATAATCATACTCTGAAACGCGGAAATGATGATGCTCAATATTACCCTTCATGGTCTCTTGGAATTTAATTTGCATTGTAAATGTAGATAATCTCATTGATCACAAATAATAAGAAGGATGTATAGATCACGGAAAACCACTATCACTATAGATTTTTTTTTTAAGTGAGTAAGGTTCCGGAAGTGTTAATTAGTAAACAAAGTTTCAATTAGGGGCTAAGAAGAAATTTAACACAGGGTTTCTTGTACGCTTAAATGTGAAGACTAATTTTGTGGGTGAGGTGAATCTATCCGCTCCGTTCACAAGTACCCCCTCAATGGCAAAGAAAGTACAGTTTGGGGTGACCGAACGACGCAGTCTTTCCTGACTTTGCCGCGAAGCGCGCGGCAAAAATGTGCGCGCGCCTCATAGCTCAACCAGCGAAAAGTCCCGCCCATGAGACGTCGTTGCTAGGTAAAAGGGCGCCCTTTTTTATTAGCGCACGGAACCCATTATCAATGTAAGCCTAATAATACCGATAAATTGAACCCCTTAAACGCGTTACAGTGTTTATAAAACGGAGAGCCTGGCGAAAAACCCTCGTGGCACAGGAGAGAATCTACGAACAACTCTACTCATTATATGGTCCGCAGCCGGGAATCGAACCAGGGCCACATTGGTGAGAGGCGAGCACTTTTTACGCACTAGCCACCCATGCCACCCATTCCCCTAATACAATCGGTTACTGACAAGCGTGGTCGAGCCGCCGCGGTGGTAGAAGGCCCGGTCAACAAGATGAATCAAATCCAGTCTTGGGAAGTTTGGCACCGCGACCCGAGAAATCCCGAGCGGTATGCTCATTTATAGCACACGTAAAGGTATTTACGCGTGCTACTAATGGGCTACTGTTCAAATCGAATGGGATTGAACGCCGGCCCATTCTTCAAGCAAATTGTGAATTTAGAGCATTATCGATTCACGAAACGTTTTCAGCGAAATTCGCTTGCGTGGAAATGTGATCAACGTCAACATTTGCAAACGGTAGTGCGGAAAACTGGACTGGAAAGTTAAGAACATTTTTTTTCGACTAACATTTTTTTATACTCTTCCTTTTCTTCTCCCATCTTAAAAAACTAACAACAATCGTGTTGTGGTTGTCTTTCTTATTTGTAGCCAAAACATTTAAAAACCCTCCTGCTGTCTGAACAGTCACAGACAGCCCCCCCCCCCCCCCAAATATCAATCCTCTTCCCCTGCCATGCCTTTTACATGGCTAGTCACCAACAGTCAGATCATATTTCAAGCAGGCACTGTGACTGGTCGAACTCAGACAACAGACAAGACTTGATTGATTTTGATTTGCAAGGACAACTTTGCACGAAATATTATATATGTAAACATAGAAGGTTTTATGGTCTTAAATCCGCGCGTAAGTATATGCACATGCTTAGCCATAGATGGCTCAGATTATGAATAAAATGTGCACACAATAAATAGAAGCAAACAAAACTGGTTATTGAACAGTATGTATTGCTCAAGTGGAACGAGAGCACACCTCGAATGTTTGGGGTGTAACATCCAAATGACTTCACTTTGGCGCTTACTATGGGTGCGTTCGAGTATAGCTCAACCGGATTGACTCGGGATAAAGGGGAGATGGAGCCGGGCTGATCGACGCCCCAGCGTAGACCTTCATGATCTCACGTGACGTCCGTAAGCCGTGGCCGTAGCCCTTGACAGAACGTCCGTTTCGGATTGAGTCTCACTTTGAGGTTTACCTTTTTCCCGTCAGTCGCAAAAAGGAACAAAGTCGGGCTGGAATTCTGGCCTCTAAAATCGCAAAGAGCTCAATAAATATTAGTGCTGATTTTGGGGTCCAGCTGTGCTTATCCGCTGTCCGGCCGCCATTTTTTGTTCGTTTCTTGTTCGCATGCGTGTGATGTATTTCCACCAGTGACTCTGCTCCACGAGCAGGGTCTGTGGTGGTTGACCCGGGTGAGCCCCGAGAATGACGTCAGAGCTAATTGAATGGCACGGGGCTTAGAACCCGAGTCGACCCGGGTGAGCTACTTGATCGCACACCTATATAGGCGTGGGCAGCCGATGGGTCATAATGAGCCGAGCCGTAATGAAAACAGCTTTTCATTAGCACGTGGTTTTCATCGGTAGCTGATGTGTGTTACCATTCAGCACTCCACACTAGAAGGATCCATTGAGTTTTTAAGTACATACGTTTTTGGAGCTAGATAAGCGCAATGTAAAACAAGTGCGAGTGCACAATAAGCTCTGGCGAAAAATGTGACGTCGATGGCACATACGGAACACCATACCTTTGGTCAAGTTTGGGGACATTTCCTCCTTCTGGGTACCGTCCAACCACTACGCAGGTGGCGTCCACCTTGTTCGAGGAAGATGTTGTACAGTGCAAGTGTGAGTGCAAAAGATAATCTGGCCGTGTTGCAAAAGCCTTGCATGAAATCGATCAAAATGATAGTTGTCAGGAACCCCTGCTGGAAGAAAATAGGGAAAAAATTCCATACTCCATCGCCACTTTTTTCAATTAATTTTCTAGCGCCAAAAGTTACATCTTTTATGGTTATTCCCTCCACTTTCCCTCCTCAATTTCTATTTATCAATCAGTCACTTACTTCATCGAGATTCGAACCTCGGACGCTCGCTTGATACGAGACTCTTAACCGCTAGGCCGCGCACGATCGCTGTTGCAATAATCAATCTTTGGACGTATTTGAAGTATCCATTGAAATGAACTAAATATTCATGAGAAAATAAATATTCATAATGACGTATTGCACTATCATTTGCCGGCTCATGCGACGTCGTGGTTATCGATGTCATGCGCATAACGTACCGCTGTTCCTGACACGGTTTTGACCGGCTGCTTCAACTTGGTTCTGCACGACGTGTGCATCCAAAAATGTGTTCTAAAAACAAATTTGTCCTAATTTTTTTTCACCTTAACACATCTTCCTGGATTCCTCTTGGTTGAAATCACAATGTGAGGTGACAATTAATATGTTTGGCAGCAGATAAATTGACGATCGAGTATGGAATTTTTCCCTTGCAAGAAGTCTTGCATGAAATCAATCAAAATGATCCCTGCCAGAGCTGAAAAATGCGACGCCGAAAAATGCTACACCGAAGGCACATAATTATGGAACACCATACTTTTTGGTAAATTTTCCGGGACAGACAGACCATGGAGGAATGACAGACCGACCGACCGACCATCAGGTGACATGTAGAAGCTCCTGCAGTGCCTAAAAGATTCCTGATGTCCGCGGCTCCGCGCCCGCTTTGCTGAATCATTTCTTTATAATGAGGCGGCTGCATGATGTTACTGTGAAGTCAGATTTTTTTGTTCATAAACCAAGTGCATGTACGTGTTTCACTGCAGGAGGTTGAATACCATGAAGTGGAAACCAGAGACACCGCGATCCCAATGAAGACCGTTGGGCAATCAGGAGTTTGATTACCAACTAAGAAGCACCAACGACCAATCACATCGCCTTGCCTTGGACATGTGACCGCAAAAGCCTTCATTAATATGCAAACATCACGTGCCTTGCAGGGTGTAATTTAACGTGAATTGTTTACTTAGATTCATAAATCAATTATATAAACACCATTTCGGATCCAGGAATTCGAATGTTTTACTCTTTTTAAATACAGGCCGTAGCAGGGGGTGGGGTGGGTGGGGGTGGGTGGGGGGGGGTGGGAGTTCAGACCAACCCTAAATTAAAAAAACCGGTACAAATTGTATTCTATTCTTTAACAACGAAAAGCCTTTTTATTAACATGTTTTTTTGGGGGTAAACAGAGGTACTTTGAAAATAAACAAAATGATCTGAATTTTAAACATTAAAAGACAACAAAGTAATTAAAATGATTTTAATGGCGACAGCGATGATGATGATGATGATGGTGCCGGTGATTGTGTTGATTTGGAAATGACGATGATGATATGATGATTATGATTATGATTCTGATTATGATAGGCCATGTGACTTGTAATACTGACGACACAATGAAGACGTTCTATAATGAAGATAAGAATGAAGAACATCCAGGGTATTTACTGTTTTTAACAGTTTCATTGATCATTTGTCATGAGTCCAACCTATTGGGAAATATTGCTAGCATTTGTCAGAATTCGGTGTTTGTTTTATGGAAATATACTAATCCAGACTTGTAGATTTTTTTTGTATCTAATTTAAAGTAGCCATGTTTAGATTTTATTTTAAAGTAGTTCAAATGGAATGATTCAGCGGCATTTTAACAATTTAGTCGGCGGTAGTTTAGTAATACATGTATTGTTATGTTTTCACGTACATTAATCGTAAATATGGATTTCGTGCTCAAGCACCCCCTCAACGGTGAGACTAAGAAAGATAATCGATAAGAAGGGCCATTTTGCCTCACGCACGCTGCTGGTAAACGTGGATTACACAAATGGTGAATAGAGTACGGTGACCAGCGAGTTGTCCTTCGCTTGCATAGGATGGCGGTATTTGGTTTGAATATATTATTTTGTATTAATACCATATAAGGCTATATTAAATTAGTCAGTGAGATACGCACAAAGCATAATACCGGCCCACATTTACGAAAATCAGATAACGCACTCCTATGCGTTATTTAGGTCATGTGACTGTAAAACTCACGGCATATGAGGACGTTTATAATGTGCCAACCTTTTCTCGACAAGGCTGATTATTTCCCTGCTTTCACGGATCAGCTATCACCTCTTGGAGAGTACAGTTATCACGAAAGATTCTGAATTACAAATTCTTTCCCTGCTTTGGAGTGTGTTCGTTACAAGTTAATGTAATTATGTGTACAACTATATACAGGCTTCAGTAGTTGACAGTTAGTATGGTAGTTAGAAAGTAGGAAGATTTGCTCAGCCCACATGAGTGTTGTATGCGATTTAGTTCGAAATCTGTCTATATTTGTAGTGCTTGGTATAGCCTTTCGCCAAGGCCATCGTGGCTTAACTTGCCAGCATAAGACAAAGCGACTGGAGCAGGAGACCACACATGCAAGTGGCGAAGCCACGAGGTCTTTTCCAACTTGTCAAGAATTTCTTATGTTTTTCTTTATAATCTCGATTTTTGCTACCCCAAAAGGGTAGCAAAATTCCAAGCAATCGGAAACGACGGAGTCAGCATTCAACACCGCAAAAACGCAAAATCAAGTTCGTAAAGGCCTCGTGGCTTCGCCACTGGTGCGTGCTGACTTATTCTTTGCTCCAGTAGCTTCGTTTTTTTCGCAGCTCCGCCGCTCTAATACCACGATGGCCTTGGCGAAAGGCTATGCTTGGTAAAGTAGCGAGTTTTCGAGGAATGTTCGAGGAGTGTTTGTTTGAACGCTAAAACGCACAACTTTTATTGAAGGTGTAGAATAGTGCCTCTTACGGGAGAACTCACGGGACTTACAGTAAGTACACTATTATTACAATGGGTGAATGTACGATTAAAAAAAAAGGTGTAGGAAAAATGTTGGGCAATGTTATCTACCCGACGAAATCGCCCCAAATTATGGTTCAATTACACCAACATTTGGAAGGAACCAATTTGTTAAAAAGGGTAGGTAGTTGATAAATGGACAAATTTTGGGTAGCCTGACTTGGCCTTTAGCAGCTGTGGGACTTGTAAAGCTCTAATAATTCCAAAAGTGCCGAATTGAAGATTCATTATTTTGCAAAAGGCATTATGTGTCCTTGCGGAGCACTGTAATATTATACGGGTTATTTTTGGATCCACCACCGGGCATGTGACCACTATACACTCGTAAGGCCCTCTTCCATGGAGAAACCATTGTGCTAGCTATCGTACAAAGCAACTGTCCTTGACGGATTATCTAAACAATAGCTAGCACAATGCTTTCGCCATTGAAGGGGGCCGTATTGATCGATACTATATTTACATGTTTACCTGCACTTCCATCATTGAAGTATTCAATACATTCGATTTCGATGTACAATTGTGGGATTGATGTTACAGAAATATTAAGGTATGATAATAATATAACCTGAACAATATAACCAAATGGTGTCTTAACATTATAAAATTGTACTGAATTTATATGCATTCCCATTATCCTCGTACTATTGTACCTTTTTCAGCATTACCTTATTCTCTGTCTATTATTATTATTACATATCTACATTTTAACCAGATTTTGAAGTGGACAAAATATTACCTGCGTATATGATATTCTTATTTATAACACCTCACCCACAGATTCCGTGTCTTGATTGGCCGAGAGCGAGTCACATGTTACTTTCTAATTTTGCTATCTTTCTGTGCACGGCCAAAAGTACTATGCGCACGGCATGCAACCAAAGTACTATACCATTAGCAACCAAAGTACTATTTCCACGGCGCGGTATGTGTGTGCAAATCACTGATCTCTATATAAAGACTGGATAGCTAATACAGAGCCGCACAATGTACGAATTTGACGCCATATTGGTGAGACCGGCTGGTGATCTACAAAGGACAAGTTGCCGTTTTTATAGACAGCATGATTTCTTTTGTAACGTCGCGGTTCACTTGACTTATATTTTGACCACCACCACTGACCAAGGTTAACTACAATTTTTCTAACGTCGTGGTTACTAAAATGCCGCAAATATAACTTTTTCGGCGTTTTGAAATAATTATCACTACGGAAATGTGTCCCTTTTAGAACATCATAATATGTGTACGTGACCAAAATGCGCGTCAACTGTTGATACAACGCGCGCGTATTTACGCGTAGAACGTTCGTATTATACGCGGCCATCTTCGTGAGACCGGGGGCGAATTGGTCAATATGCAAAGTCTACTGTGTGAATGTTGTATGCATATCCGCTATCCAGTCTTTATATAGAGATCAGTGGTGCAAATGCATGCTGGTGTGCGCATTGCGCGTTGTGCGTAGCGCGTATTATTCCAAAGAGAGCGCCTCGGGAAAATAGAATGGTCCATGGATCACCTCGGGAGGCTAGTTTTACTACACCACTCGATGCATTCAATATTTGTATACTAAGGATTCTTTCATGAAATTCGCTAGTTAACACTTGTGTATTCTGTTATTTATACATGGAAACAAATACATAAGGCGGATTTTTCAAGATGGCGGATGGAGTCTTCCATTTTTTCGACTATTCTGCTGATACAAAATTGGGTCCAAAGGAGCCATAACGCTTTCTACATAGCTACAATCTTGTTGGAAACAATAAAAACGACACTATATTGACACTATATTTGCAAAGCATATTGCAAACGTATAAAAATTAAAAAAAAGCGGTTGGAAAAAAGGAGGCGAACGGGGACAAGTATATTTTTTTGTTACTTGGCCCTACATGATTTCCCTCCTACATCATACCAACTATGATCGTTCCCTGACCCATGTACCGCTGCAGTGTACCGCTGCAGTGGCGCACCAAAGAGGGGGGGGGGGGGGGGGGGGGGGGGGCCCTCGGGGGCTTGAGCCCTCAGAGCCCCCCCCCCCCTGGTTGCGCAACTGTATCATAACGATTGACCAATCACAAAATGGCAACAAGGCTACGACTATTGCGCAGTCCCCCCCAAGAGGTTGTCTTTTTAAATTTTTTTTTATAGTCCCACAATTTGACCTTGGTGATATGTATGTGGCCTATTTTCGAGTAGTATAATAGGGGTGTAAGTGGCGCCACCAACGTCAAAATAGTCCCCCCCCCCCCAAGTTTTGCAGCCAAACATTTTGAGAAAATTTTTTTGAACAAAAATTTAACTCAAAATTTGAAAAATAAAATAAAAATTTGTTGAGCCCCCAAAGCCAAATCCTGGTTGCGCCACTTTAGTACAGTCGGAAAAGGGGGGTATCGTGCACCCTCGGAAATCCATTTCTAATTAACGTTTCTAGGTCAGAAAAAATGCGTAGAATACGATTTGCTATGTTAAAAAATTCAAAAAATGTCCCACGTATTGTTTTTATGCAAATTAGTGCCGCCATTACCGAAAAATCTATTTGTAACTATATCTCAGCCAATATTGCAGATAACTGAACGAACTAGGTGTCTCAACCCATGTTTTCTAGGTCAGAGATCACAATAAAACTATTCTGGAAGTGACCACATGTGTCTGTGGCATAGAAATATGCAAATTAGTGCCGCTAATACCGGAAAATCATGTTTTTGGCATATCTCGGCCAATATAGCACATAACTACACCAGTATGGTGTCTAAACCCATGTTTTGAGGGTCAAGTATCAATAGCAGACCATTCACGAAGTAACTATGTGTGTCTTTGGCATGAAAATATGTAAATTATAAAGTGTCGGTTTATCAGATATTTGATTTTTAGCCAATATCTCGGCCAATATTGCACATAACTACACAAGTAAGGTGTCTAAACCCATGCTTTGAGGGTCAGGTATCATTAGAAGACCATTCACGAAGTAACTATGTGTGTCCTTGGCAGGTAAATATGTAAATTCTAAAGTGTCGATTTATCAGAAATTTGATTTTTAGCCAATATCTCGGCCAATATTGCAGCTAATGTTGACAGAAGGGTTTCTGATAAGCAATAATTATCAAAGTATATTTTAAGCCATCATATTCAAAATAAACTGTAATATTGGCTAAAATTGAATATAATTTGGCTGAAAATCATTTTCTTGATAAACCGGCAATTTAGAATTTACATATTTTCATGCCAAAGACACACATAGTTACTTCGTGAATGGTCTTCTAATGATACCTGACCCTCAAAATATGGGTTTAGACACCTTACTTGTGTAGTTAAGAGCAATATTGGCCGAGATTTTGGCTAAAAATCAAATATCTGATAAACTGACACTTTATAATTTACATATTTTCATGCCAAAGACACACATAGTTATTTCGTGAATGGTCTTCTAATGATACTTGACCCTCAAAACATGGGTTTAGACACCATACTGGTGTAGTTATGTGCTATATTGACCGAGATATGCCAAAAACATGATTTTCCGGTATTAGCGGCACTAATTTGCATATTTCTATGCCACAGACACATGTGGTCACTTCCAGAATAGTTTTATTGTGATCTCTGACCTAGAAAACATGGGTTTAGACACCTAGATTTTTCGGTAATGGCGGCACTAATTTGCATAAAAACAATACGTGGGACATTTTTTGAATTTTTTAACATAGCAAATCGTATTCTACGCATTTTTTTCGGACCTAGAAACGTTGATTACAAATTGATTTCCGAGGGTGCACGATACCCCCTTTTCCGACTAAACTACTTGTACCTCTGGGCATTAACTCATCATCATTCTCAAATCCTGAATCCAAAACGTGCAGTTGAAACAACTCTTTAGTCCTCCGATTGTCTCGGAACTCAAATCGCATTAGTTTCTCAGACTTGATTGTCTCAACAACGTTAGGGCCTAAGATCTTTGTCTCGGTACCTGTCGGTCCGCGAAGTTTTTTTTATCATGTTACATATCGAAACATACCCGTCAAAATAGGGGACCAGCAGCTCGGGAAATTCGAAAACGGGGGTGGGGGAGGGGTGGGTGCCTTGGAATATTTTAGACAGACTTTTTCGAAGAGTACTGTTCTATGCCAACTTAGTTCTTTTGAGTTTAATTGGGTGATGATCGATCCCAAGTTCAGTATTAAGAAACCCCCAAAATGGTCAGTTAATGGCAGGTGTAGGCCCGGATACATAAGATCATTATTTTGTTCTTTATACATTTTTCTCTTTCGTTTTGAGAAAAAGAAAAGTCAAATCCTTTATAACGTATAACTATAGGGTGCATAACAAGTAAATTGCAGAAGTTTTGGCTCAGTGGTGGCTATTATAGTGAAAACTGAGAAAGCATAATATTATATTACACACAATTTTTTAGGGGGTGAGGCTCGTCACTCGATGCCAATGCTTACTCACGTAAAAAAAAGTGCCAAGCTATTTTGAAACCGCCTTCAATGGTTGTTTTCTTTCGATCGAAACCATTTCTGGCGGAGTAATTCACAGGGTAATGGAGACGGCGAATATCCCTCATTTTGAGCGAGGCCAAGTTGTCTCAGTCGGTTGGCAGGGCGGATCTATAGCTTTCTGGAAACGGGTGGGGGGGGGGGTAGAGTAAAGGTACGTCGAAGGAATGGGGTTCAGGGGACATGCTAACTTAAGTCAGCGGCTGAACGGGGATCTGCCATACTGGGTCAAATTAGGTGCACCCAATACCACTTACACTCGTATCATAAAATGATATTTTCTTGAGTAAATCACCGAATATTGAGCCAATGTGTTGGGTGGGGCTAAATCATATCGGTGACCAAGCAGGACTAGTCGACAGCAGATCAATTGAGGGCGCTGTTGCGTAATACGTCCACGTATAACTCGTCGATGTTTGACTTCGAGTCCGAGATTTGTGGCATAGTAAAACCATCTGATTTTGCACGGAAGGGATTAAATTTGATCTCAGAGTAAGTTCTACGCTGTGAAATAGAAACAAGTGTTGAGTTAACCTATTGTGTACGTATTATAATTCGGAAGTTGTGAACTACAGTAAGTTAAATAAATTGTGCCCAGTTTCCGGACGTATGCCTGCATTGATGATCAACTGCATAAGGCCCCTCCCAAAAAGTCTCCGGTTTCTGGTATGGAGCTTGCCCAAAAAGTGGTGCGGCGAAGCGGCTTTTCTTACCGTTTTTTCTTCTTCAAATATCGGCTGATGACTGGAGATAGTGCCCGACTGAATGCAAATATATGGGTAATCCTAGACCCGTGAACGTGGCGTTGTATACAAGCCACGTTCACGGGTCTAGGGTAATCCTTACTTTTAGGACCCCGTTCCTATATAGGAAGGGAAAGACTCACCAAAACAGTTGACTGAATGACACTCAAAATTGACATTCTGATACTTCTTGGCACATCTGAACAATTGGCAATGACACCTTCTTGAATATCAGCAGGTTTAATTTTGTGGAAAGAGGGCAGGGCTTTGATTTATGAGGGAAATTCAGGGGTAAAAGACGACGATGACAACCAGAAAACAGACTCAAAAACCAAGATGGCAAACCTGAAAGCTTGATGCGATGAAAGCTTGATGCTGATTGGCTGATAAAAAATAAACATCTTATTTATTTTTAGTCTGGTTCCCAGACCAAATGATTCAGGAAAAGTCAGAATCTTTTGGTCTGAGAACCAGACTAACTTATTTATTTTTCTGTTTTAGCCTCTGAAGAAGAACTTGCTAAGTTCGCAACGTCAGGCCACATTAATTTTAGATTTATTTATTTTTAGTCTGGTTCCCAGACCAAAAGATTCAGGAGTAGTCAGAATCTTTTGGTCTGGGAACCAGACTCATTAATTTTTTTAGCAGCCAATCAGCATCGGGCTTTCATTATGTAGGGCTTTCACGCGTGTGAGAACTACAACATGCACGTCTGACTGCGAAAAAAGGTAGGAAAGTCACATTTTATTCGAAAGTGCTTTCAAAATTACAACTTACATGAGTTTATATGAAGAAAAAAGACTGCTTTAGACTGCAAAAGTCACTTTGGTACTGGACAGTCATCTTCAAAAAAGTCAGTTTTGAACAGAACTTGTTAAAAATAGAGGTGTCCTAAAAGTAAGGATTACCAATAGGCCTATATGGGAGTCAAGAGAGAGAGGCCAAAATAAAGCATATTCTCGATCGTATTTATTCGTAACCCAAATTGTGCATAGTCCTAGAACTATGAGGCTCCTCGGCACAATTGCAGAATACATGTACCCCGCCACTCGATCTATCCACCTCGTAGCCGGCTATGAGGTCACGGTTGATTGACCTCAATAAACATTCTCAGTGCTACTTGTATGTACTATGCGTCATGCTCCATTGCACTCCCACTTCGTGACCGCCTAGCCGCCAACAGGGTAGTTGGTTTGGACTTAGAATTTTTTTCAGCAACTCCCATTCATTTTGTGTTGCTTCGTTCTCAAATAATGGACCCCCACTCAGTATCCGCGTAGCTGGCATGGACTTGAATTGTTTCTTTTCCAGTGATTCCAACCGCGTAGCCAGAGATTTTAGGGGTGTAATTCCAAGTGGTGGGGTATTCTGCAATTATTCCGGCTCCTCATAGTGTAGACCCGTGAACGTGGCGTTGTAGTTTACAAGCCACATTCACGGGTCTACACGTAGTGTAGCTCTACTGAGTGGAGCGTTGAATTACGGGTACCCCAGCCTCCATACCAACGCTCCACCGATTTGCCATACTTTGGTGACACCGTCACAGTAGCATAGTCACAAAGCCACGCGAGGACAAAAAGACCCCCCAAAAAACGGTAAAGAGAATACAAATGAGAGGGACAGTTATCCTGGATTGATCTATATATTCTTGATATTCCATTATATTGTTCCCAAACAGCGAAAAATTTGAAAAAAAAAACACCGGCAAAATAGTCTGAAAACTTACAGCTCAACGTGTTTGCAGGGAGGCTCAGTTCTTGAATCGACTTGTCGAATGAGGGCGTCTGACGTGACGTCACCGTCCTTGCTCGATCGCGAAGAAAAACAAGTCGCGCTTTATCAACGACTGTTTCGTGTAATAATACGTGCTCCGATCCGCGCCGCGCCGTACGACAGTATGGGCTTTGAACACACCCAAGGAGCACGTATTATTACACGAAACAGTCATTGATAAAACGATGATTTTCGGTTCGCTCGGAGCGCGGGGGGGGGGGGGGGGGGGGGGGGGGTACGGTACAAGCGAAATGATAGTATGCGCATGCGTACAAGTGCATGTACCGTACCCCCCGCGGCGCGCTCCGAGCGAACCGAAAATCATTCGCTCGATCATATGCGTGCACGTTTCAAGTGTCAGGTTGGCTCAGTGCGGAAAGGGCATATTTTCATCATTGTGGCCTAAAAACCGACAGAATCCACCTATGTTAGTTCTGCGCATGATATGCGAGTATGTCAAGAGATAAAGTACGGAGTATACGGGGCAAACTGTGCAGCGGTTCTGTGTGAAATGTCTCCATTTTGATGGACGTTTTTGTACTTTATTAGTGTTTGGTGCTGCAGGCAATTTTGCGGGCTTCTTGATCTATGAGGCTCCACTACGTGGAGCCTCATAGTTCTACGAGTAAATTGTGCAGCAGCAGGATTCCAGTCAAACCAGTGAGCTTGGGGGTTTTGACATTTAATGAGACATCATCTTTCATTGAAAAAAACTTTCATTTTCATTTTGTTGACACGCATGGCTACAGTGATGCACGCATACCAGAAACCGGAGACTTTTTTGGGGGGCCTAATTGTCTTTAGTTTACTTTTTTTAACTAAAATATGAAAAATATTGATGATTTCGGTGGCTTCTTCACAAAAACTGTCCAGTGCCACACTGTCATGGCTTTGTTGTGGTTATTGTGTGCTTGTGCCGATCAGCCAATCAGATTATTCCTGGATTATTCAAGTCGATCATTAGCTTCAGGAATGACTATGGTATGAGGTATGTTTAAGATAGTGGATATTGCCGGAGGTAATGCCGGCAAGCTAACGTTTACTAAAGGTTTGCCGTCGGCAATCCATATCAACAGAGGGCGCTGTACTCTCTATGATAGGGCTGAATTATAAGAGTGTATATCCCGCAAGCTAACGTTTACTAAAGGTTTGCCGTCTCCGGCAAAATATCCACTGCCTATGTTTAATGGAATCTGGGTTGGGATAGAGGTAGCCCCATAAATGTGGCCAATTTACTGGACTACCTCCGTAAATAAAGGCCACACTTCCACCATGTACAAAAACATGTCGAACTTTGTCAAATTTTGATTTGACATTTAGGCTTAGTTTGTAGTTTATTTTTGCTTTAGAAGCATACTCACCCTCTTTATAGGCTAATCAGAAAGTGCAGCCTTTTTCAGATTTTTCTGTGAAATTTCCAACTTCGTTTGCACAGGTTTACGTATCAAAATTTCAACATGAAATTTCACGAAAAGTAGACATCTGAAAAAGGCAGCACTTTTTGATTAGCCTATAAAGAGGGTGAGTATGCTTCTTAAGCAAAAATAAACTACAAACTAAGCTTAAATGTGAAAATCCAAATTTGACTAAGTTCTACATGTTTTTGTACATGGAGGAAGTGTGACCTTTATTTACGGAGGTAGTCCAGTAAATGGGCCACATTTATGGGGCTAGGATAGAGGGGAAAAATGACCATTTTGTGGAGACCGTTTTTTTAGGGTCTCGTACAATCTCACATTTACAATGTAGTTTTGTCTCCAGCATTACATGTGAATTCCTAATGAGCATGTCAGCTGGAGTTACTCAAGCTACAAGACGCCTAGCAAGTTACTCTACAGAAACAGAATTCAACTTTTCCTGGCCATTTACCAGTAGGCCTACCTATCTGGAAAGAATGTTGCATCCATTCAGATGCCACTTTTATCATCATAATCTCAATGAAGGTCAGTCATTGCAAAAATGTTGAAAAGACGTGAATCTGGGACTGAGAAACATTTCCAGTTTTGTTAGAAGGTATTTTGAAAGTTTTGACTCGCCATAGCCTTTGTACAAAAAGAAGTGGCGTCTGGATACTACAATGTACATTCTTTCAAAGTATCGGAAAAAATGTTACAACCTGACGCCACTTTTTTCTTCAAATATCTTCTCAATGAAGGTCAGTCATTGCAAAAAAGATAAGACATGAATCTGGCACTGAGAAACATTTCCAATTTTGTTAGGAAATACTTTAAAAATGTCCTGAGTCTCCAAAGACTTTGTACACAACCGCTGAAGTGGCGTCAGTTTGCAACATATTTTACCAAGAATCTTCCATGGTAAATATCAAGTAAAAAACAAGCAGTCCTGATTTCAATTTCCTCAAAATCCACTAGGTTTCCTGACATTTGGCCACTGTGTGGCTTGCACAAACAATACGGAAGAGGTCCAGTAGTTTCAGCCACATTAAAAAATCATGACATTTATGGCCGGGGCTAAACTAGGCCTAGCCCCATAAAATGTGGCTGCAACCCAAAGCACTCTTCTTTTAATTCTGTTTTTTGTTGTTGCAATTTTGAACAGCATCTCTTGGGAGAAAATGTAACTTTCATATGCATTTTGCAGTTGAAGTGAATCAACACGGTTTTGCACACTCACATTGCCTCAAGGTCATGGCCATATTTAATTTAAAAATACAGTGGAACGCCGCTATAACGAACGTCGCGGGATCCACAGATAATGTTTGTAATAGCGATCGTTCGGCATAGCGATTTTAAGCTGCCGGTGCTCGGTACTCCCTTTTCAATAAATAGCGACCTTCATAACTTCACCATACATGCCCTGGTAGTTACTGAAAGATGACTTCGAACACGTGCCGACTAATGCATTATGTAATTACAGTTTTGAACTTGCTAAGTTGCTACCTACATCATACATGTACATCTTCTATGCCTTGGGGAATTAATAGCCACTTGTCGCTCATCTGTTATTCATCAGTTTTCAACAACAATGTTCGGTTGGTTTTGTACACAAAAATCTGGAGCCAAGGACGATGTTCGGTATAGCCGAATGTTCGGTATGGCGGTGTTCGGTATAGCGACGTTCCACTGTAATCAAAATCCTGCCCTCTATCAACAACATCCCTGTTGACTTGAAACATCGCTGACTACTTGGGTGAGTCCCATAACCTACAGTTTGAAGTTTGTTCTCTTATATGAACAGGGCCTGTAACTACACAATCACCCATGTAAATGTTGTTCCCAAAGTTGGATCAAACAGGGGACTGAACTTCATCTCTGTCCCAAACAGTTGCGAAAGAAGAACTTCAAATTTTCAAAAGAACTTGACACAAAAGCATCCCAGCGAGTTCCAATATGGAACCAGATATGGTCAACCCCTTCGCCCTGCTGCAGTCCGCCACAGAAGAGACCCCAGAGGTCATGAAAGGTCAAAGTTCAGAGGTCGTGCCGGCAATCAGCGCAGCTGATGAAAGCAAGGAGGACAAGAATCCAGGGTCAGAGGTGAAAGACGAGAGTGCGGCGTCAGAGGCACAGAAGGTTCAGGCAGTGGACCGGATGATACAGACAGTTTTTCTGGTCACCGTTGATCACGGTAAAATAAAATATTAATTTTTGTTGTTGTTGTAAATATCTTTACAGGTACACGTTTTTGGTCCTCATAATCAACTTGGAGGACTAGTCGTTAATACAGTCTCGCATGTTTCTTTATCCAAAAGTTGTTTGCAGAGCGTATGGGCTAAAATCACCATGTGTGCAAGGCCAAGTAAAAAAAAAAAGAAGTTTATCATCCCCGCCAGCTACTTCTTTTTCCGCTTATCATATATTTGCAGTATCATTTCGGAACATCACTTGACACCGTGACCCTGTGCACAAATCCTATGAGACTGGTCTGAAAATTCCAAGTGTTTTCTCAGTAAATGCTTAAATATTTTCCCTGTTAAACTTGACTTTTTAGGTCATGTTATTGCTTTCTAATGGCTGATAGGTCACTGCAGGGAAAAATTAGTGATGTCCATGTATTGAATTCCTCCCATAATGGGTCTTTTTACTTGTTTTCCAAAAAAAATTGCAGCCATGCAAGTTCAAAATTTTGTTGAAAAGGGTAACAGCTCTTTTAGACACAAAAGTATCAACAAAAGAGTGGAGAAAAGGGCAGGATCCGTGCGCCATCTTAGAAAATCCGCCATCTTGGGAAAAAAAAAAATGGGCTGCCCTTTTTCTAAAAGCTCTTGCGAGAAACTTTTTTGTTCAATGTGGTCTAAGTCTCAAATTGGCGTTGGAATTTCGAAACTGTTTTTAAATATGATTCAAAGTATTTTTCCTTTGACATCTTTTTTTCTTCAGAGAACGAGACAAGTGACCGAGGTATGCCGCCTCGCTGCGTGTACCTGGTGGAAACGGCCGACGCCCTGAAGGAAGAAAATGGCGGGACGTGGAACTGGCTGGGCTGGGATGTCATTGATCGGGTGGGTTTTCTTTTGGTTGATGGATTTGGCAGCTTTTCCGGAATCCGGATGCAAAATTCCATTGTACAAAGCATTGAACGTAGCACCTGCTGCCTGGCTCCGTAAACATGTTTCAAATAGTCAGACTTCCTCTGCATTTACACAATGTAAAGACACACTGCGAAAATTGGCACGGTACATCTTTCAACTCATATCAAATCCTTTGTGGTCAAAAGGACCCCATGTAAACCGGCGAAAAGCGCACAGCCAGATGACCTTGGACATAGAGATAAGAGCTCCCGGGCTCTGTGTATACACTAGCACGGCCTAGCACGTGTACAATAAACAGACCCTGCGCGCTGAGCCATGAGCAACGGCAAATGTTATTGGAGTTTAGATGTACAATTCTTTAGTAAGTGAATACACGCGAGCCTAAACCTCAACCAATCACAATAAGGGTTATATTATTGGAAAGTTGACGAGACGAAGAAAAATGACTCGGAGATCTAAGGTCCCAGGTGGCGCTATTTAACGTTGTGATGATGTTAATGGACCAGTTCTTGGCTGAACGTGTGGTTTACACACAAAACAGGCTGATTTTTGACTAAAAATGCAGTGTTGGTTTTGCTAAATGTTTACCTAATGGAACCTAGATTCCCGTCCTAAGACCAAAGTTTTTATCGCTGTTTCAGGCCATCTTTGAGAGGATACTTCTTGAGGACCCTGCCTTCCATGTCATCAACATGAGCTCTGCCTCCCTGAGCTGTACGGTGGAGGAGCAAGAGGCAGGAGAGAAGGAAGTGATGCGATACCTGCTGGCTTGCTACAGGAGGAGTGTCCAACAATCCAAGGCAAACAAGGTGAGGGCACAAGCACAAACACACAGTCATGTTTTACTATACTCTCGAGGACAATGCTTTGTCTTTTCCTTTGTCCCTGTAATTTAACACTCTCCCATAGACTAAGCACACAAACGCACGACCGAGGACCGATTTCAACAAAAGATGAACTCTCGAGGACAACAAAGAATCTGTTGTTCTCCCTTTGTCTGTCTGTCCTCGGGTGTATATAGTTCACGTACATATTGACTGGCTGTTGAGGTCACTAGTGCATGAATGTGCACCCCAAGGTGATTTAATACCTGCTGGCTTGCCACAGGAGGAGTGTCCAACAATCCAAGGCAAACAAGGTGAGGGCACAAGCACAAACATATTGACTGGCTGTGAGGTGACTAGTGCATAAATATGCACCCCAAGGTGATTTAATACCTGCTGGCTTGCCACAGGAGGAGTGTACAACAATCCAAGGCAAACAAGGTGAAGGCACAAGCACAAACATATTGACTGGCTGTGAGGTGACTAGTGCATGAATATGCACCCCAAGGTGATTTAATACCTGCTGGCTTGCTACAGGAGGAGTGTACAACAATCCAAGGCAAACAAGGTGAGGGCACAAGCGCTAACATATTGACTGGCTGTGAGGTGACTAGTGCATGAATATGCACCCCAAGGTGATGGAATACCTGCTGGCTTGCTACAGGAGGAGTGTCCAACAATCCAAGGCAAACAAGGTGAGGGCACAAGCACAAACATATTGACTGGCTGTGAGGTGACTAGTGCATGAATATGCACCCCAAGGTGATGGAATACCTGCTGGCTTGCCACAGGAGGAGTGTGCAACAATCCAAGGCAAACAAGGTGAGGGTACAAGCACTAACATATTGACTGGCTGTGAGGTGACTAGTGCATGAATATGCACCCCAAGGTGATTTAATACCTGCTGGCTTGCTACAGGAGGAGTGTACAACAATCCAAGGCAGACAAGGTGAGGGCACAAGCACAAACATGTTGACTGGCTGTGAGGTGACTAGTGCATGAATGTGCACCCCAAGGTGATTTAATACCTGCTGGCTTGCTACAGGAGGAGTGTACAACAATCCAAGGCAGACAAGGTGAGGGCACAAGCACAAACATGTTGACTGGCTGTGAGGTGACTAGTGCATGAATGTGCACCCCAAGGTGATTTAATACCTGCTGGCTTGCTACAGGAGGAGTGTACAACAATCCAAGGCAAGGTTACTAATACAAACATATTGACTGGCTGTGAGGTCACTAGTACAGGACTATGCACCCCTATGTGATGCAATCCTTTTTAACAGGAGGAGTATACAACAATTCAAGACACACATACATACAAGGTGAGGTCAGTGTTACAAACATATTGACTGGCTGTCAGGTCACTAGTGCACAACTATGCACCTTAAGGTGATGCAATACTTGCAAGCTTTCCACAGGAGGAGTGTAAAATGATCCAGGGCAAACAAGGTGAGGTCACTCGTACAAACATATTGACTGGTGACTAGAATAGTGCACAACTATGCAGTGTTGTAGGAATTGAGTCCAGCTGTCCAGGACTTGGGACTCCATCTCGAGTTGCAATTTCGGTATTAAACTCAGACTCTACTTGAGTCACGTCGGCAAAGACTCGTACTCAGACTCGAACTCGACCATCATAACTCAGACTTGACGCTAATGAATTGTAAATAGCGGGACACATATTTTTGTACCCCCAAAATATTACCTTTTAAAAACGTAATTCCGATGTTTATTCTCCAAAAGTAGCATTAAAGCAACGCTAGAAATGTTTAGCACACGAACTGTACTGCACCCCTCTCCAGGTGGTGTTGCAAATAATAATGTTTGTTGCTGTGCCAGGTTTCTGACTTCACAGCCAATTGATACATGTGGATCACGTGAAGTGTTAACAAACCAATTGTTTTGAATTGCCAATTGAACTCTGACCTTTTATCTCAGGGTGACCTCCATGAATATGCAGAGTGCTGTCGGCGAGTCGTCATCTCCAATGCAGTGACAAGCTTGTTGACCCCGGAGCTGTTTAATGGGCAAGACCTGCATGCACAGACCATGACTACACTCCTGCAGATGTTTGCAAGTGGAGGTATGGTGTGATGACCATACAACTATGGAGGAATCCTGACACATGATCACTCTGCATTAATACAAGGCCCCCTTCAATGGAGAAAAACCATTGTGCACACTATTACACAAAGCAACTGCCTCGTGACTGATTATCTGACCAGTAGCTAGCACAATGCTTTTGCCATTGAAGGGGGCCTCCATGAAAGAAGTCATATCGTTCCCGTATTGGCCTATATTAGATTTACCAGAGGGCACTCACCGTACACAATGTAGCCAGCTGGGCGCTTCAAAGTTTGTACACAAACCTGATAATATGCCCAAATCTAAAGTGCACTGTCAGTAAATGAAGGTTTCATTTTGCGCTATGTAAACAACCCCAACCCCCGTCAGATTTTCTTCAGGTTCCATGCTAAATCCAACAAAATCCAACATAGTTGAAATGAGAACCACGCTAAATGCAAGAAAGTGAAACAAAATGCAACAGTGTATTCAGTTGCATTGTGCAGTGAACTCGGTCCAAACCAGCCCTGGCATTACAAAGTTAACCCTGCTAAATACAACCAAATGTAAGAGTGAATTCTGCTTTATCAGCCTTGGCACCATGAGCAGTTTCCCTGCTTAATGCAACAAGATGCGACGAAGCATGGGGACTTGAGTTGACTCCTGATATGCAACAACATGCAACAGTGGATTCTGTTGTATTAGCTTTGGCACTATGGGCAGTTAGCCTGCTTAATGCAACAAGATGCAACGAAGCATGGGGACTTGAGTTGATGCCTGATATGCAACAACATGCAACAGTGGATTCTGTTGTATTAGCTTTGGCACTATGGGCAGTTAGCCTGCTTAATGCAACAAGATGCAACGAAGCATGGGGACTTGAGTTGATGCCTGATATGCAACAACATGCAACAATGGATTCTGTTGTATTAGCTTTGGCACTATGGGCAGTTAGCCTGCTTAATGCAACAAGATGCAACAAAGCATGGGGACTTGAGTTGATGCCTGATATGCAACAACATGCAACAGTGGTTTCTGTTGTATTAGCCTTGGAACTTAGGGCAGTTAGCCAGCTTAATGCAACAACATGCTACCAAGCACAGTGACTTGAGTTGACTGCTGAATGCAACGGAATGCAACAACTTTTTACCACTATTTGCTTTCTGTTGCATTTACTATGGGTAGGGTTAAGATATGTGCATTAGTAAGCAGGAGCCTGTGTATTCCAAAGCAAACTTGTGATATTTTTGAAATGCAAAATTATACCATTGAAGGGCAAAACCCATTATTGGATAGCATGTAATATCTGGCTAATGCAGAATTACATTTCGCTAGTCATTGAGAAGCTGCTCCTACCACTCTTGACTTTTTTTCCCTCTCAGAAATCGACCACGTCTTCAACTTTCTGCTGGAAGTGGTTGATGCAGTCTTGTTGGACGAAGACCTACAATTGGCCGACGCGTTCGTTCCGTTGCTAGACCTCCTGTACAAACAGATGACGGAAAATCCGTCGCTGTCGGACGCCAGGAATGCCGCCTTCTGTGCTGTGCTGGAGCTGTTCACGAGACGGACAAGCTTAGCAAACGTAAGCCTGTCAGTTTTCATCAAAAATGTCCTGAATACATCTATGGAGTATAGTGTATATGAGGTTCATTTACATGGAACGCAGTATCCATGATGTATTGTGGTGTCAACAAATGTATCGTGTTGTCAACTCTGCTTTGCATTTTGCTTCCATATAAGGTATGAAGCAGCCTCTAAGATGTGAATTTTGTCCCCCCCTCATTTAGATTCTAATGGATCACGTCACGCCCAAGGACCATAAAAAAGCCAAGAGTTATGAGCAGACAGTCCTAGGCATCCCACTGTCTCTGTCGTGCGTGCCCAGGCATCAACAGCCGACTGAGTTCTTCACCAAACCATCCAGGGCAACGCAGAGGGAGCACAGTGCAACACAGGAATTTTTATGGCAGGTGGGTTTGTGTTCAAAATTCAACGTAACTGCAACCTAAAGTTTGCAACCTTAACACCAAGTGTATGCAACACAACCTACGGGTCATATCAGATAAGATAAAATGCAACGTACATGTAAAACAGGAATTCTTACGGCAGGTGGGTTTATGTTCAAAATTTGACGTGACTGCAACCTAATGTTTGCGTCTTTATCTTAATGTTTGCATGAACACAACCTACAGGTCATATTTACAACGTAAGACAGGAATTCTTATGGCGGGCATTTATATGTGAGATTTTCAAATTGCAACGTTAGTGCAATGTTAAGTTTGAAACCTTAACACAATGTGTATGCAACACAACCTACGGGTCATATTTACAACGTAAGACCGGAATTCTTATGGCTGGTGTGTACATGCGTATGTGGAATTTTCAAACTGCAATGTTACTACAACGTAAAATTCTCAACCTTAAAACACTGTAAACACAGCGTAGAATTTAAATTCAGATATCGAGTCCTGCTCAGATAATTTCATTCAATTTTTGTCATACCTTTTGATGGTTTGCATGTTTCGCAGCCAATGGCCCTACTGAATGACAGGATGTATGAAGTTTTCAAAGGGATCTTCAAGTCTTCGACGGCTAATAAGAACAGACTACTGTCCTGGCTGGGCAACTGTCTACATGCAAATGCAGGTATGGACACTATTCCTCATACATAGTTATGATCTAGTGAGTCCTGGTTGGTGTTAATAATCCTCCTAAAGGCCGGTTCATATATCATGCAAATGCGATGCCAATTTGACGTCACGAAGCGTTCGCTGCGAAACTCGCCAAAGTTGAAATGTGTTAAACTTTTGCGAATTTGCAGCGCGAAAACTTGCCCTGACATCAGTGTTTCCCCTGCCCATTTAAACGTGAGGCGGGCCACCTCGCTACTTTCAGTGACCACCTCGCTCAATTTTTGCCAATATCACCACCTCGCTGTGAAGATTTGCAATAAAGGAAATACTAGTCGAACAATTTTCCTTTTGTGTAATTTATGAGCGTTTTCCTTGACCTCTATGTTTCAAGAACTCACAATTCAGATGTGTAAATGGAATCATCTCGCATTTAGTTGTAAGGGCAGCATCTTTTTGAGTTTGCAAACTGCGTCAATTTTGTTTCAATCATCAATTTGGATTTTTACCACCTCGCTCATTTCATTAGCTAGGGGAAACACTGCCTGACATCACAAATTCTCGCTTGCGTTCGCGCCGAGATAATCAGCATATTCATTACTCAAGCCAGCACCGTGTTTGGGCAATTGCTTACCTTATAGGCTCCGTGCACAATTACGCCCTCAAGGGTAAGAAAGGCATTCAAATACATTGCCGTCGACACCTGACCCTAATGCAAAGACACTATGGCTTTGCGCACATTCGGAATAAAACAAGTCGTATGGTGGGTAGTTTGCACCATACATGCATGAACCAATATGTGCACGCAGTGTGTCTTGTCCAAGGGGATCTCAAAAGTGGTAAGAAAGCACCTTCTCGTGATAGCACACGGAGCCCATAAGAGGGTTCTTTGCCTTGACGGAATGTCAAAGGGAACGTACATTTGCTTTTGCTGTAATTTTCAGAAATAAATGGATCTGGAGGATTAATATGTTATAGAAAATATTGTTAAACTGACTTGTTTCACGTTTTGGGCTTGTAGATGCTGGAAAAAACCAAGAAAACCTATCATGTTTTTGTAGTCTGGTTCCCTGACCCCACTGAAAATGAAACAGAGCAATTAATACACTTGGGGAATTGTAAGCTCAGAGAATTGTAAGCTCAGTTCACAGTTGTGTAATCAATTGCAAAGAAAAGTCAGAATAACTAAATATGACAACTCAGGAACAGTTTTTGAAAAAAGCCAGTTTTCTCCAACTCTGGTCGGCCGACCAGCGTTGGAAAAATACAGTTTTTCTTGAAACTGTCAGCACACCAGGAGCCATGATTTTAAAGGATGATTTAATTAGACTCTCAGTCCCTAACAATTCAGTAAGGTATTTCGTGATAATTCGATCGTTTCATTTTTTGATGTCTGCAAATGTTGTATCTTCCCTTTAACTTTGCATTCCTTGGAGCATGTAGCCACTCATCCTTGTGGTAATGTACACATTTGAACAAAGACAGAGGTTGCAGCTTATCGGAGGGTCCAGTAGTGCAAGGGTAAGGCGACACAGCATGATTGGGTTTTCTCGGCCGTTTTGAACAAATCTCTCTTCTGCAGGTCGGGGTAAACTTTGGTCAAGGGAGATGCAGAATTTCGGCCAGGTCTACGCAAGCGACGCTTTCTTTATGAACCTAGGTGCGGTCATGGTGCGATTCTGCGCCCCGTTCACTGCGCCGGACTCCAGCAAGATTCTCAGCGTGGACCTCAGCTACAGCCGGCTGGAGCTGAGCAGTACCGCTGGGGAGGAGGAGATGAACGACAAAGGAGTGCATCTCAGAGGTAATGGACAGCACCTAGGAATGACCTTGTAATGACCCTGATATGACCCAAGAGTGACCTTAAGTATGACGTGAGGATGACCTTTGTCAATGGGCAAGTTCGATCAAGGACTACAGTTTACCATAGTTCGACTAACTCTGATCGAACTCGCGCTAGTCGACATTGGTTGGACTAGTCTAGTCAACTATTCAGGACCAGCCTACCGCGGCTGGCCACGCAACGATTTATAGCTGGCTATCAATAGCTATTTTCATAGCAAAGCGCAGAGGCGACCAACTGTCAACAAAAATGGCGGAAAAATTAAACTGTGAGTGCTAAATTTCATTTTCATTGCATAGCTTTTCCCTGTTAGTTTACAATTTTGTCACTTTTGTCACCATTGCACAACAGTTATGGCGATTATGTAAGGTGTCAGTAAATTACACAATCAGTATTATTTGTGTGAATAAACAGAAACATCAAGTGTTGACTGCCATTTTTTGACGGTCGTTGACATGACAATAGTTTGACTAGAGTCATTCGCACTTCACCTTCAGTGCGCATGCGCCAGTTACGTCAAGAACCAACCACTAGTTAACCCGTTCTTGATCAAACTTGGCCTTTACTAAAGATGTAACGCCCTGGCACAAGCAAAAATAAGACAAATTGCGACACTCTCTTGTCTTCTTGATCCCAAGGACTCCCCAAAGAGACTTGCCTCATCAAGTTAGCCGACGACACAGAAGGCGGGAGGAATCCCACTGCCTCTCCCGCCCTCCCCACCAACCCGCCGTACAAGTTCACCACGGAGGTCTTCTTCCTGGCCCAGCGCTGCCTGAACCTGGGCTACCACAGCGTGCTGGAGCGCTTCAACCGCCTCAACCGGGAGCTGCACCGCATCCAGGAGGTCTATCAGGAGATGCAGCGATTGGGGGCGGCGGGAGGAAGCAACCCGGCCGTGGAGAGGCTAAGGGAACAGATGGACATCGGTGAGTGCTCAGTGGAATTAGTGCTGATAGGGCAATGACGGAAACACGGAAAACAAGTCGGTATAAAATGAGAGGCTAAGGGAACAGATGGACATCGGTGAGTGCTCAGTGGAATTGGCGCTGATTGACTAAGAAGGGCGATGACGGAAACGCGGAAAACAAGTCGGTATAAAATGAGAGGCTTGGGGAAGAGATGGACATTAATGAATTTTTTTTTTGGGGGGGGGAAGAAACGGCTCACTTTTTTTTCAAATATTTTAAAAACATGCTATTGAGATATAGATGAAGTATAGTCGTGTTCCCTAACGTGGCGCACTTCGAAGCTTACCCAACTTTCCTCGTGTAGTGTTGCCAAACCTCTTTGTTGATAAACCTCAAATTCATGCAGTGAAATGCTGGTACTTTTACCTTTTTAATGCTTGCTATTTAACCTCTGTGAACAGTTTCGGTTTCATAAAATTTAATCCGAAATGCAAAAACGGTCGCGTCCGGAAATTGGGCACAAATTGGCGGAGTGTTCCCTAACGTGGTGCACTTGAATAAATCTCAAAAAATTCCAAATTAACATTTAAGAATTTCTGTAAACTTGACAAATTCTGATAAATCATTACTATCTTTACTTACAAACCCAGCCAGATGTTTGTCAGAAAATTATTTTCTTATTTTTCGGGGCATTTTCAAAGGGTTCACTTTGCACTTGAAAATAAAATCGGAAAATCACGCCAAAAGAATTTTTTCTTTTAACTTTGTAACTGGTAAATAAACTCGCGATTTATGAACGGGAGTGTTTAGAGCTTGATGAAATTTCACTTTCTGTGAAATTTCAGTTAAAACTTTTGCTCTAGCTAGGCACTACAGGCGAAAAATCAAAGTGCGCCACGTTAGGGGCCGCGCCACGTTAGGGTACATCAACAATACTACTTTACCATTCATACACAGTGTCCATATCAACATTTACTGTCATGATGTAAAAATTCTATCCTAACTGCCAGTTCACAAGTAATGTTCTTTTCCCCTAGCCATGGCCCTGTTTCTATCTCTAAAGACGGCCCTCCTAGAGCCCCAGCTAATCCAGCACAGTTGGAACCTCCACCTAGCCACGGCCCGCCTCCTAATCCAGCTGGCCACCACCGACGACCGGACCACCCTCCGGACCCCCTCATACCCCTTACCCCCGGGGGAGGACGGGGGCTCGGCTCCCCCCTGCCTGGCCTACGTGCCCGAGTTCCTAGCCGAGAATCTGACCAACTTTCTGCAGTTCCTGCGCCGATTCGCCGAGCAGAAGTTCGAGGACGGGGCCGAGTCACTGGGTCACCTCATGACCTTTATCGTGACCTTTATGGGGAGCAAAGGTCGGATGAACAACCCCCATCTGCGAGCCAAGCTGGCCGAGGTGTTGGAGGGTCTCATCCCGCCCAAGGAGCAGTCAAAATCTATCGTGACATCGTAAGAAATGCAGAGCTTATTAATAATAATAACGGGTACTTATATAGCGCTTTTAACTAAGATCAAAGCGCTTTACATTATTATTACCCCTGATCAGTGGGCTAATTAAACATTCCAAATACCATCTCAGCTCCCTGGGGAGTATACAGCTCGATGCTGCCTGTTAGGCGCAAGGAAGCTAATTCAATCACAATAACCATCTCTGCCCTCATAGGTACCCATTTACTCCTGGGTGGAGAGAAGCAATGAGTGACAAAGTGCCTTGCCCAAGGGCACACGCACCATGACCCCAGGCTGGACTCAAACCCACAACCTGCAGAGTTACCCGCAGACCACGAATTCAATGCCCATAACCACGAGGCCACAGCACTCCACAGCTTATTTCAAAATGCAAGAAAGGTCATTTTGTTAATACCTTTGTAGACTCCCGCTCTGTCCCGGCTGCCCAAAGTCAACTTGGACCATAGTTAAACTCAATTTAAGAATACAGTAAAGCGAAAAATGAAGATTAGAAACAGCTGTGATATTGCTTTTTCTTGAAAGTTTCATAATTGTGGAAATCTTTCACTTTTTCAATTGGATATATCACATTTTTGAAATATACTCTTTAAATGCATCCAGGTTTTTTTGTGTGTGAGAGAGTCTCTTTAACAATCCTTACCCTCAACAAAGCTGCTAGTTCGTACATTGTATGAAAAATTAGTAAATTTCCAGACTAATGAAAGTAGTACAGTAACATGAATTTACTGTTGAAAGTTATGAATCTATAATTGTCAACCTGAAAACTTGTAAATGCAAACATAATTTTATGAATGTGTTTAAAAATACCAAAGTAAGGCCAAAAAAAAAAATAAGTCGGTCTCTGGTCAGCGCGCGCGTCGATTTTAATCATGCGCGTCGATCTTTTTTTTTCCAAAATGTTCCGCGGTAGCTCCAACAGCGCCCTCTATTTCCGCACCTCCTCAATTTTTTTTACGAAAGAGCACCAAGGAATGGGAAATTGCACCAAGGCAAATGATCGAAAGCACCAAGGCAAATTATGGAGGACACCAATGTACTTGAGGACACCAAACAAGCAAAATAGTACCTACCTTGTCTGTACAATCCGAGCTTGAAGAAAAAAAAAAAAAAAAAAAAAAAAAAAAGCCGCATGGCCGCGTCAATTCCGGAACTTTGGTCTGACCAGAGACCGAATATTTTTTTTTTTTGGCCTAACCTACCAAAATAATTACCAAAAAAATTACTTGCAGATCGTACTGGTACTAAACACCTCGTGAAATTATTTCGTCTGGCTTGCTGTCATTTGGAAGAAATCAGGAAATGTAAAGTGATATCCAACAATCAGTTACTTGACTGATTTTTGGAAATAGAGTTCCATAGACGAAATGGCATTGGCCGTGAACAAAACGGTGTGCATGGTTTGTCACTGTTTTCTCCAAACTTGTAATATCCACTGCGCTGAAACTTCAACAGGTTAGGTTTTGAACATTCTTCTTTGGATTTAGAGTGGTGTTATTATTGTAAACAAACATAATGCGTAAGCATCAAATGATCCTATATGCCTTTAAAGCCAGAGTCCATCATTTGCAGCTATCCCAAAAGTAACTGGCGTAATTATTGTTGAAAAACATACTTGGTTGAAAGATAGTAAGGGGACAAAATTCCCTGTGAAATTATTCTTTCTGGCAAGCTGTCACTTTGAAGAAATCAACGAAAGAAGGCCTTTCCAACGGTGCGTCTTAAGAAGCACCGTTGGAAATTTCCGTAAGTAGTTCGTTTTTTTATTCGGCGAAGCGCGCGCAAGCGTTGACACGACGCACACGCGTGCGCAGTTGCTATAATTCGTGGGATCAGTGCGCGACATCGCGTAGCTGCAATCGGCTCAGTGAGAACGTGTCTCGGACGCTGAATTCAGGCCCAATTCAAAACATGATTCAGCAACTTTTGATTTGAAATCGAGATCCTAGAATGTTGTTTTTCTCGAAATACACAGCTGAAGCTGAGCTGAAACTTCATCAGGTTAGTTGTTCAGCACCCTTCTTTAGATTTTGAGCACTTTTGTTGCTTCAAACGAACAAAATGCACAAATTACAAATGATGGACTGTACCTTTAAGTCTACCCTCTCTCGTCATATGTTCTTCCTAGATTCCATCGGGAGAAAGTGTTCCAGGAACATCCCCTCCTCCCTCTGGTCTCGCGTTCCTTGCTGAGCATCTACGTGGACATTGAGTTCTCGGGCGATGACCACGCCTTTGAGCAGAAGTTCAACTACCGACGGCCCATGTACCACATCCTCAAGTACCTCTGGAGCTTGGAGAAACACAGACAGTCCATGAAGGTTCGAACATTTCTTTCCTTTTGATCTTTTGGTGGTTACAGAGGACCTGCCTAGCATCCTCTAAGCACCTATTATCATTATTTCCTTTTCCAACACAGTCAAGTTTTCATATTGTTTTTCCGAATCTGTAATACAGGGTGAGTAAAAAACAACGATACCCAAATTTCGGGACCATTGTTTTAGTGAAGTTCTGCATGTAGCACTCTCAAAATCTAGGATTTGAAAGCCCAATTCATAAGCTTTCTTTTAGTACAAGAATCATTCAAATCACTCTTGTACTTTTCAAGTTACGGAATTTTAAACACAACCGCCGTTTTAAGGTTCTGTCCACGGATCACAAAAAAGTTCCGTGTTCTTTCAGCAAAACAAAAATAAATCACATAAGGATGTGTGTGAATTGTTTTCGTTTTGCTGAAAGAACACACACGTTTTGAGCAGAGTGCGCGCCATGCATTGCAATGGTAAATGGAACTAGAGTGTTACTTCGTGAAAACGAAAATTGCCACTTTTGTGCAAAAGTTGCCGTGGATAATCAGCGTAATTATTCAAGTAAAGCTCTTGAAGCTTTGAAACTTCGTGCAATGGTAGGCCTTGATGAATAATGTTTAAAAATGTAAAAAACTGAAAATCAAAAAAAAATGTGGAGTGTTACTTCGTGGTGTCGGTGACGAATTAAAAAAAGGTTGGAGTTGCCCAAGACGATTGATGTTCTTTTTCCCGCCCTTTTTTGAAACCCAGGAAATAGCTGCAGAGGCTTTGCTGTCCATGGAGGCTGCCACTGCGCCCCTGTTCCTTCGCTTCATCAATCTTCTCATCAACGACGCCATCTTTATGCTGGACGAGGCGATGGATGTGAGTACCCGCTTGGATCTGTAGTCTGGTTCACAGACGAGACAATTATTCCCGATGCCCACGTATAAATTACAACACTGTTAAAACCTGTCACCTGATCGATTTTAACTTGGGGTATTTCAAAAGAAATGCATTCCATTGTACAACATTTTGAAAACATTGGGAATTAATGATTATATAACCGACATACAGATCCTTGTCATTTGATTGGTGGAACTCACATCACGTGACATTTGTTATTGCTCCCATTCATGCCGCGGCTCAAAAAGTACTATCCGCCCATGGGGAATGGGAAATACTATTCAACAGTTAGGATCATGACGCAGTATTTGTGTGCAAATGCATGCTGGTACGCGTGTGCGCGTTCAGCGTTGCGCGTAGCGCGTATTGTTCCAAAGAGCCAGTGCTACAGCGTTGGGTTCAAACATTTTCGTGAAAGGGTGGTTTGGAAGAGAGAAATACATTTTCCTCCAGTTTTGTATTGAAAAAAAGTTCAAATATATCAAATGACAAGGATCTATATGTTAGTTATATAAAACAAATAATGAGTGGCTTTAAATTGTGAAATGGGGAGGAATATTATCGCTCGGTAAAATCTGGACTTTTCTAGTTCACTTGGCTTCGCCTCGTGAAATGGAAAAGTCCAGATTTTACTTTGCGATAATATTCCTCCCATTCCACGCTGAGCCACTCAATATTTGTATACTATTATAATAATAAAAATGTTGACCTCAACTTCCGTTCAATCGATCAACGGATAGCAATTGGGTGAATTCAAACACGGGAGCCTGTGAAAAACTAGTCAGTGTTTGGTACCAAGACATAATATGTGAACATGGACTGGCAACTCATGCATGCTCTATGGGCTCCATGCGCCGACGAAAGAGGGCGCCCTTTTACCTAACAATGATGTCCCATGGGCGGGACATTTCGCTGGTTGACGTGCACCGTTCCTTGTGTGTGACGCACGTACACCAGGGGATTTGTACTATGTACACGCAGTGGCCGCGCTTCGCGGCAAATGAATTGCAGTCAGGCAAGATGGCGTCGGTCGGTCACCCCCAACTGTACTCTCTTTGCCGGTGAGGGGGTACTGGTGAACAGACCGGATATTTGATCCACAATGATCTGCCCTTTGTAGAACCTGAAGCAGATCAAGGAGATGCAGCACCAGCGTGACAGCGGCGAGTGGCGCAGTCTGCGGCCCCAGGACCTGCAGCAGCGGGAGAGCACGCTGCGCACCAACGGCAGCATTGCACGCTTCTTCAACGTCATGTCCAACGAGTCCATGAACATCCTCAACTTCATCACCAGTGGTGAGTAGACTATTGAAATCCAACTATTTTTTTCTCTTGTTTTTTTTTTTTGGGGGGGGGGGGAGGTGGTGGTGGAGGAAAGAGGCAAAAAACAAAACTGTATGTATTGAGTTATTGAGCAATATTGAGTTATGACATTACTCAGGGAATTTTTTACTGAGATGAGATTTTATTTTCCATTATGTAAATAATTAACATACATTTGTGATTTGGAGAAGGAGGAGGAACCCTTGATTTTCATTTTTGTTCACAAAAACCTGGTAATTTTGCCCCAAGTCGTGTGTGTATGATATCACATGCTGCTAACAGCGAAGAACAACAATTCACTACAGAAAGATAGGAAGTTCACCTCAAAAGTTGAAAATTTCACTGTATTATGAATTGATGCATGGTTGCTGGTGCCAGCCTAGTCTGCTTGTTGTGCCTATGGGCTCCTTGCACAAGTACCCCCTCTACGGTAAAACAGGTAAGGCCGGGCAGTGCTATTGTATAGGTTTACCCAAAATGCTAGTAATTCAATTCAATTCAATTCAATTTATTTATTCTCATCATGTAAAAACATGAAACTTGTCTCCTCGTTCTGCACACGTATAGTCGTATACACATTAAAAAAACTTCAAATTAAAAACATAAAAACATATACATGTATATATGTACAAATAGACGTAACAATATGAAAAAACTAACACGAGTACACGTAACCAGAAATAGAACAACAAATTTAGCCTAATTAAATAACTAAATAAATAAAATATCTGGATTGATAGAGCTATATGTATAATGACAAAAGCCTGTTGCACAAAAAAATGGGAAGGGAACAATGACAAGCCAGGGGAGGGGGGGGGGATATAAGAAAGCCAGGGGGATATGAGCGGGGAGAAAGGAAACAGGGAAAGGGTTGGAACTTATATGTACGAGGGGTATAAACACACACGTTAACATCGCGATTTAAAAAGCATCATCTATTATAAGTCTGATTAAAAACACAGGCTAAATTGGGCTAAATTGAATAAAATTTGTGTGCATTCCGGACTTGGTTTTCTTGGATACTGCAGTGAATGTAGTCCATGATTTGCCTGGTCGAGTCTAGTTTATTATTCCTGTATGACCCACTGTTCTTGTATTCCAGAGATCAAGACCATCTTTGTGCATCCTGTCATGGTGGATCGAGTGGCAGCCATGTTTAATGACTTTCTACTCAAGTTGGTAAGTTTAAGATTGTATTCGTATATACCTAAGGCCAAAAAACAAAGTCTCTGGTTTCTGGTATGCGGGCGCGTCGCTGTAGCCATGCGCGTCTGCAAAATAAAAAAGTTTTTTTTTCAATGAAAGATGATGTCTCAAAACCGCCAAACTCACTGGTTTGACTGGAATCCTGCTGCTGCACAATTTTAACGTGTTTTTAGATTGGGTTATGGTCGAGAATAAGCTTTATGTGGCCTCTCTGGACTCCCATATATTTGCACTAAGTTTAGTCGGGCACCATTTGCAGTCATCAGCCGTCATTTGAAGCAAAAAAATCAGGTAAAAAAAAAAAAGAAGCCGCGTCGCCGCACCACTTTTTGGGCAAGCTCCATACCAGAAACTGGAGACTTTTTTTGGGTGGCCTAAGACAGTTTACCCATTCCTATTAGTTGAGAGCCCGTCATATCACGTTGGTGGTTTTAAACCGCTGATGAAACACTTGCTGGCAGGCCTTGAATTTGGTAATTTTTAGGGCAAGGCCACTTTGGCCTTGAACGAAGCAACATTATAGAGGGCACCAAGGCCAGTAGGTAGGGCACTATAAAGGCCAAATAATATCTGCAGAAGGGGCAAGGAGGGCGGCTAAAACAAATGTGACTATTTATATCGGCCATCGTGTAGTGTTGGGCCCCTCTTTAGTTTCGATCAAGTTAGAGTCAAGGGTCTTTTTTTATCATTCAAAAAATTACCTTTTCAACCTAAAGCAGACTTCTCTCAGTTCAAATAACACGTTTTTTTGTAATTTTGAACAGATTTTTTGGGGTAGAAATTACGGTTTTTGTACGCGGTTTTATGGTTGGTGCCGTGTGATCGCCATCTTTATTTTCGTGTTGCTTATTGTTATTGACATCGTCATTTTAACCCCAAACTTCCCTCAAAACTTCAAAACCCTTTCCTCTATCTACCGGTATGACATACCTGCGTGTTCTTAATGTTGCCAACTAGTTTGGTCAGTCAAATAAATTAAAAAGTGGATTTTGTTCTCTGAGTGAACCGGGCCCATAATACACATGATCGCCAAATCCTCTACAAATCCTCCAAACAAATCACCTTTTGGAGACAAAATTACGACCTGAAACTTAGCAGTACACTTCAGACAAATACAAAATTGAAAATGTGCAAAAGTAAGAAATTAAGAATGAAAGTGTGCAAAATAAAGGGGGAAAAAAAATCACCCAACGTAATTTTATTGTCAAACCTCCATTTCAAGCTCTGCCTGTAACTGTCTGTTTTTGAAAGATCACTTCACGAATTTAAGATGTTTTTAACCTAGGTTGGTCCGAAGATGGGTGCGTTGAAGGTCAAGAATTTTGACGAGTTTGAGTTCAAGCCGGGCAGCCTGGTCAAGCACATTTGCCAGGTCTACCTGAATCTCGGCGACAACGCAGAATTCTGCGCGGCCGTTTCGCGGGACGGACGCTCCTATTCTTCGTCCCTGTTTGTACGGGCGGACCGCGTCCTGAAGAAGATCATCGCCCCCATTGAGATGATCGAGGAGATGACAGCCTTTGAAGATCGAGTCAGGGTAGGAATTTATGGAGAGAGATATTTTTGTTTTGCGATTCAAAAATCCTCAGAACAGACTTAAACGACAACTTTGTCAAGGACCATTTGTGGTTGACCTAATAAATCAAATTATTTTGTTTGTCTTAGTTTTCTTCAACTGCTGATAATACCAATAATAAAAGATACTCATAATGCACTTTTAACTAAAGTTCAGTACATTATTATTACCCCTGATCATCAGGCCAATGGGGGGAAAGGGAACAATTCGGGCGATTCACAATGCGATGCGCCACCAAGAGTTTGCCATTGAGAGTCCATTTTTCAAGTTTATGGTCGAACAAAACACGGCCCATTTGAATGAGTGTCAGTAGACAAGTTGAGCTAATTTGTTATAGATTGGGGCATAATGTTCTGCCGACCTGCAAAAAAACCCACCATGTTGAAAAAAAGAAAAGAAATGGACAAACATGTACTCGAATCATACACTTACAAAACTACCGACCGGAAAAACTAACAATTTGAAATGTCATGCGCTGCGAATTTATCGACCATCTCCCACAATGCACTGGGAGAATGAACTCTCCATAGTAAACTCTTGGTGGCACACTGCATTGTGAACCACCCGAATTGTTCCCTTTCCCCCCATTGGCCTGATGATCAGGGGTAATAATAATGTACTGAACTTTAGTTAAAAGTGCATTCATAAATACCTCAGACAGTTTAGCTATTCCTATTGGTCGAGAGCCCGTCACGTGGCCGGTCTTAAACGGATGATAAAGACATGGCTAGCTGGTCTTAAACACTTTTCCAGTGTCACAATAAAATGTGGACTCCTAAAAATCCAGTGCCTCTTACCGTTTCATTGGTTGAACGTTCACAATCCTCACGTAGGCATGCGCAACACTACATACGAGTCAGAATTTTATAGCTCTAAATTCAAAACGCAACGCCCCAGGTGCGTTCTGCGTGACATCGCGCAGAACATGCTAGGCGCGCGTCAATCTCCATAAAAGGGTTGTTTACATCTTACTCTCCAGCTGAACACTCCATTATTTTGCTAGAGGGATGTTTCAAAAAGCATTAAGTGAACTTGTTGAACAAAATCGGGATTTTTGAACGAATTATTTGATATTTTTTTACGGATAAGGTATTTATGAATGGGAATAAATATGTGCTCGGTCGGTATTTATCACTCTGTTTAATACCGCTTAGAGTCTGGGTGCTGATAATTACCCTCGCCTCCGGCTCTGGTAATTATCAGCACCCAGACTCTAAGCGGTATTAAACAGAGTGATAAAAACCTCTCGAGCACACATTTATTCCCTTATTATAAGTATCTTTTATAATTGGTATTATCAGCAGTTGAAGAAAACTAAAACAAAAAACAACAATTGGATTTATTATGCAGGACCCAGAATATCTTTCTTTTTCTTGTTGCAGGCCATGGCAGCCAAACAAGAAGAGGAGGAAGAGACGTTCGCTGATGCCCCTGATGAGTTCATTGACCCTTTGACCTTTACCCTCATGAGTGACCCCGTGACCCTGCCCTCCTCCCGGACGGTGATGGACCGAGCTGTCATAGCCAGGCATTTGCTCAGGTGAGAAGGATACAGTAAACTCCGGCTAAGTCGGCACTCTCGGGACCCGAGAATTTGTGACAACTTACGCGAATGCCTATATCTGCTGTGAGTCGTCATTTTGCTGACTTACATGAATGGTCTTTTGCACACATGATTCATTGCACTAATTGGCTTTGATTTACCCAGGATTATCTCCTTAATGCTTGAGTTGAATCCAGCAAATCAATCCTCGAATTGTATCATCACGTTTGGGGTATTGATAGTGGAGACCACGATACATATGTAGGTGCACAGTAACGAATTAAATGCAGCACTAGTCATTCAAAATGGACAGAGCGCATGTGTACAGCCTAGAGGGGCACTGGTATTGATACGTTCACGATACATATGCGATGTATGCAGTAGGACACCCTTTTTCGTCACCGATGCATGCAGCGATCACGGGCCGTGCGAAACCACTTTTCACTCGACACTTTGCCAACTGCAGTACAGGAAGTCGATGCCAATGCGTGATTTGTTGAATGCCGACTTACACAAAGGATTTTGTAATGCTTTATACGGAAAGGGGACCGAGAGTAACACGACGACTTGAGCGAAATGGCGACTTATAAATCGGGACTCTAGTCAGACGGCCGACGTGAGCGATTTGACGAGTTGTACGATGTCGGTTTAGCAGGAGTTTACTGTACTTTCATCAGTACCTGCTATGATTTTGCACATATTGTTGAGGGTTTCAAAAAGGGTGGGGCGTGTCAATTCGGAAGAAAAACAAGTTTGGAGATAAACGCAAGAGAAGTTATTTGATTGTAAAATTGCCAAATGTACCACAGTCCATCTACTCCATGAAGTGATAATTCCCACATGATTCTTTAAGAGCTTACCTGTTTAGTGAACCCAATAATAAATTATGAAACTGTGGTGAATTGGCCAAAAGATGGCCGTCTTTTCGTGAAAAAGCGAAATTCCAGGCGACCTACTTTTACACTCTTCTGTGCAATTCTGTGTCAAAGCAAGGCAGAATGGTTTTTAGAAGAAAACACCTTGAGACTTAAAAAAGTTAAATTTTGACATTCGAAATAAAAATGAAAAAAAAATTGTACCTTCGTGAAAACAGTGACGACATATGTGGTCAGAATCTTATGTCTTGAACACAAACATTTGTGATCTACTGTGGCCAAATGAGGAATGTCTCCCAAAACCTTGCTTTGGGTAATCGACGCCTGAAGTCGGATATAGCAGAAAAATCATGTCGAAATTGATATTGGTTGTTTTGTATTTTTGAGTAGTCAAGGTATCCAAGATTTACACTATACATTTTTTGTTAAGGAAAAAGTACCCCCAAAAGTGGAAAAACTGAAAACCGTTTATCACTGCCATTGGCGGCGCAATGCATATCTTTTTTTTTTCAAAGCTGTTTTTCTCAAAATTAGGTTGGCGAAGATTGGCGGGACACTGTCGAAGTTCCTGCGACATATCTTTGGAATAAATTCAGCTACAGAAATAAATTTGGTTTCATTGGGAAGCCAATGATCAGGCATGCAACTTTTCCTCGGATCAGCTGATTTCTTCTTTTGTTACTTCCCATGTGTGCCATTGAAAATAGAAAAACACTGTACAAAGTCTAGGAAAAATTTGAATTTTCTCTATTTTTGTGATTTCCCAGTTGCATGCCTGAATGATTTGCCCTTTAACATGATGTATATAACTTGAAAAGTCAAAGGTGGGGGTTATTCCTCATTATGCTATGGCAGGTCACATTTGTGAAATCTTGACATGTGCATGCAAAGTCAGAATTTCAAAGTTCTTAAGTCATTGCAGACAGGGCAAAGATTGGTTCAGCTCTCTCAAATCTCTCTGAAATATTCCTGTAAAATTTTTTCAAATTTTATCAAATTGTGAGATTTTTGATATGTTTCTGATATTTCAGTGACCACACGGATCCGTTCAACCGGTCGCCATTGACCATGGATGAAGTGGTGACCAATGACGAACTGCGTAAAAAGATAGAAGCCTGGAAGCAGGAAAACTCCAAAAAGAAATGAAGTAAAACTAGAAGCAGAAGAGTTGTAATCACATCGATCTCAAGGCAAGTCACAAGTACGTCACAAGAGTTAGGGGTGAACTGTGACAAGGGAAAACCTTAGGGGTAGCATGGATGGCTTGTGCGTAAAGCGCTCGCCTCTCACCAAGGTGACCACGGTTCGAATCCTGGCCGCAGATCCTGGCCTCGGATTCTGGCCTGGCCGGGGATCACATGTGAGTAGAGTTGTGCCTTGGTTCTCTCCTGTGCCACGAGGGTTGTTCTCCGGGCCCTCCGGTTTTCCTCCCTCCGGAAAAATCAAACACTTTCGATCTCAGGCTGTGCTCCGTGGTCATATATGGGTCGATGTGGCCGGCAGCCATAGGCGCCTTTACGTGCCAGCGGCCCGACCACGTTGTAGCGGCGTCCTTTGCAATTCAGCATACCGGCTGCGAGTCAGGATGATTAGCCTCCCAATTTATTATTTGCCATGGTTTGATTGATTAGCTTGTGACTGGACTTGAAACTTGGTATGTGTAACGATGACGTGATTACATCTCTGTATTGCTAGTGTGCTTTGCACTATTGGTGATGTGAAGAACTCTTTTGAGTGCTCTACATATAAAAACAAAAAATAATAATAGTGGGTATTTATAAAGTGCACGTATCCACCAGGACTGGTGCTCAAGGCGCTACATCATTATTACGCAGCTCATTGGGCCAATGAAACATTCCAAAGATAATCTCAGCTCCCTGGGGAGTATACAGCTCCATGCTGCCATTTCGGCGCAAAGCAGTTACAATCAATCACAATAACCATCTCTGCCCTCACAGGTACCCATTTACTCCTGGGTGGAGAGAAGCAATGAGTGACAAAGTGCCTTGCCCAAGGGCACAAGCACCATGACGCCAGACTGGACTTGAACGCACAACCTGAAGCTTTACCCGCAGACCACGAATCCAATGCCCTTAACCATGAGGCCACAGCATTCCACTCAAAATGAGGGTGCTTTACTTCACTCGGAGCAAATAACTCTGGTGGCAAAATACAAAAAAAAAATGAAAAGAGCAACTCAAGTCACTTAAGTTCGATATGGTGCAAATACAATTGAAAATTCTGAAGTGATCATGCTTCATTACGACCAATGCACTGAACGAGTTTTTTACCAAAGTGGAAATTTTTCGCTGTTAGATATTCATTTATGTTATACTGCCTACCAATAAAGATGTGTTTTGCTAGTGACTATAAATAAACGAATAAAACTTACACTTGAAGTTTCAGGTTTCAAAAACTGAAAAAAACCCTCAATTATGTGGTATCTGCTGTTGCATGATCCCTGTTGCTATTTCAATGCCCCACAACTATGTACATGTACTCACCGTGAATTGCCCCTGCTATTTTTTTTTTACTGTAAAAACTCTTTTCTTTGAAACCTGCACTCACAATGTGATATTTGAAAGGTATATGATCATGTACAGAAGTTATTTATTATATAATGTTTTGGGTTTATAATTGTGTTGTATACTGTATGATGTATATGGGAAAGATTTTAAAAATAATTTGAACTAATTAAATGATTAAGAGAGGGACTTCATGTAACGTCTTCCACAAGGAGCATTGTTGCTCAGGTTATCACAATTCATCGCATGTCAATCACAAGGAGGGGTGGGGGATGCTAGAGGGAGCTCCCTTTTTTCTTATTATCGACAATAAAAGCGAAGTGCGGGCAAGGACCATTAGTCGACCAGTGGTTGATTTATGACGTACCTTACGCCTGCGCACTGATAGCAACATGCGAACGTCTCTAGTCAAACGCTGGTCAAAATGTTGTCGCAAAACTTCTGGATCCTGGCTCTCTGCTTGCGTTATGAATGCGCGCGGCTATTGGTTAACGGCGAAACAACCAACCCCAGTAGGCTGGTTCCAAATAGTCGACTAGCGTAGTCAACCATCGTCGACTAGACAGAGTTCGGGCAAACGTTAGTTAACCGTTGGTCAACTATAGTCCTTGCGCGAACTTGGCCTAAGTTGTAGGGTCAAGGGAATAAAGGGGATTAGAATCAAGTACAAAATAGTCATATGGGCAATTCCACGGTTACTCACGTTACATTTTTGATGTGCTTTTGAGTTTCCTTGAGCTGTAATTACCTTACTGAAAAGGTTTAATAACTGTTATCCCCATGGTAGATAGAGTAGACCTAGACCTACCTAAGCACCAAAGATGACATCCAGAAAAATGTTTTATGTATGATAAACAAGACGCACAAAATCCGTTACTCACGTTACATTTTCGTAACGTGAGTAACCGTGGAATTGCCCATTTGTACATTCCTCTTCTGTATAATTATTCAAGGGAAATTCCGTGAAATCCAATGTACGTCCGACCACATGAAGTACAAGTTCAGGGTCGTTAAGGTGGTGGCACCTTTAATAGTTTGGTTTGTAATTGTTTTCTACTCATTCGATGCCACATATTAACCCTCCTATGCAAACATACATTCTGTGCCAAGTTGTCCTTGCAGTCAAAATCAGTCCGGTGACTGTTTTCAACAGTTAAGAATTCCCAACCTACATGAAGCAGAATTGACTGGCTGTGACTGCTTATGTAACTTGAGACAGCTGGCTTTGACTGTGGGTGATTGATAAGCCAGCTGTGCTCACAACTAGTCTGCTTTGTCTGTTCATGGTCCGTCGACTGAATTTTGACTAGTCACAGTGCTAGCTTGATATGATCCGACATTCTTACTGTTGGTGACTAGCCTGTGTTAAAAGTATAGCAGGGGAAGTGGTGTTAAAAGTATAGCAGGGGAAGTGGATGGCAATTTTGACTGTCTGTGACTGTTTAAATAGTAGAAGGGTTAGTGATGTATCACATTCACTGTTCCAACAGCAGCTCATTAGAGTGTCTGACATTAGAGAGTATGACTCACACTGGGCTTATTGTGGACTCGAATACAGCACAGAATTTTATCCTTTCATATATCATTTCCGTGGAAGAAACAAATGATATCATTTTTATTTCCATTACACCGATTAGAATATGCATTGTTTTCACGCAATTTTGATGTATAAATAGCTATATTTAACTGAATAAAGGTGTCTTATGGTGGCAGAATTTTACAAAATGCGTACTGGATTTCAAAAAAAAATTCTTTTGGAAAATCACTACATGTATGAATCACACAGAACGCAAATCATTGCCCAATACTGCTACTAAGTTTAAAATGTAATTCGACCTACATTTCGTACGAGATTTTTGTGCTATCATACGACATGAACAAATCAAAGTTCACAATCTTTGGAACGATGATTCTCCAATAATCAATTCTTTGGACTTGAAGTCTCCCGCCAACACCGGCAATTGTGGACCCCTCATTGTCCCTAATCCTCATTCCTTTGTTTGTACTCTTAACTTTTTAGCAACAGCTCTCATTGGTTTTGTACACGAATTGTCGGTCAATTGTGGACCCTTTGTTTGTGCCCTAACTCTTTTGTCCCTAGTCCACAATTGTCGGTGTTTACATATTTCACACGTACACACGCATGTATACGTTACATACCAAGTGTGGACATTCCATTGATTTTGTGTAGTTAAGAAAAACGAGTGAAAAAACTCATTTTTCCCAAACAGTGAAAACTCTTGTGGACTTGTGAAAACTGTGTGGACTTGCCCAAGTCCACACAACGTCTCTTCTACCTGGTTCATGTTGGCCTCTTTTGTTCGGAAGTCCACACAGTGAATGTAATGCCTACCCACATTTTACCATTAAGCCTACATCAAGAATAATCCTACCTGCAAGATACAATTGCAATACCTTTGTCAATTGGCCGATATTCTTTGTTTTCTAAGATATCACTCGTCAATCGACCGTTTTTCATGAATTCGACTTTTTATATTGCAGGGATGTGAAATAATAGTCATCCTTTTTTGAATGGTGCCCCCTAGAGTCACCTGTGCTTTTTTTAACATCTGGAGCTGACGCAGTCTAAGAATTTACATCAAATAGGCCAAGATATGTGACTTGAGGTTTTATTCCATTGATTTGAAGTTTTAAGTTTAGGCCAAAAAAAAAAATAAGTCGGTCTCTGGTCAGCGCGCACGTCGATTTTAATCATGCGCGTCGATCTTTTTTTCCCCAAAATGTTCCGCGGTAGCTCCAACAGCGCCCTCTATTTCCGCACCTTCTCAATTTGTTTTACCAAAGAGCACCAAGGAATGGGAAATTGCACCAAGGCAAATGATCGAAAACACCAAGGCAAATTATGGAGGACACCAATGTACATGAGGACACCAAAAAAGCAAAATAGTACCCCACCTTGTCTGTACAATCCGAGCTTGAAAAAAAAAGAGCAAAAAATAAAAAAAAAGCCGCGTTGCCACGTCAATTCCGGAACTGGTCTGACCAGAGACCGAACATTTTTTTTTTTGGCCTTACACAAAAGAGATTTATTTAGTTGTACAGTTGACATAAGCACTTTATGCGGTTGAAGACCGTCATTTTGCGTGGGGCCTTTACAATACAATCACACCTTGCGATACAACTTGACGGAGTAGCAGTCTGCAACTGCCAGCTGCTGCCCATCAGCAGTGAAAGCGATCCCATACGGGTTACACAGATCCTGCACTGCGCACTCCAGAAATTTACCATCCGAGCGGTAGCGGTGAATGTGCCCCGTGCCCTCTCCGCTGTCCACTGCGATGTAGACGCATCCGGAACGGTCGCAGCAGACGCCGTTGCTGTGCTTGACCGGCCGGCCGTCAATAGACGGTCGGATGGTGGTGGTGGTGGTGGTAGTGACTGTGGTGTTGGATGAAGCCCGATGAGTGGAGCCATGGAGGACATGCACCTCCTGGACTCCCCCGCTGATGACCATCAATCTCCCACCACCGTCCGCTGCCAGGTAGCTGGGCCGCACGCTGACCGGTGCTGACCCTATCAGCGTGCCGTCGGGGCTGTGTTCCGTCAGGACGTTCTGTTTGGCGTCTCCCACGAGGAGGGTACCGTCCTTCGTGACGGCGATGCCTCGCAGGTCCACGTCTGTCTTGGCATTGTCCTTGCTCTGCAGCACGGTGGCGAACTTTGAGACAAATTCACAGTCGCGATTGAACATGGCTACCCAGGGCGACGTGTCCACAATCGCTATCTGATCTCCTATGGCTGCCACACCACGAGGATCTGAAAAGTCGTCACACAAGACACAAAGTTCTCAATGTTATAGGTAAGCTTTTTACTGCTTAATGTTCCTGTTGTTTCAGCCTGCCTGGAGGGTACTCAACGTTTCGCTCAGTATGTGCTGACTGTCTCCGGATGACGGTCAGAACACATTAGAAATGTTGAGTCCTTACCAGTACCAACTCTTTTCAGCACCACATGTATATTTTAGAGTTGGACATTTTGTATGGTGCATCCGCAATCTTACATAAATATACTTCAATCCCGTCATCATGTTGATTTACTTGATTTGTTGGATTATAAAGTCAGAGGTGTTGATGTGAAATGAGAAGTGCCTGCATTTGTTTGCGCTTCATCGCATTTTTTTCTAAGAAATTCCAGGTCAGAATCAATACCCGTCATGTTCGATGTGCAGTAAGTAGTGAGTAGAGTTTGTCCCTGAAACTGCTGCTACCTTTTAACACATTTGTTTCTTCATAACCAATGGTTTTAAAGGGTTTTTCACAAACACGATTTCGTCAACAGCACTCCTTATTTCCAAAAATCGGTCAATTGACTGCTTGTTGGAAATCAACTAAATTTCTTGATTTGTTCTATAAAATGACAGCAGGGCAGACGGAATAGTTTCACAGGATGTTTATTACCATTACGATCTTTAATCCAAGTAAATTTTTTGATAATTAATCTGTCTACCGTAAGGATACTTTGGGGATAAATGCAAATGATCCTTAAGCCTTTAATTTAAAAGAGTCATTCTTTTGAACCCTGAGCCTTATTTTCTATTCCGAGCGATTCTGAGCCAAGCGAATAGAATATTCACAAGACTCACTGCTTTTGATGAGGATGGTGTTCATGATCCGTCCGTCAGTGCCGCAGATCACAACTCTCTTGTTGTACCAGTCTGCCACGGCGATCCGGTCCGTTGACAGGAAGGCGATGGCGTGAGCCCCGTTGAACTCCCCCGGACCCAGACCCTGCTCGCCAAACTCGCAGCACAGCTCCCACTTGGCTTCCAGTCGCAGTGTGCCAAGAAAGAAGCCGCTCAGCCCCGGCCCTCTCTGGAACCTGACGTAGGCAAGCCCCTGATAAATCTCGGAGAGATTTGGCGACTCCTCGACCTTGCTTTTGACCGCGGGACGGCGATCAAGGGGGTCACTCTCTTCATCTTTGTCACCACCATTCTCGATTACTTTTCCTGAAACCAAGTATAGTCACTGACCATGATGAACATGCGTGAGGTATTAAACGGTATGGTTCTCGGACTTTACTTTCCCCGAAATTTTTTCCAGACTCTTGGATTGGAAAGAAATTCATATCATTGAAAACACACTTGAATTGACACAATATAAGAGAAAATTTACATTTTGGCGAAAAGGTGGCATATACATGTATGTTGCCATGATTCGGGCCTTAAGTGTTTAACAAGACAAGGCAAGTCTGTCAAAGCTAACACCAGATCTCGCAACATTCTTTTCAATCGATTTAATATGGCTATTCACTAACAAATCCTGTCATTTTGTATGGCCCACATAGTGGGCTGGATTACACCCATTCAATGGCGTTACAGGGTAGGCCTAATCCTAGTTCATCTTTTGGGCCAAGAGTTGATTTAGAATTAAGAAAGTCTTATGCACAAGTGACAGTCAGTGAGTGGAGTCAGTGAGTCTGGTACAAAGAGGACTGTAGGCCATTCTGACACTAGCACAAATCAGCATTAATAGGTCACGGAGTTGCTTTGAACTTTTCGCATTACTGTGATTGGCTATACCTTGTTGCAAAAGGCAAAAGAGCTCACCGGCAGCTTGGAGTGATCGTTGTTTGTTGCGCTGCTTAGCGGTTTGGGCTTTCGCTCTCTCATCGAATGCTCCGAGGCGAATCTGTCGGACGGCTTTGATCAGCTCAGACACCCGACTCGCTTCGGCGCGGACGTCTGCTATGATGCCATCCGCGGTGTCCTCCACCTCCTGAAGGCTCGCAGTCACCGCGGCCTCGAGCTCCCGCCTGGCCCGAGACGTGGCTGAGTCTTCGAGTTGCCGTAGTTCTGAATCGGAAGACAGCAGGGTGAAGTCTGTCGGCTCGCAGTCGCTGGAGGCAGCTCCGGCGTCTGTGACGCGGTGCTGCGGTTCACAGTGACTTTGGGTTGCGCAGCCCCGGCAGAGCAACTCTTGACAGGTCTCGCAGTAAAGCCTTTTGAACTCATCGTGTTTGTTGCACCTCGGCTGTCTCGCATCCGCCTTCTTTTCTCTGTGGATGTCTTCCAAGGATGCCATCTTTGCACCTGAAGATTAATGGAATATATTCTGGGTTAAAGCATTTGTTTTTCGTGGATTTTGTTCGCTTCCAATAATGACACCACTCAAAATCCAAAGAAGAATGCTCAAAACCTGTCCTGTTGAAATTTTAGCTCAGTGGATTTTACACCTTTCGAGAAAACAGTGAAAAACTATGCACTATTTTGTACAACTCGGAATGGCCAACGAGATATCCAGTTTTTGTTTACATGGGAAATCAGTGGTTATGGTTTAGTTTATACGCCAACGTTGTGGTTACTCTGAAAAGTACTGTGGTTACTCTTAAACTTGACTGTTGGCCTATGTATTTACATTAGCATTACTCTTTGCAGGAAGAATCAGTACTATTTTGTAGTCTGTAAAGTTGGCATCTCTGTGTAAGGGATATTAAGCCCGAATTTCAGCACAGAAAATTAGTTCTGGTTACAAAAGGAGCGTTTTGAAACAAGGATACAAATTCCAGAATCTCTGGATACTCTACATGTTGAGAATCAGAAAACGTTTGCACAATTTTTTGGGTCCACGTAACTGGATTCGGTTGCTAACGCACGTAAAAAACAACAACCGCAGGCACTCTTATTCAAACCACCTTGTATGATTGTTTTCTTCCGAATGATACCATTTCAGGCGGAATAATTTCACAGGGTATTGTACCAGCCCTCATGGGCGTCGCCAGGATTTTTTCTAGAGGGGGCAAAACATATCTTCCTACAAAAAGTCTTGTATTTTCTCAACAAATTCTCGATTTATCAGTTTCAGAGGGGGCAGAGACATTTTGCCAAGGGGGCGAAAAAAAAACGAAAAAAAAGGGGGGGGGGAAGGAAAAAGAGGCGCGAAGCCACATTGCTGTTAATTTGATTGGGGGGGGGGGGGGGTAGGGCAAATGCTCCCAGGCTCACGCTCGAAATTTTTTTGAGAATATAAGGAAAAAGTTAAGGAATTTTGGGGAAAAATTTGCTTTGCCCCCCCCCCCCTGGAAAAAATCCTGGCGACGCCCATACATAATAATCTTGCATATGGGCCCGAAAAGAAAGGTGAATACAATTTTAAATTAAAATTAAACACTGCAATTCATAAGTCTATTATGGTCGGAGCTATCCATAATGTCAACCCCCCCCCCCGCCCCAATACTCACCTTACAATGGAATGTTCTCTTCCTTCTTGTCAAATTAACAGTACCAACAAGATGTGCAGCATAACGCCCATTACATTTTTTAAAGTTCAATCAACAAATGTTTATGGACCTCGATCGTTGACGCATACACTTTTTGATAAAAACGTGGGACGAATGGCATCAGGAGTATAGGTCAGTTTGTCTGTTCCACTTGAGCGTGTAATTTGGACCCAGGAAAAGGTCGTAAATTGATATCGTTTTTGTACGGTGTTTAAAGATAGATTCCCCATTCTATTACCAATTTTCACCTGGAAAATAAAATTCAATTGCTTTTTTTTCCTGGAAATAGAAAAGTGTTTCACTTTTGAATGAGACATCAAACGACAAACAATCAATCCTTCAACGTTTAGTTATTGATTTATTTCTCCACAAAAATCGTATTATTAGCTGTCAGACAATCAATCGGCTCTGTCAGTGCGGGTTCGTTTGTGCGCAAAATGAAATTCCTTTTTTCAGAGGGTTGCAGACGCCCCAAATTGGAATCAAGTAGTTTTTCCCATTAAAACAAAACATACAAATCGAAAATTCGTTTGGAGAGAAAACTATATATAATTTTTTTTTAATAGCAAGAAGGTATCATCTTTAATGCATTATGAGCTCGGTGATAACCGAGAGGTCACCAACCTTGACTGCCGCTCGAGTGTCATTTCCCGTCTCCGATTTGTGCAGCACGATTACAACTATTAAATCATTTCCGTCATAATGACCTGTGTTTATACCAGACTTCTGGGGAAATGCCCTCCTTTCCCACCGCCGTCCCCATGGTGTAGAGCAGTACGCTCCCACACTATCTGCTCTCTCACCCTGGTAATGGTACACGCAAATTAGTACGGAATAGTCTGGTACCTGCCCATATGTTTTAAATCAGTGTGGTTTTGTATGCAGTGTCCAGGTTACAGACGGACCAATTCATCGATGCGTGAGATCTGAAAACTCGATTTTTTTTCTTGAATGAATGTTACGCAAGTCCATAAGAAAAACAAAAGGAAAAGGAGGATATTTTCAAGAAGGTGTGGACGTTATCATTCACAATGAACGTTAAAACACGTAATACACTTTGGAAATAATATCACCAATCAATTACTTGCTATTGCGGTATTGAATCGGGATACAGGAAACAAGGTTTCCTGCCAGGGGTTAGGCCTACTAAGGAACGGAGGTTAAAAAAGTAAGTCCCGGGGACGAGGTCATCACACACCACACACATTGTCGAGTCATACAGTCTGTTACGACAGCCAACAGGAAATGATATTAGCATTTATGAAGTTGCCTATTATTCGAATAGCAATTTTGATTCATCTATGACTGTAAACTCAATATTGGTTTACAAATGACAACAAGCTTCCTTCTGAAGTAAGAAAAAGATTCGTAATTGCTTAAATTGAAAAACGAAAATTGAGTCAAACGCCTGCTAATAAAACCGATGCCATTGAGTAGAACCATTTTGAAAACACATGTAATTAATGTAATCGGTTTGTGTGTGTGTGTGGATGTTACACCCATGATTTTTTTAATGGTCTGCTAAAGTTAACACTTATCCTGATTATCACATGAGCGATTATTATTACGCAAGATGGACTTACAGTCAGCGGTAAAAAAAAGGAGACTTGGGGAGACCACTCTGTTCACTCGTACCCCCCGCCCTGCAAACAGGACGCCGGTAAGGGCTGACGTCATTTGAGCTCTCATTTGATCTATTTGCGTGACCTGTGACGTAGAACGCGTCACACAAACTAGCTTCCGGTGCCCATCATGCGTAGCGCGTTAGCTGCATGCGAAGGTCAATCTGTACTTCCTTCACAAGATTCTGTGAAGCTCATCAGCCCTTACCAGCGCCCTGTTTGCAGGGCGGGGGTACGAGCGAAACCACTCTGAAGATCTCTCGAACGGACAGCTGAGGGCGCCCGACGCTCACGCGAAGACAAAATGGAATTGTGCAGAATAGACTTTGCGTTGCATGTGTTTCAGAGGGTGTTCTTTTCTATTTTATTCAATTAACAATGAATGCACAACGGGGTTTATTCATGCCTGTCCACGCGATACAAAACCATTGCCCTCTAATTCCGCCTTAAGTTTTGCTTTGATATGTATGAGTGAACCTTTTTTGCATTCATTGTAACTGAATTGAAATAAAATATAACCTGTAAGATGGCCGCCACGAATAAGGTCTATAGTCCCTGCTAGGCAAAATTTTGTATTCATTGCTTCAGGTCTCTGGTCTTTTTGGGGGCCGTATCATAAGTCCGACGCCCCATAGGTCCGACGCCTCATAAGTCCGACGCCTCGTCGGACTTATGAGGCGTCGGACCTATGAGGCGTCGGACTTATGGGCCTTTATTTGGTTAGGGGATGCCATTTTTCGGACTAATGAGGCGTCTGACCTATGAGGCGTCGGACTTATGAGCGGACCCCTTTTTTGCCTTGTCTGTAGCGTTTCATCCTTGGACATTTCCTCCCTTGTGCAATTTTGGTGTTTTTAATTGTTGTGTGCTTGGTCTGTGTTATGTGTCTGTCATTGTGCAGGGTTGGAGAGACACGCCCTATTGGCGACAGTGTTTTGTTTCACTTTTGTTCTTCTCCTTGGCAGCCCCGCACTGTCCACGTTCTGTCTTTCGTGTGTAGTGTTTACTTGGTTTCTTATTGTTTGTATATCCTTTTGTTTTGATATCAAATTTTATGTATTTATTGTAATTGTGTGTATATATGTCAATCTGCCGAATAAAATATTATCATTATTATTATTATCCAACTCTTTCCTCTCCCTCTTGAGAAGCTTTGGACCTCAACATCCTCGCCCTCCCCGTTTTTGGAAAACCTCGACCAGCTACTATTGTAGTCTTTGAGTTATAGAGTTTACTTCGCTTTCAATTTAATGTGGCCGACTCGTGAATAAAGATCTGGAGCAAAGAGAGGTTTACTTTGCCCTGTTAGTCTGCTAAACATTTAGGGCCAGTCAGTAATTTGAGCGAGTCATCTCTGCCTTCCGTTTGCCACCCGCTGACGCGTGGTCTGCACCTATACCCAGTTTCGGTTCGAATCACATTAATTTGTTTTGCAGACACAATCACGTCCTGGCTCAGCTTATAAGAACATCGAGTCTAGCTGATTTAGTTTCAATGATTTTGTGGTGATGATACCGAACTCATCGGGTGAACACAGTCTAAGGTAAGAGCCATGAAGCAGTCAGATATTTTATTTCTTAATTCAATGTTTCATTTTCGCATAGGCTTACACTGCGGTCAGTGCCAACTGACCGGTAGCAAATACATAGCGCTGCTGTAGAAGAGTTGTGCTGACAAGAGCAAAATAGTGCTCTTAACCTTCCGCACTATTAGGTCTTTACGGCGTGGTGGTGCGATCGGTTGCACGTTCACGGATACTTCTATTGTTATTAATTCAAGCAATGTTTTCCCGAGATACATTGTATCTGTTGCTGTACTTACTGCCTACAGTCTCCGTGAAATAGCGGTTTCCTTTACAGAATATCGTGTGCTTACCGGCGCCATGAAAATAATGATTAAGAAAGAGTTACCGAGATTAATCATTGTTCCTCTTAAAAAAAGCAATTAATTTGGAAACACCAATAAAGCACGTATTAAACCACAATGTTCGTCCACTCATCTAAAGAAAAATTATGTATGGATGTACTGAAACATATTTGACTAAAAGAAGTCATTTTAACGAGATTGTTTTTTTTTTATATGAGGAATAAATAAGGTCTTTTATGATTTGAGAATGATGGGTTTTGTGTTTGCCTTTGCAGGTTTTAGTTCATTGTATTTATTGTATTTTTTTGGTGGTATTTCTATTAAAAACAGAAATAACTCGTGAGTAAGAGTAAGAAATTTCGTGGAATTTTCACAGTTAATAGCCAACGACATGCAATTATTTTATCCCGATTCTATTTTCATAGATCGAGCCACACAGGACTATCTTTTAAACGTTTTTTGTGTGTCTAACTCGGTCAATGTCTTTGTGACTCACACTGAAGAAATGTTTTGGATACCCTATGTTTTGTTGACTGACTGTGTCTGAATTTATATATTTTACATGGAGGTGCAAAGAAACGGATAGAGGATCTTTCTGACTCATGGGAGCATATCTTTGTTCAGGACCTTATTGTTAAGAAAACATTATTTAATCAAAAAATCAATCACTTCACATTTAAAATTGTAGGGGGCGAGGGAGGTGGCCGCACCCCTTCAGCCCCTTGATATAATCTGACTGTAAATATCCACAGATGAGGATCGATTTTAGAATGAAATATGTTTGCAATCACCGTCACTCTCTTATAATTGTGCCATGTTTTCTACATACGGGAACAACAGATCTGTGCCATGTTTTCTACATACGGGAACAACAGATCTGGACTAAAGAAAGAAAATGGTTTTTTTTTTTGAAAATGACAAATGAAAGGAAATTTCCTCTATTTTGAAATATTTCAGACTCTCACGTTCCGCTATTTTATTCCTGTTGAAAAATAAAGCGGTTCAAAACCATTCCTGACAAGATCTCCAATTGGTCAATCTTACACTGAAATCTGATACATATATTTGTTTTTTTTTATCGTAGAAACTGAAGTAGAGTATGGAAAATGGTAAAAAGAGCCAGCTGGAGTGCGCCCTCTGTTGCGGAAGATTTCACCAACCCAAGCTGCTGGATTGTCTCCACAGCTTATGCGCAGACTGTCTCAAGAAACACAAGACGTCCAGCTCTCCCCGGCTGAAGCCCGCCAGCAGTCAGGCCCAGCAGGTGCCTCGGATCGTCTGCCCAGTCTGCCGGCAGGAGACGGAGCTCCCGACCGGCGTGGACGGTCTCAAGACCAACGTCTACCTGATCGGACTGATCGACGAGATCGTCATGCAGGAACAGGTGGCGCACTGCGGTGACACCAAGCTGACTTGCGGGTCATGCGAAGACACCGGCAATACAGCCGTCTCCCGGTGCATGGACTGCGCGCTGTACCTCTGCGCCGGCTGCGAGAAAGTCCACACACGCTTCGCCGCCCTGTCCAGCCACACGATCGCCACCTTGGATGAGATCAAGCACGGGGTGGTAGAAGTCAGCAAGGCCCGGCTGGATATCGCACCCAAGTGCCGTCGTCACTACGGGGAAACACTGGCCTTCCTCTGCGAGACTTGCCAGGAGCTCATCTGCCACGACTGCACCCTGGTCGACCACAGCCAAGCCCGCAAGCACACGTTCGTGGACATCAATACCGCTTTCGCCGACCGCAAACAGTCGCTGGGGGAGTTGTTTCCCGCACTGCACTACACGGTGTTGGTCATGGAAGAGTCGGTGGAAAACGCAAGCGAGATGAACGCCGGCTTGCTGGCGTCCAGCGAGGAAGCTGTCAAAGATATCAACAGGAGGGCAGCAGAGATGAGAGCCATGGTAACCGCCGAGGAGACCCGGATGATCGAGAACGTCCAGAGGATCAAAACCGACCGGGCGGCAAAGTTCCAGGAGTACGCGAGCAAGGTCAACGAGAAGAAAGAACGGATACAACACTCACTGACGACGGCCCGGAATCTCTCCAGCACGGCATCTAAGACCGACTTCCTCTCGCTTCACTCCACCATCAGCAAGGAGCTGAAGCAGTTGAGCAACCAGAAGACGCAGAAGATCGATCCCCGGCTGGGCTTCTTGAGGTTCGCTGGCAGCAACGAGATCGACGGCCGCGTCAACCTGGGCAACCTGGTGATGGAAGGAAAGTGGGAGATATACCGGCAATTCGGGAAGGAAGGAAACGGCGAGGGGGAATTCAGCTGCGCCCGGGGGATTGCTGCTCTACCTTCTGGAGACATCGCGGTGGCTGATCAGTGGAACAAGCGAGTGGTCATCTGCTGTACGGACGGGACGCTGAAACAAACTATTCCAACTGAAGACTGTGAGTATGAAATCTTAGCAATGCAAGGGGTTGAATAATAAAAAAAAAAGTGCTAAAATTGTTTCGATGTAGAAATCAATATCTTTCTTGTATAAGTGTATACGGGATCGGAATATAAAACGTTTACACCAAGGACAAAAATGTTCACGGACACTCAGCTTATTTAAATTGCCTCAAAAACGAACATGTCTATGAGGTTTCTTTTTATAACCTAACGATCAAAAATGACGATCAGTCATTAAAACGAACCATTGTAATTCGTTGTGCTCCGAAAGGCATAGTTTAGAGGTAGTCCTTTCTTCTATTTTCCTGCATGGTTGGGCGTATTAGTTGTTGAATACTACCTAGGCAAATTGTTGAGGTTAGTACGAAGTTCCTTTTTAAATTTGAGGTTAAGTCATTGTTGATTTGTTGGATTTCTTTGGCCATTTTCAGACCCGTTTGATGTAGCAACCTTCAACCACCAACTGATAGTCATTGACACCACAAACTACGTCAAAGTCTTCAGCACCGACAAGACGTTGTTGTTTGACTTCCCCACCGTGCCGGCTGCCGAGGTGGGCAAGACTCGCGTCAACCTTGCCAGCATCGTGGTCAAGAGAGACGGCACCATCGTGGTGGGCGACATCTACAGGAAGGTGTTAACGGAGCACCGGCCGGCTGACGGCTCGCTCATACGCACCGTGCCGGTGAACACACCGCCCCACTACCTGGCAATCGACAACGCCACCGGGAGGCTGCTGGTCAGCGGCGCCGACGGACGCGTGCTGGACGCGGTCGACGTCGACGCGGGAGTGACGCTCTTCAGCCTGAAGCCGCGCATGGCCAACGAACGAGTAGAGTACTGCACCGGCGTGTGCTGTTACAGCTCGGGGATCTTCCTGGCCATGCACAACGGCAGCGATACTGGGCACATCCACCACTACGACGCCCAGGGAAAGTTCCGCGGCTGTATAGCTCGGGATCTCCACTACCCGATGAACATCAAGGTTTGTGCTGGCCAGCAGCAGCTGGCCGTAGCCGACTGGACGTCTGTCAAGATTTTCCAGTTGGAACACATCTAGAAAACTCTTTACAGACTACATCCTTGTGACTAATGAGATACATACGGAAATTGTAGAGGGCGTTTGTTACCACAGACGAGTGAGGAAAATAAGGTTTAATGAAACGGAACCTGTTCATCAAAACACAGAAATGTAGTTTCCTTATTTTCAAAGATTAGCGAAGGCTTTTTAAAGCTGAGTCCTTCTAATGACTGTAATTAAGCAAATATGTTCCCTTCTATTAATTTAGATATGCCACCAAGAAGCATTTTTAGTCGAGGTTTCTCGAGACCTCAGTAATTGTGATCATTAATTAATGTTTACTTGTAAGTTTCCCAGTCAAAATTAAGTAAAATTTCAATGTATGGATTTTTATGGGGTCAGGGTCTTTTGGGATCTTTCAGAGACCATCAAGATGATTTTTTTCCACAAATCTTACTGCATGCATACCAAGAAACCGACTGTTTCGTACACTGACGTTACAGTCGGAGGAAATATGAGAGTTTTTTCCCTTCCAAATCGGACTTGACTGAACATTGAAGTTCTGTGATATAGGTATTTCCAAGAAGTGTCGTAAAATGGTCTCGAACACTGTACTGCAGCCAAAAATTGTCAAAATAACAAAACAATCAAGTTGTGTTTTTGGAGATTTTATTGGAATACCTGAGCAGTACAACTCAACTACTGAGGGCTATGACCTAATATGTAGTCAGATTCAATGTGCAATCTCCTGCCTTGATGATTTCATCCAAAATTGCCAAAAAAACATTATCCCGATGTGCCTCGCCTACGAAAGTGTTCAAAAAGGGAAAGGTATACGTTTGTTACAATGCAAAATGTACGACGCCCCCAAAGAGCACATAACGTTATCAGGGGTAACTGATCCCATACCAGTTTAAAAGCAAGTAATATTTATATATCTTTTAGTAATAGTCAAATCCTCTTGTAACCTTTTAGTTTTATAGGTTTTTAAGGACCTGAATATAAATTACCTTTTCTATATATGGTGTTTGTTTGTGGGAAAACTAACATAAATATTTAACAATTAAAAGAGTATTATGCAGAATACAAGCCACAAAGAGAATAAAGAGAATATGAATCTCATTATTTTTCTTCCTAAAGAATAAAAGAAAGTGACTACTGCTAATCGAAATATTAATAATTATACTCCATTGATTGAAATACCCAATGATCTTAGTTTTTGTTCGACATTTTAGTGTGACAAAAATGCCAATGTCATCTATATAAACAGGTAACGTCAAAACAGCGCGGCCGTTAATAAAACACATGGAAACGTGCCGTAAAACATTAACTTATGTTGAATGATTGCCGTTAAAAGATAGTGTCAGTCTCTCAAACAGAATAATTATTAAACCGACCAGCAGAAATTAATGATAGCGTCCCTATCAGATTAATGATAGCGTCCCTCGTGCACGCAGGATTTAAAGGGTGCAGGCCTGTATTAAAATGGACCGGACTTGCCTACGCCGGCCAAATCACAATTTGCATTAAATTCTCCAGTATTAGATCATTTTGAGTCCATGAACTTGAGGGTTTGTAAACAAAGAAGGGTGGAAACTGTGCAGAGGACTGCGAGCTTGGAGATTTATCACTGAGGTCTGAGGCAGTCTATTTGCTTGTCGACAACCTCAAGTGGGAAGGTGCGTTTGGATAGGGGACAGGACCATTACACCACCTTGGAAACTTTCAAGGGGGGGGGGGGAGGGGGTATTTGAACCGATCTGACTCTCATAATGGTACTATTAAACATGTATATGCAAGTACACACACGCCTTTTTCCAGCAGAACGTACTGTCGAATTCTACGTACATGAAATTGATGGTGGACAATTTCGCAGAATAATGATGAAACTCCCCAAAATGGGAGTTTTCTAAGCTGGTCTGATGTTCCGATTTCGCTTCTTCAGCCAGAAAAAAAACACCACATGCGATTGGGGTTTTTAAGTTGACATGACGTTGTTTGGTTTCAGTTTGCCATGCATCCATGCATGGAGTCATCCAGGCTTGTTTAACAATAGTGGCCTCCATATTGAATACGTAAATGGTCTGTGTAACAGAAAAATGAAAAAGCAAACCCTTTTCCAATTTTTGGTTTGGAATTTTTGGACAGAAAAATGAAAAAGCAAACCCTTTTTTAATTTTTGGTTTTGGATTTTTGAACAGAAAAATGAAGAAGCAAACCCATTTCCATTTTTTGGTTTGGAATTTTTGAACCGAAAAATGAAAAAGCAAACCCTATTCCAATTTTTGGTTTGGAATTTTTGAACAGAAAAATGAAAAAGCAAACCCTTTTTCATTTTTTGGTTTGGAATTTTTGAACGGAAAAATGAAAAAGCAAACCCTTTTTCATTTTTTGGTTTGGAATTTTTGAACGGAAAAATGAAAAAGCAAACCCTTTTCCAATTTTTGGTTTGGAATTTTTGAACAGAAAAATGAAAAAGCAAACCCTTTTTCATTTTTTGGTTTGGAATTTTTGAACAGAAAAATGAAAAAGCCAACCCTTTACTAATTTCCGTTTTTGAATTTTTGAAAAGAAAAATGAAAAAGCAAACCCTTTTCCAATTTTTGGTTTGAAATTTTTGAACAGGAAAATGAAAAAGCAAAGCCTTAACCAATTTTTGTTTTTGAATTTTTGAAAAGAAAAAAGAAAAAGCAACCCCTTTACCAGTTTTTGTTTTGAAATTTTTGAACCAAAAAGAGGAAAAGCAAACCTTTTACACTTTTTGTTTTTGAATTTGTGGAAAGAAAAAACTTAGTTACGCCCCGTGTCTTATTATAGTAACTTTTGCGTTCTTTTTTGTGTGAGGAATTGTTTGGAATGGACACCTTTGCTTTATGTAGAGGGAGTAATCAACGTTCTTTTAGAGAGGAAGTCATGAGACCAGCCGTATTTTCAGGTACGTATTTGTTTAGGCCTAATTTTGTACAGTAAAATTTCAAACAGCGCATGCAGCTACAACGTTATATGGCTATGGCCTTTAGAGAGCAGTCTGCTGAATGGGTGGGGGGGGGGGGGGGGGATACCATACTTTCAATTGGGGTGCTGTTTAAATCCGACCATTATGAACACTAACAATATCAAAGAATGCTGTACACATACCCCCTTATACCCAGCTGTTCCGTCCGCTTGTAGGCGGATATAAACGCTAACATTTTTGGGGTGTCACAGGGGGGGGGGGGGAGGGGGAGGGGAAGGGGTTCGTTTTATAATTTTTTATTTTTCATGAATTGCTATTGTAAAAAAAATCAAGACAGAGCTGTGGGTGGGAGTGACCTCTAATTCCCCCACTGGATCTGCGCCTGGGAAGGGAGGGGCCTTAAAGGTTCTCCTTTATACACATGTATGATTTATAGGCATCATGGAAAATAAAATCCCCCAGCGGCATAGGAAGCATTTTATGAAGGGACACATAAGACACGTCCTTTTTTGTTGGGGGCGGACACCTGGTGGTGCTGGAAGTTTATGAGGGGCATGCATGTGCCCAACCAGGCCCCGGGCTATATCACTGCTGTCCCCTTTCACTTGAAATGGTATTTAACATGTGAAAATATTTTGTTATTATTAGGCCTAGGTAAAACAAAACAAATTATTTTGTTATTATTAGGCCTAGGTAACCGCATTAGAAAATATGCAAGGGCGCTTTTCTTTTTAGAGACCGTATAGTCTGAACAGGAAATTGTCATTAAAATTTGGATTTTTGTTTTGTCCACATTGATACTGCTCAATTTATGTTCAAATATCACAATTTTTGAAATCATAATTGCCACATGCCTTGATTGAAATAATGACACAAAAAAAGATTTAGACAAATGTGACTTGACAGCATTTTAATCATATCAGTTCTGCCCTTTTTGGGGTAACTATGTAAAAATAATCACACTTAAACTAAAGCGAATTACATTTCACTCACAGTCTAAAAAAAACATGCATACATTTTTATTTGGTTCGCCGATTCCAACAGACTCTACATAAAAACTATTAAATCATTTGTTGTAGTTTTTTTCTACAAAACCAAATCAAAATCAAGTGTAGGAAATATATTCGAAAATAATATTTAGGCTCCATAGCATAGATTATTGTTCATACTTTTAGTACTAGGGCATAGGCCTGGGCTCGGTGTAGTACTGATTTTTTTTATATAAATAAAATATATATTATAGACTGTCCTGGTTTTAAATAATAAAATAGAAGAAAGAAATAATAATTAAAACAAGCTTTGCTTCAAGTTGGCGAAACAATACAAATGTTAAGAAAAAGGTACAGAACTTGGTTCTTCTACGGGTGGGGGTTACGTCACGCGCCCTCATCCTGGCATCATCGCCATCCCCCTCCCATTCAGCAGACTGCTCACTTAAGGTCAAAGCCATACGTTGCAGCTGCGCTGTTTGAAGTTTTACTGTAAAAACTACAAGTAAGCCTAAAAACAAATACGTACCTGAAAAATACGGCTAGTCTCATGTCTTCCTCATTTAAAGAAAGGCATTTAGTCCCTCTACACAAACAAAGTTGTCAATTCCAAACAATTCTTCACATACACACAAAAACAGCACAAAAGTGACTATGATAAGACAAAGTAGGGGGCCTAAAGAGAGCAATTACAGCAAGTACAGTAAACATGTGCATGCCCGTGGTCGCGCATGAGTTCCCGCCATGCCCCGTGGACAGGTTTTTTTTCACAGGAAACAGCCGCGAGACACTTTCTGACGAACTCGGCCGCACTCGGGTTTCGTTGGGCTTAGACTGGTAACAGGTTTGTTTTTCCTTTTCCGGTTACCCTTTTTCGTTTTTGTTTTGGCAAAGAAAACGTTGTCTTAGTTTTTAGTTGTTTGTGTTTCAGAGAAACAAAATGAAACAGATATGAGTGTGCTGCGTTTATTTACATAATGTTAACTGTATACAAAGAAAAACAATTGACGATGTTGTTTTATACGCATCAAAAACGGAATGCTGTAACTCGATGCGTTGTCTCTTTTTCTGAACACAGACTCTAAAACAGTGTACAGTACATGGTTTGCTTTTCCTTTTATTTCTTTTTAAAATTAAAAAACGGTAACTGGTAAAGGGTTTGCTTCTTCTTTTTTCTTTTTAAAATTAAAAAATGGTTAACTGGCAAATGGTTTTCTTTTTGTCTTTCTTTTCAAAATTTCAAAAGCAAAAACGGGTAAAGGGTTTGCTTTTTCCTTTTTTGGTTCAAAAATTTCAAAACAAAAACTGGTAAAGGGGTTGCTTTTTCTTTTTTCTTTTCAAAAATTCAAAAACGGAAATTAGTAAAGGGTTGGCTTTTCTTTTTTCTTTTCAAAACTTCAAAAACAAAAACTGGTTAAGGGTTTGCTTTTTCATTTTCCTGTTTAAAAATTCAAAACCAAAAATTGGAAAAGGGTTTGCTTTTTCATTTTTCTTTTCAAAAATTCAAAAACGGAAATTAGTAAAGGGTTGGCTTTTTCATTTTTCTGTTCAAAAATCAAAACCAAAAATTGGAAAAGGGTTTGCTTTTTCATTTTTCCGTTCAAAAATTCCAAACCAAAAAATGAAAAAGGGTTTGCTTTTTCATTTTTCTGTTCAAAAATTCCAAAACAAAAACTGGTTAAGGGTTTGCTTTTTCATTTTCCTGTTTAAAAATTCCAAACCAAAAAATGGAAATGGGTTTGCTTCTTCATTTTTCTGTTCAAAAATCCAAAACCAAAAATTAAAAAAGGGTTTGCTTTTTCATTTTTCTGTCCAAAAATTCCAAACCAAAAATTGGAAAAGGGTTTGCTTTTTCATTTTTCCGTTCAAAAATTCCAAACCAAAAAATGAAAAAGGGTTTGCTTTTTCATTTTTCTGTTTAAAAATTCCAAACCAAAAATTGGAATAGGGTTTGCTTTTTCATTTTTCGGTTCAAAAATTCCAAACCAAAAAATGGAAATGGGTTTGCTTCTTCATTTTTCTGTTCAAAAATCCAAAACCAAAAATTAAAAAAGGGTTTGCTTTTTCATTTTTCTGTCCAAAAATTCCAAACCAAAAATTGGAAAAGGGTTTGCTTTTTCATTTTTCTGTTCATAAATCTAAAACCAAAAATTGGAAAAGGGTTTGTGTTTTCATTTTTCTGTTTACAATTTCAAAAATGGTAAAAGGTAAAACACTTTTGTTTTTCTGTTTTCGTTTTTTAGACGCATAAACGGAAACTGGTAAACGATGTCCCTTTTCTGTTTCTTTACCAAGATTGTAATAGGGTAAACGGTACAGGGTTCGTTTTTCATTTTTCTTTTGACAATTTTCAAACGGTAACTGATTGGACGGTATGTACACGGACCGTAAAGTGCATCAAAGTACATGTAGGCCTACAGCCCCTAAAACCGGATACAAACGTGACGTTTTATTTGTCCTGAATGGTTTCCTGTGTTGCACGCGGTAGCTTGCGTCCCAGTTGGTGATCAGTGACCTTAGCACTATAAAGAGGCAACACACGGAAACGAACCGGTGCCGGTAGCCATGTTTACTAGGACTGGTTCACAATTCTGACTTTCTGTTGTTGGGTTTTTCTCAGTTAGTCATATTTTGGCGTTGTGGTCAGGATAAAAAAGGACAATTGTCCTTTCATCTGAAGACCCCTTCAAACTGCACACGTATACTGTTGGATCTGTTTTCCTACATTGATGGTTTGAGCATGATTGGAGCTGAGGGAGTCCAGTAGCTAGTCTTCAGTGGACTGCCTATAGGGCCTAAACGGTAAGTTCGAATACTGTTAATGCCGGCGAATAAGGTATCTTACTTATGTGACCTTTAGTATTATTAGAGTCAGTAATAAAGGGGAAGAGGACTCGGCTTCTCAGTTCTCATGTGGTGATTTATTCTCACACTCACTGAAAGATGAAAATACGGGAAAGGGAAGCTCAGTTTTAAGACAAGGTGTTTCCTCGGCTCCAGTTAGCATAGGAATCCACTTAAAATATTTACAAAATTACAATCATGAATAGGAATCTTAACACTAAGCCAAATAATTAATATAGTAAATGATCAACAACACTAGTTCAATGTACTAGATTGGAAAGATGGCGGCAATTTCCCGCCAAAATCGGTTATAGTGATAAAATATCGGTCATTTTTTTGGGTGATATTATCGGTTGGTGATACGTTATCCGTTGGGTATCAGTTGTAACAAATACCCATTGCTTTTCTCGATTCACTGGAGAAAACACGACAATAAAAAGGTTTCTATTCAGCGTCACCGGTCAATATCGTAAGCTTTATATAAAAGTCTTCAAATGGGTGATATTTGCCTTATCTCGGATTTACTAATCTATTTTGAAATCACACTTTATAAAAACACAACAGCCCAATACATGTAAAGAGTTAGTCCGAAAATTTGAGACTCTCAATACTGCGTATGAGAGTCCCAAAACTTAAGGTATCCATATCCTGCATTAATTAGCCGAATGGTGAGTGAAAAAACCTCAGTAGTAATTTTGCACGTTTTTATGCACTCACGGTCCCAGTCTGGTAAAGAGTTTACTATAATATTCAGGGGCAGATCCAGAGTGGGACTTAGAGTGCAGAAGACATGCAAAATAAATTCAGGCTAACTTTACTCAGTCTTTAGCCGACGAAATTCTCCACAATTTTCATGAGGCAAAGACAAGGTCCTCAGTTTTTCACCAGCCAAGTTTGAAGTGTCAATTCAATGTTTTAAGGAGACTTTTCTTCAATATTATGCCCCCGAGAGTGAAGCCAAGTGATTTCAATTGGAGGCCTAAGACCAGTGTGGTACATGTCCAACTATTGGAAAAGACTGCTCTTCAGTAATCTGGTGGCAGTAGTGGCGTAGTAACGGGGGGGGGGGCACAACCCCCATGAAACCTTGTCGCCCCCCACTGAGATTTCGAGTTTCTAAAAAAATTATCATTGATCTACATGACGCCCCCCATGAAATGTTCCAGCCCCCCCAGCGGCCCCCCCCCCCCCCCACTGAAAAATTCCTGGCTACGCCACTGGCCCCGGTTGACCATGCACACCATGGCTCGAACTGTAGAGTGATTCGGTACACTCGCTGGCCCCGTCCAGCTGTTGCTTCCCCGTCACTGTAGCGGTCCGCTCCCGCTTCAGTCCGGCCGTCTCTGCGAAGCGATAGCTCGTACCGTGCCCACTCGGTTCAGCTAGAATCTTTGGCTTACTTGGTTCCCCGAGTTAGTGTTGTGAGACTCCGACACCGGTGTTGAAACCAAGGAAAAGCCTGACGTTGGAGGAATCCCCGCAAAGTTAAATAAACCAGTAAAGTCACTGTGTGAAAGCTCTGTTTCCCGCCAAATTCGTTATCATAGATAATAAGGTTGATTCTAATATAAAGTTAATGAACTAATAGGGAATGCAACAATAATTTCAGGAATGAATTGCAGGGCAGCTCCGTCGCACAGCCTTTAACGTGTCACCACTTGAAACTTAGAACTGATAGACACATGGATTACATGATACGAGAACTGTTCGATTGCCTCATTGATGTTCTCCGAAAATAATGTTGAAAATAACATCTCGTGGATTCCCACAAAACTCCTCACAATAAGGCCAGTTTTAACACTATTTCTCGTTGTGGGTCTGAAAATGAAAATTGTCGGTTTGTGTATTATGAATATGATCAAGTGAAATTATTTATGCAGTATTTTGCCCATTTCCCTCAAAATTGCATATTGTAATATTGTACATTTTTATCAATTTGCTAGAATATGTGATACCTCACCAACAAGTATCTTTTAACGAAATTCAATCAGAATATTTGCTGTGGGGGGCGACAGCCCCCCCCCCCCCCCATGAAACCTTGTCGCCCCCAGTCGCCCCCCCCCCCCCAGCGCCCCCCCCCCCACAGAAAAATTCCTGGCTACGCCACTGGGTGGCAGATAAGGCAAAATAAAAATATAGTTCTGCTTCCGATTACATGCCTTTCAAAAATAGGGTCGGTTGGTCGGAATTTGTTTTTATTTTTTTGCCATTTTTTTTTATGCAGATTTAATGGGGTATTCAATTATATGCGAAGTTTTTAGCCTGAACTATTTCCATTGCACTACGAAAGCTATACACGAAATGGCAACAAAGAGTGAATAAAAACTACCTTTTAATTATTGTAAATAAATTTACGTTCGATAATTTCGGAAAATAATGGAAAATTCAGGTCGTTCGCACCATATGCACAACGCTAGTCAAGACGCGGGGAGCTGGCCAAAACTCCGAGGTGTGTGATGCGTGCGTGTGTAGCGGCCCACCATGGGCCGACAGACCTGTTTTTAAGGTCAAAAATTTTGGGAAACACGCGGCGTGTACACTGATCTCTATATAAAGACTGGATAGCTAATAAAGAGCCGCACAATGTACGAATTTGACGCCATATTGGTGAGACCGGCTGGTGATCTACAAAGGACAAGTTGCCGTCTTTATAGACAGCTTGATTTCTTTTGTAACGTCGCGGCTCACTTGACTTATATTTTGGCCACCACCACTGACCAACTGACCAAGGTTTACTACAATTTTTCTAACGTAGTGGTTACTTTTATAATGCCGCAAATCACTTTTTCGGCGTTTTTGAAATAATAATCACTACGGAAATGTGTTCCTTTTAGAACATCATAATATGTGTACGTGACCAAAATGCGCGTCAACTGTTGATACAACGGGCGCGTATTTACGCGTAGAACGTTCGTATTATACGCGGCCATCTTCGTGAGACCGGGGGCGAATTGGTCAATATGCAAAGTCTACTGTGTGAATGTTGTATGCATATCCGCTATCCAGTCTTTATATAGAGATCAGTGGGCGTGTATCACTCCAAATACGAGTAGTGCGATCTCAAAATGAACTCTTGAACACAGAAAATACATACACAGACAAGCTAGATCAATTCTGTAAATTAACTTGCAAAAATGTTCTTTCTCCATCGGTGTTTTCTTGGCATTTTTACGATGTCGAATCCGACCAGTTGACAGTGGCCTGCACTGCTAGCGTGCTATCGGTCGCATAGCTATGGACTGGTTACCGCATTTTCATCATGTCTTCGAAATTGGCCCCTGCGCGGCGCGGCGGGAACCAGTCGTCGCCACGTGATTATAGTCGCCGTGACATCGCATTGCGAAGTAGCTATATCGCGAAGCGAATTTGTAAAAATAACGGAGGTTTCTTTTGAAAGAAAGCGAATGTAAGTAAGAAAACAAATAAATACAAGCATTTTTTTATGCAAAAGGGTTGTTGAGAGGTATTTTGTGAAGACAGAAAAGACAACAAAATTTTATTTTTATTTATTCAATCTTTTTTTTTTTTTTTTTTAATTGCCGATAAATTTTTTTAGGGTCGCTGCCTAAAAATAGGGTCGGTCGGGTAACCGGAAGCAGAACTATTCTTTTTTTTGGCCTAATACATTAACCGTTGGAAAGTTACCCGATAACACCTCAAAATCAGCATTTGGTTTGGTTTCTCACCACAAAGATGAGGGGGGGGGGGGTGATCCAAAGGCCTCTGTCACAAAAGTGTGGGGGATATATAAGTTTTTTTCATTCAGGTTTGTAATTCCTTGGAATTTCCCATCGAATTTCACAGGAAATAACTTTGCAGCAAACCGCTATATTCAAGGTTTGGATTAATACATTTGAATAGCGACCTCTATTGACAACGAAGTCTGATAGTATTTTTGACAGCTTATCACATGGAGCTGCATCAGTAATATAAATCGAACGCTCACAAAATATAAATATTTATCAATATAAAACATAATGATCAATACAAAAGAACAAGTAATTTTCACAATAGACCTAATCATCTATTGTATACTCTCTAAAACTGTGTTTTAGCAATTAAACACAATTTTGCTATTCGTTTGTGAACATGTTTAAAAGCTGAACATTATGTGTCCAATTCTTACGTCATTGTTCAATGGCTAAACACTATCCATCCTTACGCTAAACATGTTTAGTATTTAAACATGTTTACAAACTGATAGCAAGAAAGTGTTAAATTCGTTTAAAATCTAACCATTCAATTAATGTAAATAAACGGAGGATAATGTAAATATATTTTCTTAATTACCTAGGAGTGGCCCGGTCTACGTGTATACTATGACGGACATCAATGAAGCAAAGACGTCAGGCACAGGAAAGCTAAACATGGATGGTAAAGTGGCGTTTATCAATACCAATTTACTTTTCCAAGACGACTAGAAACCCCGTTTTCTTAACCCTGCGCAGCGTTTACAAGAAACTTTTATCCGAAGTCGCCAACTGCGTACCAATGGGACGCAGGTACTTCCCCCACTACGCAAGACCCTATCCATGTCAAAACAACAAAAAGCCACGTGCCAGACAGTGTCCAGGCATTTGCCAGACAGGGCACTTAAAAGATAATTGACTGGTGGCTGCGGTTTGCGGCTATGAAGGGAGATGGCTGTGTCAAGTTACAGGTGTTTGTATATGTTTCAATGAGACTTGGCAGGAGGCCTGGTCCCAAGGTTGTTGACACCGCTCGGGTGAAACCCTGGCTGCAAAGTTCATTGAACCAGCTGATTTGGCATGGGTTGAATGAGGATTAGATGGAAGGTGAACGTCATTGGCCCTCATTTTATTTTTCAAAAACTTCGGTCACATGCGTACCCGGGGTACGCAGGTCACTCCGCGCAGGGTTAAATACCCCAACTATGCATAGTTTTATCAGTGTATTATTGTACCAACTCCTCTTACACGCAATGACCCCGAATAATCCAAGCATGTTCTGTTACAAGAAGCCAATAGAGCATGAAAGGTGACCTCAAAAACCTGCGAGATTTTACGAGAATACAGCACATCTGGACACCATGCACAGGATGCACAACGTCCTATTTGATGGAAAACCGTGGACAACGGAAGTTGCAATTAAAAAAGGGTTTTAAGTGTTTTTCCCCCTCCCCCCAATCAATAAGAGCATTGTCAACAAGCAGAGTGCTCTAAGATTTTTTGATTCTGGTACTCATTGTTTTTCCTGTTACGCTAACAGAATAAGTTCTGGTGACGTTTAGTAGTTAGTTTTTTTACACTCTAAAATGTCCCGGGTCAGACTTGACCCGGAAAAGGGTCTTGTGGAGCCTGACCCTTTTCCGGGTCAAAAATGGCACTTTTCTGGGTCAAAAAAGTGTCATTTTTGATCAGGAAAAATGTCATATTTGACCTGGAAAATGGTCAGGCTCCACAATGACCCTCTTCCGGGTCAAGTCTGACCCGGGACTTTTTAGAGTGTATCGGTAGCTCACGTTACGAGAAGAACCTGCATTTGAAAGTTTCCTCATACCGTGCACTGATGGACAAATCTTTCTAGTGCCCTTACATCATTAGGGTGAAAGTCATATGTGTACAATCATTTGAGTTATTACATAATATTAAAATCTCTGGAGGCACATATTACGTCACAGTAGTTCACGTTACAGTTCGTATAAACCCCCTCTTTGGTACAAATTAAAACATGGAAAAGTAATTTAAAAAAAACACCTCTTTTCGCATACAATATGAACCTGTCTATCTGCCTTAAAAACAAAAACAGTAGCATTTGCCTTTTTGCATGCAAAAACAAGGTGCCAAAATGACTGCTTACACAATTCATGAGTTTTAGCAACCCCCCACCCCCCCCAAAAAAAACACCTCAGGTTTTTTGACAAAAAGTACACAGAAAATCACAAGTAATTTTGTTGTATTTCTTTCAAGGTATACAAGATCTGACTTTACGGGAGTTGTCCCAGGAGCTCAGCTATGAGTGGGAGGCCCTGGCGTCGTTCCTTGGGATGAAAGTGGCCGAGACGTCGGTCCTTAAGATGGACTTTCCCGGCCAAACAGAGAACCAAGTCTTCAACATGCTGATTAGATGGAGACAAAAACAAGAACCGACTGTGGACCAAGTGGCAGTGCTGAGTGCAGCCTTGATAAAGGCTAAAAGAACGGATTTGGCTGTTAAACTTCAAGGTACACGAATTCGGCAACGTATTACTGTACGTACGTGCGCAAGCCCCTTCAATGGAAAAAAAACCTACTGCGCACGCTATTGTACAATGCAACTGCCCCTTGGCAGATAATCTTAATATAAATGGCGCAATTTCGCCAACCCAATATAGAAGCCTCTTTGTCGGGGTTGCAGACGCCCGAAATAGAGAAAAAGTATTGATCTTCGTGTTTCAAATGAAAGAACTTAAATTTGGTGGAAGAAAATTAATGGAATGAGCAACACGGACAGTACATAAAAAAACCCGAATCCCTGTCGTCATATTACGTCCATTATTAAATACAACTCTAATTATTAAGAATACAAACAGCAAGAAAAGATTATAGAGGTTCACTCTCACACTCTTGGCTCATATAGCCTAAACCAATGTGTGTAATAATTGTTTCGCAATACAGGTCCTCGAAGTTCCAATATAACAAGTCAGCCGCAGGGTGCCGTTGGACAAAATGTGGAACACACCAGCCACTCGACAAGCGACGAAAAATCGACAGGCTCCAAACCTCTACCAGATCAACACTCACTCCTCCCTGGACGTTCTCATGAAAGCTCCAATGGACAACAGGAGGTTTCTGGTTTGTCGGAAAAAGGTAAAAAACTTCGTGAGGCAGTGTCAGTTTTCTTAAATGTGATTCAAACATCTGACGGGATCGTATAAGGAGGAATGGGGTTCACACATTCATATTGCAGGTCCTAATCGACAGCCGATTCTTTGAAAAAGATGTTCGGAAGATTCCAGTTAAAGTCGATGACTTTTTGAAGATAATTAAGGCGGTTGCCGATATGTGTCTAATTGTAGGCCTACATCCGTCGATTATGAACTCATCTTTTAATCATTGAAATCACCTCCTATTTCAACTCGGAAAAGTACAATTGAATAATAGATAGAAACAAACATTGGAACCATCTATGAATATACAGGGTGAGTAAAAAAAAGCGGAACTCAAACCCCCAAAATTGTATTTCATATTAAAAAAATATATGTAGCACCAAAATAATAATGAATGGAAAGCCAATTTCATAAGCTACTTTTAGATGAAAAAATACTGAAATTGCTCAATCCGTTCAAAGAATATCACCATTTAAACGCAATGATCCTAAAACCTGTTTCGTCCCAAAAAGCAATTTATTGTGTATTCTTACTTTCTTACTGTTTGGAACAACACAGAAAATGACACAGAATACTTGTTTCAACAACTGTCAACTAATGTAGTACACAATTTCTTTTATATATAAACAACCCTGGTTAGGCAAAAATATGATTTACAACATCCAATTTTTTTTTAAACGACAGGCCCTCAAAAGGACTTTGTTGAATATTTTCAACTTTTAATCTGAGGTTTTATTGCTGGTGATGTGTGAAGACAATTATTGTGGCGACGATTCTTGAAATCGTATTTTTGGACGAACGAGGTTTTAGGGTCATTGTGCTCAAATGGTGATATGCTTTGAACGGATTAAGCAATTTCGGAATTTTTTTCATCTGAAAGTAGCCTATGAAATTGGCTTTCCAGTCATTATTATTTTTGGTACTACATATTTTTTCTTAAATATGAAATATAATTTTGGGGGTTTTGGTTCCGCTTTTTTGACTCACCCTGTATAAGTGTGCTCGTTTAAACATGCAGTATCACTATTATTTTATTACGCAGACTTTTCATGAAATATGTATCCTGAGATCAGTTTCAGGTGGAATATTGGATCTTAAAGGCATATCATTATGATTATTCGCATTTATCCCGAAGTAACCTACCAAATATTACACAAAGCTTACTTGGATATCGTATAGACCGCTTGCAGATGCGTTCGATAATCGACGCGCGAAGGCGCGCGACGCCATGTTGTGGGACAAGCGTATACCTATCTATGCACATTTTGTCCCATAACATGGCGTCGCGCACCTTCGCGCGTCAATTATCGATCGCGTCTGCAAGCGGTCTATTGGTACTGAAACACCCCGTGACAGTATTCTGTCCGGCTTGCTGTCATTTAGAAGAAATCAAGAAATGTAGGCCTAGGTGATTTCCAAAGATAAGTATAATAATCGACGGATTTTTGTAAATAGATAGTGCTTTTGACGAAATCGTGTTTGGTGATGAAAAGGCTGAGCGTGGTTTTCACTGTTTTCTCGAGAAGTGTAATATCCCTTGTGCTGAAACTTCAACCGATTAGGTTTGAACATTCTTTTTTGGATTTTGAGTGGTATTGTATTGGAAACGAACAAACTGCATGAAAAGCAAATGATCCTATATGTCTTTAATTCATAGCCCGAGCAAGACCAGCCTGAATCCCCTCAGAAATAATGCATTTGTTTTTATGCATATCAATTTATTTTCTCCTATCTCAGGAACTGATAAATTGACGGCGAATACCGTTAACACAGAGCACCGCGAAGCCGCAGAAAACAGACGACCGAAGGAGGCATATTGTAGCTGCTCAAAGCATAAGGGAGAGACAGTGAAATTCATGTGCATTACATGCCAAGAAGTAATCTGCTCGCAGTGTGCCGATAAAGAACACTGCAAACCACGACATCACTGCCTGAGCTGTGAAACGGCCTCTGAAAAGTACAGGCTGTTGCTGGCGAATAAAATACCTGTCCTGGACGAACAGGTCAAGGAGATCAAGAACTTCTTGAAAGAGGCATCTCAGGTAAGGACGGATTTCGAAAATAAATTTTTCAAGACTGTGAAGGAAGTGCAAGAAAGAGCTGCCAGTGTGATCGCGGAGGTGAAAGCCGAGGAGAACCGGCTGATTGAGGAAGCAAAGAAGCTGGAGCAAAATCGAAGCAAGACGTTCCACGATCAGGAGAAGCGAGCGACCGTGCTCCTAGGCACCAGGCAACACGCACTGGAGACGGCCAGCGACGTGGCCAAGGTAGGACCCCACCCCGAGTTCCTCTCGCAGTATCTGATGGTCAGCAACGTCATCGACATGGTGAACGGCCAGCACTGCCCGAAGGGGGATCCCAGGCTGTCATATCTGAGCTTCACCGCGAGTGCAGTGGACGGTGTCGGAATAAGTCTGGGTCGGCTGGAGCTGGGAGGCCGGTGGGTGATGCGGCGCGAATTCGGCAGCAAGGGGAGTGGGCCGGGAGAGTTCCAGTTAGCCAAGGGAATCGCCGCTCGTCAAGCCGGTGAGATCGAGGTCGCGGATTACATCAACAAACGAGTTGTGGTACTCAGCACTGAGGGCGAGGTTTTGAGGACGATTCCCACCCAAGGAGGTTTGTATTTCGTTAGTGTATTCATGTTTCTGCTGGTGATTTAGGGGGGACCTGCCTGTAGTCCTCATTGTACCAGAGTTGAATAACTCACTGATTGTCACTTGTGACTTGCATGCGCCTCCCTTTGTCCCCAAAATGAAGTGGGATTACCCCATAACAACAATGAACGGGCTGAGTCAGGTCCATTGTGAAGGCCACATGCATAAAAAGATCAGCATGCTGGATAGTGACTGAATCAAACAATCACAATTTTGTTCATTCTGGGACCAGCTTTTAAAATACTTGGCTTACCTTATCTTCTTTTCCTGATATGGTGCAACCAACAACAGATCACAATTACTTACTTAGAAAAGTTGCAATTAGCCATCCAAATTATTTGCCGCCTGCATTTCATTTGCAAAACTTGGTGAAAGAGTTAAACAGACCCTAGCGCTTGTAGATAATGCAATGAGTAAGAGCGAAAAGTTCTCAGGTGCTCACTTCTCCATTTTATAGCAAACACATGCGCGAATGCTTGGTACAGGTAGAAAGCCTATTGTATGTAAGTTCACCACAGAATTGACGGAAAGGCACATTGTTCCTGGTGTCATGATGATTCCTGTTTGCATCTCGAACCATTACGATACAGCCCTCATCAGAGGAACTTTGGCAATATGATTATTTCTTTTGAAGAAACAGTTTGCGAAACCTCACCATGATAGACACTGTGGTGATTGTGCACGATTCTTATTTTTTTATGCCGTCAGTTCCCCGCGACATCGCAGCTCTTCGCACTCATCTTGCGGTCGTAGACGACGCCAACCACGTGCAGCTGTACGGAAGGTACAACTTTATGACGGCCTCCGTGGTCGGCAAGAAGCGTTGCGACTTCCGCAGCGTGGCGGTGAAGACGGATGGTACCGTGGTAGTGGGTGACGTCAACAGGAGCATCCTCACGGAGCACTTCCGCAACGACGGCGCCCCCAAGCGCACCGTCTCGCTCAAGATCAAGCCGTACTTTATCGCCGTGGACGTGGGCACCCACAGTCCTGCTGCTCAACGTGAGAGGGTTGTGGTCAGCAGCGGTTTTCAGAAGGAGGTTCACGTGGTGGATAGCTGCAGCGAGGCTGTGCTCGCCGTCATCAAGCCGCAGATCGACGGCCAGCCTGTGTACCAGTGCACAGGCGTGTGCTGCGACAGCGGGGGGATCTTTGTGGCAGTGTCCGGCGACGAGCGGGACCAGGGACACGTGCACCAGTATGATGCAGACGGTGCATTCCGCGCGTGTATCGCCCAGGGTTTGCACAGCCCACAGGGGATCACCTTCACTGCTGACGGGCACCAGTTGGCTGTGGCCGACACCTACTCGGTGAAAATTTTCCATAAAGTCTGATGCCACAGCATTCCGAGGGCGGACTTAAGGATGGTCGGGATGGCTAATCGCCACTATCTAAACCGATTTGTGTTAAGGGCCTGTCACATTATATGCGATCTCATAGGAGACCTTACGGCGACCAAAAATATTTCATAAATTTAACAATCGCAGCGAGGACGCAAGAAGATGAAAACTTTCGGTCTCAAAGAAGCTCAAGCTACGCTCATACTGTGCTCTTCCCGCGCTTACAATGCGCTCAACTCGCTCTCTATGCGCCCCTGTCAAGCTCAATTACTCGATCTAGTCGCTGCCGCTGCGCTGTCACTGTGCTCACACTACGCTTTGCTCGCTGTTGATACGTCCTAGTAGCATGCGTCGCACTCTATATTCGGTATATTCGACAAAAATACGCTCATGTGACGTCACTTGCGCTGTATAAATACCAAGACAAAACGGTCAATACACAGTCCAGTTTCAAAATGATTCTACAAGTTCATCGCAGTCGAGTTACTTTCTCATGGAGACTACATCGACTGCCTTGCGCCTAGGCTGCCTCAATGCCACTTCAATGTCGCACCATTCACGCTCCCACAGCGCCCGAGATGCGTCATTACGACGTCCTGGCCAGGGCGCAGAGGTGTTGCGATTGTTTTGAGCATGTTCAAAGACCTTGGTGCTCATCGGGGACCATTAAGTCCCTCTGGCGCCCATCTGGCGACCTATGTAGTTGTCGCTGCGATCTAGTAGTTGGTGTTGCGCCCCAGCTATTTTTCAAGGATGCAGTGAGAGCGCATATAAGATCGCAGACAGTGTGACAGGGCCTTTAACAAATTGAAATTCAAAATTTCCAAAAGTTCCCCGAAACCCGAATGACGTTTTCACTCAACTATGATACATTGCTACCGTCAACTAGGAAAGAGAGGCCCTCTTAACGGAGACTTGAATCAAATCAGAATTGCTTTAAGTCGGTATTTTAAAAAATAACTAAACAAAAAATCACAGAGAAATCACTTAGTTTACATCTTTCAAGAAGCACGACAGGGTACACTTCAGCACGCGTTTCAATTAGTGCCGAATAGCAATGCGCGCACACTGTATGTACATTGTACAACGCGTATGTATGTGTGTACAAGCATTACATTCACTGTGTGGACTTCCGAACAAAAGATGTCCACATGAACCAGGTAGAGGAGACACTGTGCGGACTTGCCCACGTCCACAATGCTGTGGCAAAATGAAGAGAAACACTATATAAAAAAATGGATTGAAACAGTTGTCAAAGTGCGAGTAAAATGTGTTTTTTGGGAGGTTTTTCTTAATAACTACCCGAAAACAAAGGAATGTCTATACTATGTACTAGGTATGTAACGTAAACATGTGTGTAGATGAGTTTGTTTCTGCATTGAATTGGGGACGTTGAACAATAGAGGACAATAGGGCTACAAAACGCGCTTTGAAGGAGATGATGTTAATCGGAAATAACATTTAAAAGTAGGATATAAACATCCACACAACTATCCTTTCAAAACTGGGCGTTTTTGTGTTATTCCTGTATATTATGCGTGCGAGAACGAATTTCGGGGTCCACTTTTGCGACCCCATAAACTCGAACTGTTTGGATGCTAGTTGTGATTTGATTCGTAAAGTGTTGGCGTTTTGCGGACGTTGAGGAAACCATTTTTTTTGCATTTGTGATTGGTCACCGCTGTTCTCGAAACACACAACGTGTGTTTCGTGCACTGTGTCCGATGTACACAAGCGTTTTTTTCCCGTCTTTTCTCGGGAACGGTAAGACATTAGGTTGGTTTCCTTTCGACCAGATGTTTGAAATAGGCTAAGTAAACAATACAAAACATACAATTTTCGGGGATTTCAGGACCTAGTGCCCCTTTAACATGATGGTCCAGATTCGAAGCATGAGGGCGCGCGTTATACTGCAGGGACGTACGTATGCGCGCGCATATGCATGAATTTACTGTAGGCACCAACCTCGTTCCCCATGGGTACGATCGTGCGGCGCCATGTTGTTTCCCATCATGCCTTGCGCGATCTTAACCCCTGGAATTGTGTTATTTAAATGTGTCAAAATATGGCACATTATAATTAGGCTGCAGTTCATCCGTTTTACGTGCCGACGCCATCTTTAAAATGTTAAAAGTTGTGATTTTGAAGAATCAATCCTTTCAAACAAAACGTTTGGACGTTGCATTATTTAGCAAAGATTTGTATTAAATGTACGTACCCCTTTTGTCCCTTTACAACCGAAGATACAGGGTTTTTTTTTAGTAAAAAACGAGGCTGCCATAATCCATATCGTACAGGCATCGCGACTTTTGAATAACAATTTTTTTTATTCGTACGTGACGTTTACGTGCAAAGCACGCGAGCGCATTATGGGCGCGCCCGGCGTGCAAACTTCGAAATGCACGCGCAGTACACTGTGAATAGCCAATCAGCGTCATTTACGTCATCATCACGACCAGGGGTTAGTGTAAGGAACGCGCACGCGCCCCTGGAGACGACGCTGTTTAGGCACAGACTGAGCGCAACCCATACTTGGGCTAAGTCTATCTTAACGCGGTGATTGCAACGCCTCACCCATCCCCGCTCGGGTCTATATTATCTCCTCGTCAACCCGCCAATGAAATATAAATATATTATTCGCCATGACCTGTAAAGCCCGGTTCACACTTCATGCGAAAGCGAATGCGAAGCGAATTTGAAGTCATAAAACATTCGCTGCGAAATTTGCCCGAGTTGAATTATGTTCAACTTTTACGAATTCGCAGCGCGAATACTTGCCACGACGTCACAAATTCAAGTTCGCTTTCACTTTCGCGCCGAGTTTGAACCGGGCTTCAGTATTGATGCGAATTGTTTTAGTTTTCTATTTTAGACTGGAACTTCGCAACTGATATTTTATTTAATATCCTACATTGGAAGTGTGCCTATATATGCGATCATGTGTTTGTGTAAAACGTATCTTGTATTTTGTTCCAAGCTAAAACTTGTGCAATTAAATCAAGTTTATGTCATGTGTTGCTTTGAGGAGTGAATGTGGTTATCGCTTTTGTTCAGATTTTTAAGAATAACTTTAAATTCAGTGTTTGCGAGAGACAGGTATAAGATTAATCGAGACCCTCGTAGGTACATAATCCCACGAACATACATCATCACCACGGCAGGTTTAAAGAAGAATGACCATCTGTAACTTTGTATTTTTTTTCCGTTTGAAGCAACCAAAAGTATTGAAAATCTTAAGATGCGTGACCTTAAGATGAGCTCTGCGTGACGCTGTATATATTTCAAGAAAACAACAACAATGTACACAACGTTCAATTTCAATTCAAAAGTTGTCGAGAGCGCCCTCTCGTGACAAAATCCCGAAATCAGCATTCGGGACGCGAATTCTCTTTCCGCAGGCAGAATGCTCCAAAGTCATGCATAATTCAGTTTTCCTTTGAATCGTTGCAAGACGCTTAGGCTCTCGTTCTCCCTTAAAATAAAATTATCTCAAAGATAAATTCACAGAAGAAAAACCGTCGGTGAAAATGAGCAGCGACGACGTGGATTCAAACCAGGGATCTTTGTATCCATAGCTTATAATGCTATCCACTAGGCCACTGTGTGGTAGCTCGGCGACGTCCGTACTTTAAAATGCTTTAAAGGTAACTGGTTGGCTAAATAACAACAATGCTCTTGATCTCATTGTTCTGTTCATGAAAAAAAATGACCCGATCGAAACCATTGAAATATTCCTGACTTTGGAGCATGCAGCCTATGGAAAGGAAAGTCGCATTCGGGACATGCACTATTAAAACAGTGTTTAGCATTTAAACACATCAGAAACCTGTTTATGGTCTAAGACGTTTAGGAATGTGTTTCAATTCTAAACGTTTACCACTTTTTAATGTTGTGAAACTAAACGTGTTTACGTTTTGGACATGTGCTTAGGATTGTATATCTAAATGCGCTTAGGAAGGTGTTTAAATGGTAAACATATTATAAATTGTACATGTCAAACGGATAATGCGTACGTGTCACAGAAAAAGGACATCTAAACATGTCATTATGCTAAACGTGTGGAAAAAGTGGGTACATAATTAGTGTTTAGAAATGTGTTTAAATCCTAAACACCATTTTTACAGTGTGGTTCTCATTCAGCCGGTTGTAGCTAATGAGTTACGGTACATAACGGTCTAACACCAAATCGACGATTCTCGTGTCCATTGTATCCATAGACGTCATCAGGTTTTTTCCCCAGTTCATTCGATTTTATTTTGACATAATAAGCACAGAACAAGAGTACCGACATCAATGCTACTGATCAGCCCAGCCGTGGCGCGTGCGTGTCGCGTCGCGAGAGGTCAATCCGGCTCGCCTGTACCCATTCACGGATTTGCCCAACTATGGACATTTTCAAAATTGAGTCACTTGACATATCTTTGGAAATGACCTTCTTTTATTGTGTTCTTGAAATTGACAGCATGCCAGAAAGAATAACAGGGAGTTTATTGCCATTCTTTAAACCAAGTAAGCTTTTTAACAATAATTTGGCCGGTTACTTTTTGAATAGCTGCAAAAGGTCTACTCCACCTAAAATATTTCCTACAAACAAAAACATATTTTAAAATGTATCATTTTTAACCGTTTACCACCCCCCAACAATAGTTTTTCAGATGTAAAAAATAAGTACAGATATCTCGTTGAAAAATATAGAGAAAAAGGTTATTGGTGTTTCTGTCATTTTTAAAGGTGCCACCCAATATGTTACCATCATGATATTTACAAAGTAATACCCGTTTTCCAGGGTCCTACTATTTTATAACCGTACACTGGATTCGACTTATATGACACACATCCAAACTTTTTTGTTATATCCTCCACAATTACATCAAAGAGTAAGTACTCCGTGCACAATATTACTAGGAAACTCGTTACGAATTTTGTAAATTCACTTTCAAAACAAAATAACTCTTTTCTAGATACATTATAGAGTACGATATCCACAGGGCGAGTCAAAAAAGCGGAACCCACCCCCCCCCCAAAAAGAAATATTTCATATTTAAGAAAAATATGTAGCACCAAACATGATAATGACTGGAAAGCCAATTTCATCAGATTCGTTTAGATGTAAAAAATACTGAAATTGCTCAATCCGCTCAAAGAATATCAGCATTTAAACGCAATTACCCTCAAACCTATTTCGTCCAAAAAGCAGTTTATTGTGTATTCTGACTGTTTGGAACAACAAAGCAAATGACACGATATACTTGTTTCAACAACTGTCAACAACTGTAGTACACAATATCTTTATTAAAAACCCTGGTTAGGCAAACAACATGATTAATAAACACCCCCCCCCCTGTTTTTTAAAGACGGGCCTTCAAAAGGACTTTTTGAATATTTTTTTAACTTCTAAACTTATGTTTTATCGCTGGTGATGTTTGAAGATTATTGTGACGTCATTCTTGAAATCGCATTTTGGACGAAGGCGGATTTAGGGTCATTGTGTTTAAATGGTGATATTCTTTGAACGGATTGAGCAATTTTAGTAATTTGTTCATCTAAAAGTAGCTTATGAAATTGGCTTTCCAGTCACTATTATGTTTGGGGCTACACATTTTTTTAATGATGAAAGTTTTGGGTTTGGGTTCCACTTTTTTGACTTACCCTGTTCCTGTATATACGGAAACATTACTTTATTTAGTACTATCTATTTTTGAAATAATATGCAGAGCAGAAGCGAAATACGAACGTATTGAAATCTGTCAATATAAACATTTTACGTTGACTTATTTTTGCAAATTCACAAACAAAAATCTAGATCTCTTTGAGATAGCCCCTACATAATAAAGTACATTTACCTGAACCGAAATATTACGTCATCTGCTTTTGAAGCAATAAACAGAGCAGATTTGAAAAAAAGAATTTGTTAAAATCTGTCAATATAAACATTTTACGTTGACTTAATATTTGCAAATTCACCAAAAAGATCTACTGACATCTCTTTGAGATAAGCCCTACGATATTTACCTGAACCGAAATATTACGTCATTAAGTACTATCAGCTTTTGAAGCAATATGCAGATTAGAAGCGTAATAAGAATTTGTTAAAATCTGTCAATATAAACATTTACGTTGATTTAATTTTGTAAATTCACAAACAAATCTATATCTTTTTGAGATACATAGTAAAGTACAATATCTACCTAAACCGAAACAGTACTTCAATCAGTACTATATGTGAAGTAATAATTTTACAGAGCCGAAGCGGACTAATACATTGCCAATTTCGGCACAGACAGAAGAAAAGGAAAATCAAAAGGCAAACAACGTACGTTGCTTGATTTTTTTTCTGTGTAAATTAGGAAAAAAATTAAACCATTTTAAAAGCAAAAGTCATGTTAGTTGAAAAAAATATTTAATGTTCATTTCAGTGTCTTTGATTTACTACATGGAATTGTATAGGCGAAATATTAAAAAAGGAATGACCGCTTCCGTCGTTTCTTTGAGTGTCAGTTTGCTACTTAGCCATCCCTAAGATCAGCAAACATTCTGGGTTCCTTTTAAATCTATTTTCCCTTACAAATTGTTTAAATATGTCAGTCGAACTGCAATTACTTCTAACGGAAATACACCAGTAACAACTATTGTGAGCTAATATAAATGCAGAGATCTTCGTATCATAATCACAGTCAAAATCACAAATCTCAAAGACAACTCTTGGCTCGACGCATTATATTACAGAGCTTGAATCAGAAACAAAAATATTATGTTTAGAAATAATAATAGAAAAAAAATAGCGCTTAACAGTAAGAATCACTTAATCAAGTCTCAGTGCAGAGCGTAGACCTCAAAGATTAAAAAAGCTTTTCTATGCTCAAAACCTGCAACCACTCAAAGGCGAAATAATTCGTAGTTCTATGATTAAAATAATTTTCAACTAAATATCGGTCCAAAATCTCCGTCGTTGCCATGGAAACTGCTCACTAAACCAATTCCCGGGCTTGTTTAGTGGTACTTGACCTCGGTCACGACAACATCGCCATCTATGTGCAGAGCGCTGATGTTTTGAAACGGCAGACGGTGTGGGTACTCCAAGAGATGCGAGCCGTTCAGAGCGACCTTGAACTGGTTATGCTCGCACAGGAACATGATCTACACGTAAATAAATCACAAAACCATACAATGGTTCACAAACGGCATCACCACAAACCTCTCCATAAACAAACTCGATCGGCAATATCTCGGAAGCAGCGGGCCAACACAATTCGTAGTCATGCAAGAGTCACGTGATTGTGCCATGTTATTTCTGGAAGTAGTGTTTTGAGAAAAAAAAATCATATATTTATCCCCAGTGACCGCATGATGACCTTTGATTCCAGTTTGGTCATGTGACATGTTGGGGCTGGGCTACTGATACCTTTGACAAAGCTTGGCTGAAACCGGTCACACTATGTAGGAGCAATAGACAATGTCAACGTTTGTTACTTACTAACTAAGTAACGGACTATTACGCAGAGACATGATGATTTGTTGAGCTGCTATACCGCAGCCACAAATCACGATTCCCAATATGGCCATATTAGAACCAAAACTATGATCACACAAAAATCCATATTTTCATTCGATGGTTTCTTACCTCATAGGTCCCGTTTGCGAAGAACGGGAAGTAGGTGCGATACTTCTGCTCGTTGCCATCCCATTTGGTGGTGCGCAGGGTGTTCATGACAATCGTCTGCTGATTAAACCGTGGGTTGAAATGGAATGCGATGTCGCTTCTTGGGTTGGTACACATGCCACATTGGAAGTTCACGTGGAACCTTCGTTTTCGGTTTAACGGCAGAACACGGACACATAAAATAAAAACCCACTATAAGTACCGTTTCTAGGTGTATCATATTGAAGCAGGATCATGCTGCAACTTGACGTATTGTTGGGGATAGGTTTCTGACCGTTATCATACTTTCATTACCATGGTGATTTAAAGGTAATGTACAACATTTGCAAACATTAGAAAAAAAACCCCAAAACTAACAAATTATTATGAGCCACCTTACTGACTTTAAATGAATTAAAGTTTCAGGCATCCTGTGAAATTATGGCACCTGGTGTTTTTCAACGTTGGTTGAAAAAAGACCTGACTTTTTTCAAATATATATTGCCCCCAATTTACCAAATTTCATTAGTCTACATTTTGTTTGCAATTGGTTACACATCCGTGAACGGGTGCAAGCAAGCTATAGTCTGGTTCCCTGACCTGACAATTCCCTGACGTCTATAAAATGCTCCGTTTCATATGAAGTAGGGTCAGGGAACGAGACTGCAAGAACAGCATCTTTTCTTGTTTTTTTCCTCCAGAATCCATGAACACAAACTTTTAAACAGGTCAGCGTAACAATATTTGCTATATAATACTGACCCCCCAATCTCGCCCATTTCTGAAATTTACAGCAAAAGCAAATGTTGTATATTACCTTAAGAGACAGTCACAATGGAAATGATTTTGGGAATGTTGATCTGACTCAACATCAACAATCTTGATAATAAGAAATGTTCATTTACCCGATTTTGGTATCACGTGTGACGTATCTTTATTTCAAATTGCAGGATGAGGTTGCTTTCATCAAATTGCCATTTCATTAAAAACACTTCCAGTTTTGGAAAAAAACCACAATTTTTGTATAAGGGCGGATCCAGAACACAATTTTTGTTGGGGGGGGGGGCTGCAAAAAATTTGTCCCTCCAAAAGTGGGTTAAAAAAAGGCCTCTGTGGTGCGATCTGAGGCAATTTCTGACACTTAAACCAATTCTTTTTGGAGGGTAAGATGGTGGTGTACGCAGTGCCTGCCTTTATAGCGACGTCACAAAAAATAAAATTGGGTGCGTTTTGGGGGGAGCGGGCATGGCCCCCGCTGCCCCCCCCCGGATCCGCCCTTGGTTTTGTTTTGATTTGATAATATTGACCTTGTAGGGTAGGGCTTCACGGTGACTTTCACCACAATCATCTTTCCAGCCTGCATACCTCCAGGGATCGAGTCCATATATGGTAGAGCCTGAGTTACACAAACGTATTTTACAAAAGGTAAGTTTTTACTGGACATCAGTTACATTTTTTTTTGGTGAAGGTTTTGGAGGTAGGGGCCACATCCATTCATGTACTCCTTTAGTTTGCCTGTCTACGGATACGGTATTAAGATTTCCCTCTTGTTTAAGCTGATCTAAGACTGATATGATTATATTAAGGGAATGTACTTGGCCGGTTTTAAACAAGTATGTTAACCGGTTTTAAACAAGTATGTTTACCGGTTTTAAACAAGTATGTTTAAAACCGGCTAATGGCCAGAGCCGGTGGATAATTCGGCTCGGGCCATTATCCACGACCAGGCACAGTGCAAAGCGCACATTTTATTCCCATTCATAAATACCTTTCGGTCAAATGTCAATATTTTTAGAAGTCAAAAATTCATAATATTTTCCAACGATTGTGTTCAGCAATTTTACCTCATGTTTTGTGAAACACCCCTCTGGCCATGCTGTGATATTTGCCTCGCGCGCGTAGTGCTACACATCTCCTGTTGGCGCAGAACGCAGCGGTGCAGGAATAAAGCGATTAAATCCAGCAGGTGTTTTATCAGCGGTTTATAACCAAACATGTGACGAGCGCTCCACCAATAGGAGTGGGTATTCACTGTCTTAGGTATGTACGAATAGATTATTATGGTGTGAAAAAGCAAATCATAATAGACCACGCTGATACCCCTCAAATATAGCCTTAAAACATGCATGGCTTTTATAGGTTTGTCTATAGTCAAGCAGGACCCGATAGTCACAGTGTGAGACAGACAGTCGGTCAGTCAGCTCGGGTCCAGCAACAACATCCATACTCTATTCCCTTCTCTTCAGTTCCCGCTGCTTGTTCCTGATAAACAAGCCATTTTTGATTCTTGGTTACTTGTCCCCTGACAGTTTAATAATCAAGGGTCGAAATGAGCAGAAGTTTAACATAACAGGGCCGTAGCAAGCCTGGTGGAAGGGAGGGTCGTTCTTACTGTGGCAGGGCCAAGATTTAGTTGTGAAGTTTTGTCTGATAACGATGTATTTATGTCCAATAAGGTTTTTTTTTTAGAATAAGACAAATGGATAAATTCACTCTGTGTTCAGGAAAATTCAGGTTCACAGTTCGGGTCAGGTCAAGACAAGGTTAAGAATTAAGCTTTACTGCTCTGCGGCAACTAAACTCCGAAGGTTACAAATTTAAGATTTATAGCTTGAACTCAGAGAGTATAAGGACAATTAAGATTTACTGTTCTACAAATGGATGTCAACTTTGAACTCATGACCTTCCTACTGGTCACGTTCAGACCCCATACCCCACCGCCCCATGTCTACGGGCCTAGTATATATTACATTTCAAAAAGAGAAAATTGAGGAATGGTACTAACAGGATAGGCGACGACCTTTGGTCCAGCAGGGTAGGCCGGTGGGGCTGCGGCATGGGGGTAGGCCGGCTGCGCTGCTGGGTAGGCCGGCTGCGCTGCTGGGTAGGCAGGCTGCGCTGCTGGGTAGGCAGGCTGAGGTGGCTGCAAGACAACACCAAAAAATATGCAAACAAATCAATGTTGCGTTCCACCCCCTCCCCCCTCCCGCTGCCGAAAAAAACTGGCAGAAGAAAAAGTCACACGCATCTACACGCACATACTTGAATTTGTATCTTTGTGGAGACATTTCTTTGTTTTCGTGTACTAAAGTTTGCGATTTTGAAAGTGTACATTTAAAATGCTCCTATTTTAACCAGAATAATTTTATCCTCGGCTGAAAATCGGAATTAATATCAATTAATATCAATTTGCGACACATCAACACACCTTGGAAATTCCTAGTCTTGGAGTAAAATCCATATATCTATTTCGTGATAACCTTGTGGATAACCTTGTGGATAAAAAGATCAACCGAAAAAAAATGGCAGAAGAAAAAGTGACACATCCACACAAACAAAAAGCAACAAACTCTTTTTTTTCTGGTCAAAGTTTCAGGTTACCATGTAAACTGCAGATGCTGGCTCGTATTGGATATTGTAGACGGTGACGGTACCATCTATCATGACTGCGTTAATGCTCTGCAGGTTATGAATACGGTAGTAGTACTCAAGAAAGTGACGACCGTTGACAGCCACCTAAAGAAAGAAGAGGTTGGTCAACCAAATTGAGCTTTTTTTCGATTTGGGGTGTTTTTTCGGGTTTGTTTACCGGCACCAAACCGACGTTTGATGAAGTAAGGGCAGACTACACACAGAAGTCTATCAGGTCGCATACGTCTTTCAAGTGCCTGAGATCTTCTCACGGGAGGCCATGTTGTGGTACATGACTTGTACCACAACATGACTTGTGCAAATGTACTCGCACACGTTCATGTAGTCATGGTAAGATACCTAATAAAAGATACCTAATAAAAATACTCGAACTCATGGCAAGATATTCGTACACGGGGGTCTTTGTTTGGAGAAAACCAGTGGCGTATCCAGTTGGGGAGGGGGTGTTAAGGCATAAAATGCCAAAAACAACGAAATTCATTCAGTCATTTTCCTGGGGGAAAAAGCAGGTAACGCCAGTGGAAAAACGGAAATGAAAACCACTTTGGCCGTGTAAGTCGTGTGGTCTGTATAAGCCGTGTGGTCTCCACTCGATGTGCCTCGCGGCCGTCGCTCATCGATTGGTCAAAATGTCTTAAAAGTCACGGCCACGTTGTCTATCTACAGGCTGCTCAGGTAAAGCAGACTGTGACTGAAAAAGCCGACGGGATGGCTGTCTGGCGATTTGCAGGGCTACTCGCAAATTCTGTTCGCTTAGCTTGGAACTTATTCGACAGTGCCCATCTCCAATTAGTATGGCATATCCTCTTGCATGCAGCAAGAGGATAGATGCCATACGAGCAGATTCGGCGATTAAACATGCAAAACGAGACTGTGTCTTGATCTTGAGATTCTGCCTATTCTATCCGGTCTTCCGTAAACTGTGGTTGTATTACAAAAAAATATTGCAGCCAAATTGACCAATCAACAGCTAAGACCACATTTCTAATCGAAATAAAGTCACAATTTCTAAGCCGACTCAGATTGGCTGGCGCGCGGGCTTGCACCAAATGTGCATTGCTCATTCTTTTTTTCCAAACGAGATCGGACAATATCAAAAGAGGGCACTCTCTCTGCGTTATGCTTATTCATGATGTCCAGCACTTTAGGGAATAAGTTATACATGGGTAACAGAGAATAATGGTGCATAAATCACCGACGATTGGCAGCTCATTCGTGGACTGGTTGGAAGTATAGTCCTGACTTCTAATCAGGTGATTTGAGTTCGAATCTCAGAGAGCGTTTTTCACTTCTTCTCATTTTACCTCTTAAATCACTACAGTGAGGAAAGAACATTTCTCACAAGACGTAAAGCCTATCTTGGGTTTGTGTTGTGGAGAAAAAGGCATTAGATATGCACGTAGTGGACCAATCAGAAGATGGGCAGCGGATGTTGTTTGGGAAAAAAAGATTCGCGAGCGGGCTCCTTTGGACAACGGGTGCAAGTCACCTGGGTGGTACTCGGACTAATCCTGGTTCTGACTCACCTTAAACGAGTTTTGCTCGCAACGAATGATGATGTGGAAGTTCTGGCCGTGAGCAAAGGGGGATTGATGTTGACGTTCCTCCGCTCCCCATTTCCCGCCACTAAGGGTGTTGCAGACTATGAGATTCTGGCCCGCCTGGAAACGGGGGTTGAAGTGAAAGGCGATGTCCGGTCCCTTGATGCCAACTCCACACTGGAGGTTCACGCTGAACCTAAGAAATACAGCAAGCGTATAGGGGTGCAGACCTGTATGATAAATAGGTCCGAAATCGCCTACGCCGGCCAAATCAGGATTGACATGCGCATTTTGAGGGCCGTGTAAAAAAGAAGGGTGAAAGCCGTGAAATTTGGATGAAGCTAGGCCCTAAATAACTAAAACGGCTCTTTTTTTGCAATGGCTCGTAGGCGTCCATTTTCAAAATAACGATGGGCTTCATGACTGCATGCTTTTAGGGGTGATCATCTTTGGATGAAATTTTCTCCCACAAGTCATTAGTTAACCCCGAAAAAATTGAACGGAAAATTAAAGATGATGAAATACGCTTTAATTTGATGTGCTTCTCAAACAACTTGGAAAGTTGTGAGTATTTTTAAAGTGTGCGTAATTATCACTGAGGTCTATGGCAATCTATTTACTGGTCTGCAACCATAGGTGCTTTCTGACATACTGCAGGATATGAGTATACTTGTAGTCCGCACAGGGCCAAGTATATGCCCCACAATGACGCATAATGTACCGAGGGGTCCGCACACATAGTGAACTTGTAAGGATCAATGGAAATTCTTCAAAGCGAAAATTCCGCGACAGTGCCTTAATTTGGTTGGAACCGAATTTTTAGTAGGCGTACATTCCACACAAGAGTCGGGGTGATATTATATGCAATATTTTTGACACTGATTGGTAATGAAACGGTTAAAAAATGATAAAGAAAAAGTAAACTTTATTGTAACAGTGATTTGCGTGAATTAAAAGATTGTGTTATAAATTTCAACCGGAAACTGTTTTCACGGTGTTCTCATTATTTTGGATAATTAGCTCTTTGACGGGATCCCCAATAGCCCGATCTATTAAGCCACGCCCACTGCACACGTGGGCAACTAAACACGTGTACCTCTTCAGATGCCACTCTGCACGTTCCAGCCGCGCACGTCATACGCGCGTGCACACATGTCGAACATTAGACACAGCTGTGATTGGTCGAAAAATTATTGGGCGGGCCTTAACGGATCGGTCCATTAAATATAAAACTATACAAACAACTTTCATAGAAAGGTGTTGTACCTTTGGCTTCCATGTGGCACAAACCCTTGGACATGAATGGTCTTCGAAGGAAACACGCCGCCGGGAATCGGCCCACTGTATGGAATAGCCTAAAATATAATCACGAAGACAATGGCTAGATCAGGTTGGATTGGACAATTATATCAGCTGTAATTCTTGCATTTCAAGTGAGAAATTTGGATAGTTTCAGGGTAAGGTCCACAATAACAAAAGAGTTATACAAACATAAATGAATTCTTTCAAAAGATTGAATTTGTTCATCATCTTTTGTTAAGTAATTCATTATTATCATGTTATTATGATTTTTTAAAAGTTATTTCCAATATAACAATTAAAAGGTTGAGCAGTTAACAGTGCTTTGTTCCGTTTCTTTCCTAAATCCAATATTTAGTTTATTTCAAATAGGGTTTAGATCGTTGATCCCCCTTGAAAAATAAAACCAACAATGCATTTATGAAAATGAAATAAGAAAAACACCGACACTTCTTGTTGACATCGTCTGAGCCTGATATGTATTTAAGGGATTCACCGTTTTTCAGAACCTTTTGAAATCTGAGGTCATTCGTATAAGGCCTATTATGCGTTGCATAGACGTAGCCTTTTCTCCAGATATCTCATCAGGGTTTGTCAAAATAAAAATCACCAAAAGATACTGCCACTTACCGGGTTAGTAACCATATCGGCACACATTTTGTCAAAGCTGATTCTTGTTTACAGTCGAAATGAGAAATCTGTGAAACGAAGAGCAAAACATGATTACAAAAAGAGGGTTCACTGGATCTTTAAAGGCAGAATGGGCCATTTGTCATGCGTGCATTTATTTTCGTTTAAAGCAAGAAAAGTGCTCAAAATCTAAAGACGGGTGTTGAACAACTAACCCGATGAAGCGTTAGCTCTGTGAATGCTGAATATTTCGAGAAAACCGACATTTTTAATCTCGCTTTCAATTCAAAAAAGTTTTGCGGTGTAATACTTTGAATTGCACCCTCTCGAGATGACAGATTCGTGAAATCAGCATTGGGGACATGATTCTCGTTTAGCCGATTGTAGTTAGTAATATCACACATTGAACCGACGAATAATAGCAGTCGAGTGTCAATGCATGCACCAATTATCGAATTCGTTCAATTACAAACCAACTACAGCCAGTAATTTTTTAAAAAAATGTGTCACTTGACACATCTTTGGAAATTACCTTTTATTGTTCCCTTCAACGTGTCATCATGCCAGAAGAATAATCTCACAGAGAGTTTAGTGTCATTGCTATTTTTAAACCAAGTAAACATGGTCGTCGTCAGGATTTTTTTCTAAGGGGGGGGGGGGGCAAAAACACATTTCCCAAAAAATCCTTTTACTTTCTCTTGCATATTCTCATACTTCTCCTCGCGACGCACATGCAAGTTAGCTTTTTAACAATGATTTTGTCGGTTACTTTTGGATTGCTATTAATGGTCCACTGCACCTTTAAAATAAATTATAATTATTTTTGAGATGTTCCATTACACAGTGCCAGGGGTGTGCACGGTATAGAGGCAAGAAGAAAAATATAAAGGTTTTCGGCAAATTCATTGTTATCTCCTACCATGTTCATAGAGAAAGTTTTGCCCCCCCCCCCACCAAGCTACTTTTTATTCTATTTTAGGCAGCAACAACCCCTTAGAAGACCTTTTTTATTAGGGTTAAAGTTTTGCATGTCCATGACGTGAAAAACAGTTCTAATTTTTGTCGGACCGAAAAGTATGCATAGTAACTGTTTCATAAACTAAAAAGTTCGGCATTCAGCTTATTCCTGAGCTTTTTAGTTAATTAGTTTCCATCATATTTAAAAAAAGAAAGAATACTGACATGTTATATTTTCGAAAGTTGTATAATTAAAGGTTATTATTTTTGTGAGAATCTTGAAACAAAAATTGAAAAAAGTATGCTGATCTATAAAAATATATCCTCGATATAAAAAAAAAAATAATAATTATAACAACAAATATGGATGCTTCCTCAGTGGTATAGTAAAGGTGAGGTATCATTGGACCTCGCTATGGCAACGTAATGCCATGCATTATTCGCTGGGCGCATAAATGAATCAGGATCGAAATCATGTTAGTCAAGTCGCTAGACATGTCGAGGCCAGAAAAGCACTGCGCCGTACGTACTAGGGGATATGAGGACGCCGACAGACAAAACGCGACTGTTCAGTCACTTATTTTCAAGTCTACTGATAGGCTGTCAAAATGAACACGCAAATGATCTTGTATATATCGGGTGAGAGAGCACCTATTTGGAGAGTACTGCTCCACACCACGAGGACGCGAGGTTGAACAAAAACCCCTTTTGCACTTACAGACAGGGTCCGCGTTAGGCCTCCGTATGCCAGTATTGGGAATCCTTGCATGCCTTCACCGCTGAAGGAATGCGGAAATGGTATACGTATTGCACTATTGAACCATGGTCCTCCATGATTGAACGCACCCGCTATGACGATAGGCCGAGAGCCCCACAGAAAATGGAGCATTTAAAACGACGTTCATGTCTAACTTGTAAAATATTAAATATTGTATTTCGGTAAGACAGGCTCGTCTATTATTGGAACATGGTGAGAGAATTCGAGCACGGTTGACCTTATTTCCATGGTGCACCATGACAGTGGGCAGGTCTTTCCTCATCACGTGTGACATGATTGGCCACTTTGTGCTTTCATTGTAACTGAATTTGAATAACAAAACATAATGTTCAAGTCAACTGACAGTTTTTCCAAACACACTACATGTACACACAGCGACTCAGCGACTCGCCAAAGGATAAACACAACACACAAAACTGAACCGAAAGCCGCAACAAATTGAAGATCGTCACCGGTTTCTTTCTATAATATTGTTATGTTGTCGGTTGTACGTGTTTACGTACAGGATTCAATTCTACCGTCAACACGAAAGTATCCACGCATGGAAGGAATATAGATTCCTTCGTTCATGATCCACGGTTTGAGATCCCGTTAAATACTCACGTGAACCGTGTTATAAATTATATAATCAATAACAAATCCGTATATAATCACCTTGTTGGCAGTGTTTGATGACGTCCAACGTGAGATTAGGCCTCGACTACCGCAGCAGCAACAACACAGCTAGCGTCCCGACGGTGCTGTATACAGTACGGCATTGAAAGGCTTTTCATCAGAGCGCGCGAAGCCACCCTTTATGTTAAACGTTGCAGCGCGTACACGTACACTGCGATGGTTTGTATGACTGCAGTTCAAGGTCCGTCTATTTGGTAGCCTGGCTTCTCTCTCCACATAAAGCACTGCAGCATGGATAAAACCTTTGAACTTCGCGTTTTTGCTGCATGAAATTCACTTCGGGGATATGCCTCCATGCAGACAGGCAGATATTCAGCACGTTTGTCTGTCTAGGTCAAAAGGAAAACAAAAGTCGATGCCATGATTTACCATGGAAGGAGGAATGCGATAACGTTGATTTTAGCACGCCTTTTTTAACGATCCGGGCGGCATACATTTTTTTTTCTGGAGGAAATATCCAAAGCTATATACTGTTAGCATAATGTTTTCCAGTTGGTTTGACACTTGTAGGTATCTTTTAAATTCCACGAAAAAGATACATTAATTTCGTTCCCGGAAATGTCGCGTTCAATCCAATTCAAATGAATTCGAGAAAACATTTAATTCCACACTGTTCATCCTATTAAGCTATGCAGGAGGCGCATCCTAAAAAGCCGAAGCATGTGGGGGATGTATTATTTATTTATTATTATTTATTTATTTTATATCTTCGGACAATATAATACAAAATTCATTTAAAAGAAAACTAATTGTTCTGGTCAACACAACAGTTTATATAAATTGGGAATGATGTGTCTGACCAAGCAAAACTAAGCATGCATGTGCCTAACAATTAAAGCTGTGTCACAGATCAATAATTGCTAAACACAACTTTACAAAAATTATAAATTGATAGAGAATTATCATTGTTTATTTTCACTTGACAATTAGATATGTGCCACTTCTCTTTGCCATTTTGAAAACCCATAAAATGTACTTTTGCTAGTTTAAGGCAGTTGTTTTGTTGATGATACAATTGATGTTAATACTTTAGGCCTAATCCGATCAGGTGTCATCAAACTTTAAAGTTTAGAGATTGCCTTATATTTAACTTTTTGTATCGGAAAATTTTATAAATTGAGAATGAGATAGATTGAAAGCCTGCACTCCGATCAGTTTAATTCACATTAAGGCATTCGAAAAATTAACAATGGTGTTATAGTAACCCTTAATTTGTCAGCACAAGGTGCAGCCTAAATGATGAGACCTGGAAGATAGGAAGATGATCTGTAATTTTAATAAATAGAATACAACTAGATACGTACGTCATCAAAATTATTGGAAATGATATTTTTGTAGCGGTACGCCAAGTTAAGGAGGTCCGCTCAAATGATTAGATTTAAGGACGCCAAGAAGAGTCAAGACAAACAGACAAAATCAAAACACTAGGAGGAGTCAAATTATGTTTGGTCTCATGAACTTGTTACAGATTACTTGTTTACAATATCAATTACAATAGTTCTGGATCTGAATCTCAATCTAAACTCACAAAACAAGTGTTACAAAAAACAGACTTGGATTCAACTTCCAGCTCTATAAATTGTAATAAAGTTGCCAATGATAAATTATAATCAGAAAGTTTGTATTTCTCAAGTTGCCCCGGTTCCTAAGATTTCCAGGTTCCTAATATTCTTGGTTCTAATATTTTAATCAGGTTCCCCGAACGCCAGTGTACGGCTGTTGTGAACTAGGCCTCCAAATTGCACACTTTGGTGTGCAGGCTAGGCAGAAAAGGGCTGATGTTCGCGCGTTCACAGCACTGAGTGCGCGTTTGTATACATTTTTCTGGGCTGTGTGCCAATTGTACGGTGCCTCGTAAAAGACGTCTAACTACATTATCTATGAAGACTGCGATGTTGGTAGTCGTTTAAGAAATAAGCTAGAGTGGGTCTGTTGATGACCGACATAATGATCCATATTTTAATACGAACATCTCTGTTTGGATGTGTTTGTTTTAGATGTTGGATGATCAAATTGTCCAGGCTTATTCTCGGAAGTGCTTGTACGTACATCGTGTACGTGCATAATGATGGACTATATATAGCTTTATCGCTTGCTGCATGTACACGCATCACGTACACACGCTGCGATTGCATCTGAAAGGGGAACTCCCAAGCTACACGCCAATATGACTATAGAGGTCGCTGTTCATATGGGTCTGTATGATACGGTTTTGAGGCGGCTACGGGCGCAAAAAGGATCGCAGTAGAGGGAAAACTTGTCATGGTAATCAATCGCTACATCCAGCAACTGTATATGCGTCCTACGAACCACCAAAGCCAGGTATCCATCTAATTAGCCTACTGAAATGGCTTTTTAGTATTAGCCTAACAAAGTTCCGAGTAGCTAGATGAGAATCGTGTCGGAGAAGCCCTGTGGAAGTCATCCATAATGAAATATTTGTTTTCTTGATTAATCTGCTGAAGGACAACATCAAATGCATCAACCTTCAACAAAAGTAACAGGATTAAAGCAATATACCAACAATACTATTTTTTTTGCTCCGAACGCAGTATTTCAATAAAAAGTGACTCACAAATGTTTTTGACTATTAAACGTGAGCTCATTTCTCAAGTGAAATTCGAGGGAATCGAGAAATAATGTGCAATGAGACGCCTCCACTAGCCTAATCTTCTCTATTATTTAATAAGAAATTAAAGACATTGATTTCGAATGAAGGGCTCTCTTCATGAAGCCAGGTTACGGTAAAACCAAGGATAAATTGAAAATTCAAGAGAGATCACGATAATCGCAAATACTCTCGCAAACGTTTGTAAAAACATCTTGCGTTCAAATGAAATGCGGAAACGTAGTGTTTGACGAGTTTGTCCCTAAACCTTTCTTGAAACTGATGCGAAAACAGATAATCGGGAGATTGTGTCGGGATCAGTATCAAAGTTCCCTGGAAACCGATGATTTAAAGATAAGAGGATTGAATTGAAGATTTGAGAGCTAATGTTAAGGACAATGAACGAGGAACTGTATATTTGCTGAGTTATCGACAGCTCCGAGTCTATTCTCCGACTTAAACTATCATATATTAAAAATCCTACTCTGTATGTTAGATGTTTGTCTGATGTCTGTCCGATGTCTCATGTCTGTGTGTTACGTGTTTTGTAAAAGGCCTAAGGAGCGTGCGGAAGCACAAAATGCAGTTCAGTTCAGTTCAGTTCAGTTCAGTTCAGTTCAGTTCAGTTCAGTTCAGTTCAGTTCAGTTCAGTTCAGTTCAGTTCAGTTCAGTTCAGTTCAGTTCAGTTCAGTTCAGTTCAGTTCAATTCAGTTCAATTCAATTCAATTCAATTCAATTCAATCTAATAAACATTTATTTCCACTCTATGGAGGCATCATCCCAGAAAGCCGAGGCTTGTGGTGGATGTGCCCAACAATACCAGACAAAACAAGACAAACGACACTAATTATAGAATATACAAATAATAACAGTATTTAATATGTAACAGTTAAACAAAGCAGATAACAAAACAGATACGACAATAAACAACATTTCAATAATGGCTAAATCAACTTAAGGTAATAAAGAATCAGGCACTCTGAGAATTAAGAAGGAATGTTTTTAGTTTATATTTGAAATTATGACTTGAATACAATGGTTAATAAAAGCTTTTCCTCTGATTATGTGATCATACCGATTTCACTGTCCTCTGAAGTCACGGTTAGCACGTGGAAAAAAATTATTTGTTTTGTTTCGCTTTTTTGGCAAATTTGTTTCTTTGAGACTTTGAATAGTTAAATATTACAACATTATCTCTATGGAAACACTCCAAAACATATCGCTATTTCGCAAAACATAACGTTCGTGATGACAAATGTGGCATCATTGCTTCACCAAGATTTACCACGCCCACTTAGGGTCAACATGCAAATTGAGGTCAAAGTAATACATTAGGATAGGACTCAACCCATCCCGCTAGTTTCTTAAAACATCAATAGTTTATGCAAACAATATCCCCGATTTACCACTTTGTGCATAAGTTTTAGATTCGTACAATTTATTCAACTTTGCCTGGCCCTGTGCTGCATCATGACAAGATGCTATTGTTAACCCGTCGGATGGGCGCACATCTTTTGTTCCATTCAGCACGATGCACATTACATTTGTCCTCATGGAAAATCACATTAACATTTCCATTTCTTTTCATTTTAAAGTGGACTGTTATTTTCAAAAATCCTACTAGTAGAAAGTTCCGTTTATACATGGAATTGTTTGCAGAGGCTATTTAAAAAAAAAAGTAGATTGGTAAAACAATCAACAGTAAAGTGTAGATTCGAAAAAAATAATCTACACTTTTAACAATGGTGTGACGTCACATAAATAGTTTAGCAGTATCTAATCTTTGGTAAGTTTGACGTTCTACAGGGTGAGTAAAAAAACCCCGAAAACCAAATGTCGGGACCATGTTTTTTTAAAGTGAAGTTCTGCATGTAGCAATTCGTAATCTAGGATATGAAAGCCCAATTCATAAGCTTGCTTTAGTATAAGAAATATTCGAATCACGCATGTACTTTTCAAGTTACGGAATTTTAAACACAAACACCGTTTTGAAGTTCTATCCACGGATAATAAAAAAGGTAAGTGTTCTTTCAGCAAAACGAAAACAATTCAAAGACAAGATAAATTTGCCGTAGCACCATGTGAATAAATCTCTTTTGTGAGTATGTGTGGTTCTGAAAAGAACCGGAGGGAATCGACGTTTCGAACAGTATGCTCTGCCCGTCCGTCGTCAGGAGAATGTGAAAACAATTCACATCGGGATGTGTGTCAATTGTTTTCATTTTGCTAAAAGAACACATACCTATTTCTGTGATCCGTGAACAGAAGTTTAAAACGGTGTTTGTGTTTAAAATTCTGTAACACGTCAAGTACATGAGTGATTTGAATGATTATGAATTGGGATTTCAAATCCTACATAATTATTGAACGTTCTCCCTGTAGAACTTCACTAAAAAAAATGGTCCCGACATTTGGGTTTCTTTTTTGTTTTGGCTCACCATGTACAAGAGCTGTATGAAAAAAAAACCAAGTCATTTTTTAAATGATTAAAGGGAAGCGTATCGGTGGAATGGACATTGACTATTA